TTCTTAACTTTTTTTAAAAAAACCATTTTCCCCCCCCCCCCCCCCCCATCTTAGGTCCTTCGCGCGGCCTCTGCATGTAGCATTGTGATTATTAAAATGATCTATGCTCAATCGGTCATCTAGAAGTTATATACCGAAGCAAGTAATATGAGCTTGAAATTATTTTACATTTAGTAACAAAAACGGTAGTGATGCAATTTTGTTTCGACTCTACAGGTCATAAGTTGACGACATCTACAGATCGAGAAAAACGTTTCTCGTTGAATTAAACTAATTTTTATGTCTGTAGTTTAATTAGAAAGAAAGTATTAATAAAATTCGAATAAAAATAATTTGGTCTCTAAGCAAACAGTTTCCTTGGTGATAGCCTAATGATGGCGATCTGTTGAACAGCGGATTTATTCTTTCTTAGATACGTTTTGATTGATAACTAAACAAGCCAGAATAAAAATGGTATGTTATAGGATAATAGTGTAAGAAGATAGTACTTCTTTACTTTACTATATAACACATTTTGTATTATGATTGAATTTTTCTGTTATACTTCTAGTCAACCGATGAACGATATTGTTTCACTGGTGAATGGTACGATCCTCAAGCATCGATGACACGCACTTATCAAGTGCTGTTTTATCCATCTGATAATAGTATTGAAATGGTGAATAAATAAAATTCTTTCTTGTTTTTTAAGCGTTCTCCAATATATATGATCTGTTTAGTTTGATGTTAAAACTCGACGAGCATTTCTTAAACGTACTAAAAGTGAAGCCACAAAATTAAATGATTTTTTTATTGGCAATACCATTAATTTATTTTCACGTTCAATAAAAATTGTTGATTTTGGTGATGGATTTACTGCTCGATGTATTGGCAAAAATCAAGAAAGGTTAACAATTGAAATGTTTAAAGATCTTGACATTATTGATTTTCTTTGATGTGATATTTTTAGAACTTTAGCTATTATAAAGCCAGATGCTATCCGTTATTTAGGTGATATAATTAGTGCTGTGTATGAAAATGGTTTTACAATCGCTCGAATGCGAATGGTTAAATTATCACAAAATGAAGTTATGTATTTTTATTCAGAGCATAAATCAAAAGACTTTTTTCCGTACGTTGGTTTCTTTTTCGAAAAATGATGTTGTTTATTGAATAAGATGATGCAATATTTATTTCATCTAGACGATTAGTTGACTTTATGACAAGTGGATCAGTTGTTGCTATTGAACTTGTTGGACCTGATGCAATCAATCGTTGGAGAAGTATTATTGGACCAACTGATTCACAAAAAGCTAAGGAACAAGGTCCACTTTTACTACGAGCACGATTTGGCACAGGTTTGAATTTTAGTTTTGATTTGATTAGTTTAATAAGTTCATTGTTTAGATGGAACACGAAATGCTTTACATGGATCCGATTCTACAACAAGCGCTCAACGAGAGATCTCATACTTTTTTGGTTCAAAATATGGTACGAATACGGCCTGTTATAATGATACAACATGTTGTATTATAAAACCACATGCAGTTGCTGAAGGTAAACAAGATAATTTATGAATAAAATTTTCTTTAACAATTGAATTTTTATTCTAAAGGAAAAGCTGGTCAAATTATCAATGGTATCCTGACTGCTGGATTTCAAGTTTCTGCCATTGGCACTGTAAGACACACATGTCTGTTATGTTTGTTTTATCTATTATTTTTTGCTCTTTTTTAGTTCAGCTTAGATAAAGTTAATGCTGAAGAATTTCTCGAAGTATATAAAGGTGTTGTTCATGAATATCCTGTAAGTAACTATTATACTAGTTTTTCTTCATTAGATATTTTATATATTTGTTTTTCTAATAGAAAATGGTTGAGGAATTAATGTCAGGTTCATGTATTGTTCTTGAAGTTCGTGCTCAAAATGCTCAAGCAGTTTTTCGTGATTTTTGTGGCCCAGCTGATCCGGTATGTAAATGATTGACTATCTGTTTAATATAGTCATATTTTGTTCCCTTCAAGGAAATTGCTCGTCATATTCGTCCGAGAACGTTGAGAGCTATCTATGGAAAGGATAAAGTGAAAAATGCTGTTCACTGTACAGATTTAGCTGAAGATGCAACATTAGAAGTAATGCAAATATTTCGATGTTTAAATTTTTATTTTCTATTCTAAAATTATTCTACTTTCAGATTGAATATTTCTTCCGAATACTCGAAAACTGATGAATGAAAATCATTTTTTTTCTTTTTTTTAAACTTTACATTCCTATTTCTTTGATTATTTACGAATAAAACAAAAATAAACAGTTCTATCATATTTTGGACAGATTAATTTTCATGAAAATTTATACAATGAGAATAAACGAATGTAAAATAAGATGATTGTGTCGTGTTCAATATTGATTATTCATATAGATCTAAGAAAACAAACACAGTAGATTTTGTGATAAATGCAAATAGTATGAGAGTAACACTTACCAGGTGGTAGCTTTCTTTGTTGATTCATTCTATTAGGGTACATCGAAGTTGATTGAGATACTGATGTATCATGAGACCGTTCATAGTTTGGGAGTGGAACTTGTCGTTGATTTCTTCGAATTTCTTCCCGACTCGAAATATTGGTGAATATGGATCTTATTGGTGGTATTGCGGGTCGAATGGTTTGCTCATTGGAAGACGATCGTAGGCCCAGACTAATTTCAGATTCTATAAAATATTTGTATTTATATCAAAATGCTAATGATATGATGATGGACTTTTTTTAAACAGCAGCATATTTATATATATACGTATATATACAGTAGAGTGCAAAAGTCTTTGTGCTCCGTACTTCAAATGTTTATTATAGTAGATAGGATGAACAGAAAAGCTAACTATGCGCAACAATAGAGTACAGCGCGATGTATTAGATTAGAATATCACAATTAATAATTGATTCTTTCTCGTTCCCATTCAATCAGAGCTATCACGTCTTGACTTCGTAGATTTCAGGAAATGCTTTACAGTGACTATATCTGTTGTTTTCCATTCTTTGTGCAGAAACTTATCCAGCTCTCTGAGATTCGTTGGTTTTCGTTCTCAACATGGCGCTTGATGATTGACCATAAATTTTCTATTGGATTAATGTACGGACTATTTGACGATCGGTCGATTCTAATGGAGACTTGTTTATTGAAGAATTGCTCAGCTATCACACTTTTGTGTTTGACATCATTGCTGTACTGCCTATCAAGACACATCTAGACCTCAATCCCGAAGCAGTTTTTCTGCCATTTCCTTCTTTTTTCTCGTTGCTTTTCCAATAATTTGACCAAGTGCTATACTGTCGTTGGCAGTAGGGTGTATTGCGTCGAGTCTCACGGGTTCTATCATATACTGTATGTTATTCGTTTACTCTCGGCTTCAATACACTTAACAGTCTTGATTGAGATCTTCGCAGTACGGGCAGTGGCGCTAGGAGATCATTGACCATTGTTCCCAAAATGTAAAATAGTTGAACACTTCGTTTTCATCCACACGCGATTTTGTTATCGCGACATTTTATATCAAGCAAAAATTATTTATGACAAATCGTGGCACTCACAGCTACATATATACCTTATCCCATCTACCAGAAATTTTCAAAGAAACCAGAGATATGGTTACAAAAGGTTCACTCATACTGAGGTCAAAGACTTTTGCATTCCACTATATATATATGCTTGACGCACCCAGCGCTTGAATCTTACTATTTTCCTAAAACTCCTATGTTCTAGAGCGAGCTATAGCTTACTAGATCGTTTTCTAGCATTACGTCTTCGTATGATCAAACCAATCACTACCGCTAATAGTAGAACACCAAGGATCGATCCAATAACAATTAGTGCAATTTTCCATCCAGCAAGAGTTTCTATTAATAATTTTTTTAAGAAAAATAAATTTAAGACTTTAATACATTGTTTGTTCATATTAGAAATGTTAGTGACTGTTTTTGTTTATTTTATTCAACCCCTCAACATTTCTCATTCATACCTGATTGCTTGGTCGGTGTCGTTGTAGTCACTAAAAAGAATCAAAACAATAAACGATCGTGTTTCGTTTTTATGAATAGCCTTTGGAAATTAAATTTTTTGTAGTCTAGCAAAAAATCAGATGAAATGTTGTTTTTTTCTAGATTCAAATACATGAATATTGTTGTCTCACACGATCCTACTTGCTGGAGAAGAATTAATAATTGGTACTTCCGAAGAGTCAATCAATTTGGCAGTGGTTGTATTAAAAAATGTAGAAAATAGACTTGATGATAGAGATGAATATATACTATCACTGTAATTGAACGTGGCCTCGGAATTCATACTTTCAGTGGTATATAAGTGAGTAGCGGTTAATTCTTCAGCTGATGATGCCATGGTACTGGATTCAACAGCAGTTGTTACTGAAATGACGCTAGATTTAGTGATGGTTTGTTTTAATTTAAAAAAAACATTTTCTTATCTTTCGTCTTACGAGTTAGGAACAGCAGTTATGTGATGTCTGGATGAACCTCACGAGTAGAATAAGGATTACAATCTCTATCTGCTAGAGTCTAGCTGTCTGCATTCTGCGTAGAATGCACTAGTCAACGGATGAAAATTATCAGGCAACTATACACTACTAGTTAGAAAATCATTGTAACATATGACTGTGCATGGCGTCTTTCAGCTAACTAATAGAGAATGATTGTTAGATAAATTATGTCGTTTACATACGCAATTCTAAAATCATTATATTCAAGTCTAATTTGTATTGATTATACTAGCTAAGAATTCTAATTAACTATCATTGTTCATTTAAAGTTTATTAGAAAATTTTCCATAATAATTTATATGTTCAAACAAAAAAGAACGACACCTGATAGCAAGCATACCAATTTGAAAGATTGTTACAAAAGTTTGATTAAAACTCAGATGATCATAGAAAACCTGGAACCATTGAAATGAATACAGGTGAAGTAAGAATCTGTTATCGATATCTTTGATTGAAAATATTAAAGTACAACTCGGTCTACTCAGGAAGTTTTAGCATCGAATCTACTAGTTAGCGATATTTATAATATATCTTACCATCGATTGAACATCGTTCAAACGGAATATCAAATCGATATTTTGTATAGATGATATCATATACAACTGATAGATGAACAAAAGTGAAGTTCGATAAATCGCCTAGTATATGCATTGTATTGTTTGTATCATTATACATTTGGCATGGTTCTTTATCAGTAGTTGCATTCAAACATAAGACAATATTGCGTACACATTCTACATTACTATTGTGTTCTACTACAATAGTACAATTGTCAACAGTGCCTAACTTTCGTACAGTCGGTTTTCCTACTAACGAGAAGTCTAAAAAGAAAAGAAATCATTGGCTTTCTAATAAATCTATAATAATTCACTTTTTAAAAGCATCTTAGATATGTTTTTCGAGAAAAAACATTCTTGCTCTTATGTTTGGAATTGTTCAAAGATAAACAAAAAATAGCACATTTCCGAATTTTACTCTACGAGAAAAAGCGCTAGAATCGATTTGACTATCATGAGAACAGCTTTCTAATTGTCATTTTAACGATTATGGAGAAGTTTTTATAAGATTAGTCATTATGAAGAGATAAATCGATTTTTGATTATTTATACTTGTGAAAAGTTAGATTTTTTGAGCCATTTAGCCTACAATTCATTGACAGCATTAGAAAGATTATCCATTTCAATATGCAATGACTAAGACTATGAAATTTTATATTAATGACAACTGCAACATTCGAAGGCTAACAACTATAGGAAAACCTAGATCTCTCTACTGGCTATATTTTTCTAGCAGCTAGAAGACACATTTCCTAAAAATATCAAAACAGCTTCTGCTAGTAGAATTCAAAGATTGAAATATTTTCAAGAATAAATCTTACTCAATGGTGCACTATAGTTTCTTATTGTACTATAATTATTGTAATTAAAGTAATACTGTATCATTATATCAGTATTAATTGAATTGTTTGTCATGGTTATACTGCTGTTGTTGATTTGAACAGAGTTATTATTCAATTGACTATGCGATTCAAGAGTTAACTCTGAGGAATACACCATTCGACGGAGTGTCGAAATAAGTGGAAATAAAGAGTCTTTGACATAAATATAACCTCTGCATAAGCCTGATTGATGGATTAGATTGAATTCAACCGAAGACACGTTGACTTCTATTAACAAAAAGTTTATAGATATTTAAATGCATCTGAAAAATCGATTACCATAAACTATCATGGCCAATGAATGATTGCCTCCTTCTTCATAAGCTTTGTAGCTTCCACTATAATTACGATTAACATCACCCAAATTGAGGATCGAATCGCTTATATCAAAAGTTGCATTCATATTACCTAGTAACGATGGATTTGGATATTCATAGGCTATCGCCAAATTACTCAATTCAGCAATAACAATATTATTGAAAGACCATTTGTCAATAACAGTTTCTTTTCCTACTATTTCTATTTGATCGTGTATCCACACAGGAATTTCAGTATTATTTTCGGTCCCTATGATATTGACAATACGTTTTTGTCCTGGAATCGTCTGTGAACCATGAGCGATAATAAGTACCGAAAAGCAAATCCATCTATTCATCGTTGAGTCTAAAAATAATCATTACTGTCAAATAAAGAACTGATAGATGAGTTATGAATAATTACAGTAGCCAAACCAAAAGTGACTGATTATTGTTAATAAATTAAAATTATTGCATAGACGATGGGTTAAACGTGTAATTATTCAAAATTAAAACCGACTTTTAAAAATTGTAAAAAAACTCGTTCACATTATTAACATCTCAACATAGTGAATAAAACTGTATCCAATCAAATAAATTCATAAGCAAGATTACTAACTCACTTTATTTTACTGTCAACCCACTTTGCAGATAAGCAGCGCAAATATTCATCGTGGTAATGACAGCATTCGGGACATTTGCTATTTTTAAATACTATAGCAAGCAATGTATAACTAATAAAATTGTTGTTGCTAAGTGAGATAGATTCCATGTTGACGCAGCTAAAATATTCAATAGTAATGATTCAACGTATATCAGACGTCATAAATAATAATTTTAGCAAACAGTTGACAACGTTAATACGCTTACTTATCTTTAGAAGAAATAAAATTATAATCATGCTAAAAGACTTCACAAGATAACTGGATATATTAAGATAGGTCTGCTATCGTAAATTGAAAGAGTGTAATTATCTAGGTTTTGACATTAATCAAAATGTCATAGTAGTAGGTCGACAATGATGCTTAAATTTATTTTCAAGAAAAATTCACTCGAAAATTCTTTTCATTGCATATTGCATACAAAAAATATAAATTCATTTCTCAAATGGCTTTATAATATTGACATCCTGCTCACTATTGTCATGTGACAATTCAATCTTTTATTTCGCATATATATTTATTTAATAAACGCAATATTTGCCATGCAAATATACACTTAACAGTTGACATTGTAAAAGTAAATATTTTCACTTTTGTGAATTCTTCAATTTTAAAGAAAATAGGAATTTATTTGTAAATGTCAAATTGCAAGAAATGCCCACTTTTTTTCCGTAACGTCAGAACTTTAATTTATGAGCAGCATTCAACTGAACCGGATGTTCATGTTGAAAAGTGTGCGATATGTTCTTGATTTGTCTGGCGTGTGTGTAGCTTTGCTAAGAGGGCTACGGCTTCTTAAATCAAGATGAAATTGATGACGGCTATCCGATGATCAATATGTATCATGTGATTAAATATGGAATAAGAGCAATATATTTCTAGTGATTTATATTTGTGCATCTGTTACGCATTCGGGAGCAGCTGTACTTTTACATAATATCAAAATAATTTAAAAAAAACAAGCAGCTAACAGCATTTCGTTTATAATATTTCTGTAGAACAAAGAAAAATACAAACATCACCCCTTGTGTCATGCATACGGGTTCTGTCTTTGTTGTTGTGTGAATTCTACTCATTAACGTTGAAATTCATGCTTATATCAGATCGTCATTATTCAAAATTAAAAAAAAAGATATATCCGTAAATATTCAACTGATTATCAGTTAATTTTAAGTATAAACAAGTATGAACAACTACGAAAGTCATTAACAGAGTAGAAAAGCGCAGAAACCACAAAAATATCATGACTAAATTGAATTTATGGACAAAAAAAAGCATTAAATTTTGTGCTTAACAGGTCGCCAAATAGTGTGACCTTGGTCAGTGTCTAACCTGCTTGAATAACCACCATGCGTAGAATCAAATTCTTCATTTGATGATCGATCCGATCTTGACGACATAATTTCTAACGTATAACTACCTAAAAAGATGATTAAATAGGATAGCTATATTAATTTTGAACTCTTTTCAATCTTCTGAATAACATTTCAGTGGAAGATGATTTTCAATTGATTCCAAGAACTTCGGCATCATCTTTGTGCGAATCTGCACTCTATCTCTTGCCTTCTGATCGATGTTTTCCATGGCAAGTTATGAAATTAAGTATGATCTCAAGCCTTAATTTTTAAAGTAATTACTAATCTTGATTTCTGCTTGAAAATGTTTGAATAGAATTGCTTTGAGATTTACTTTTTTTTAAAATGCTTTTGATTATTAACTAGCATATTAATTTAGCAGTGAATGCCTATTAAAGGAATACAACGCTTATCGTTTGATACCTGGTTTCTTGTTTCGTTGTCGTCGTCGATAGTAGATATATCCAAGAATTAATAGTAGAATAATAACCAGAAAACCGAGAACACTTGGCACAGCGATTGCCCATGGTGGTACAGATCCTGAAACTGTTCGAATGATATTACTTAAATGATCAACTTCAATTTTTTTTCTCATGTAACACAATGAAAATAATTTAGTGAAATAAATACAATATTAGTTTCTGAAATGAAAGCAATACTTTTTCATAAATTTGAACACTTTACTAGCTAACAAAATCATCATTGAAAATTTCTTGGGAAGTGTAAACAAGGGGAAAAGATGGTTTCTTCATCGAAGAAACCGTTCATCTCACGAACAGTTAATTTCATTTTCCTCTCGATTTATTCAAGTATTTTAATGTGAAAATCAAAACAGACATCCACACAGTTAGACAATGAACCCAAGACTCATGCAAGAACTACTGAATCTAGTGGTCATTTTTCCATAATTCAATGATTCCTATTGCCCATCGGCAAGCTTTCGGCGATTTTGCATTTTTTTTTGACGCATCGTAATCTAGTGCTCAATCTCAACGTTAACATTATTATACAATGTTATGCAAGGAAGCAAATTTACTCATTTTTATTTTATGTTTCTTAAGATCAAACTACTCACTACCAATAATACCATCAGTAGTTATTGTATTGTTTCCGACACTGTTGCTTGAACTAGATAAGGTTGTTGTGCTGAAATCAGGTGTTGTCGAAGTTGTAATGTCTAAAATATTATTTTAAACATTGCTTTTATTCAATTTTTGGTGCTTATCGCTTAACTATTGTCTTCGCAAACCTATTTCGCAAAAAAGAACAAGTTAAAAATTCAATACGAATTTAGCTGTCGAAGTAGACATAGATAGTTTATCCTTTATTTTTTCTTTTATTAGTGGTGGTATAAGTGACCTATAATATGTACTCTTTTTTATACAAATAACAAGCTTCCACGATTCATAACAGTAATAGCAATATAATTGCACAGCTATATCACAATTAAAAAAATCGTTTTTATGCGTATAATACGTAAAGTCTGAAGGAATCCACAGGAGATTAGCGCATCATTATGTAGTTCATTTAAAACGCAAATTATGCAGAAAGAAACTCACTACCTAATAAACGTAAAATATTTTTCAACAAGATACTAAAAAGGTGGCAGCTAAAAAACTAAAAATTAATTTCAAAATTCAAAGCACTTCTAATCAAGGATTTTCAGCGATAATACTAATTGAAAATTAACTTTATTTTCAATGTTTGATTGACGATCATGAAAAATGTGCTACTTATTTCTAAAGATATTCAATGCCATCAAGATAAAAGAACTTCTACATCAGCATATCTTCATAAAAAGTACATGCATGTATGTAAATATCAAGTGGTATCGTAAATTTTTATTGAATATATTGGTAGCAATTTTGTCAATTAAATTTAAAAAAAGAACCATCGAAGAATACATTCTGACTGATAATATGTAATGTTGAAGAAATGTTGCTAACAAAGATTATGACCAACTGTAAATTTTGTACAAAAACCAAAGGTCTTGTCTATTTAAAATTAGAAACAACGTACTATGTAACAGCTGTTGGAACAAAATGTTAAATGTTGTCACATACTATGTTCGACTTCAAAATCAATTACATTCTTTTCTTTGATTTGATCTGTGAATTTTCCGATAAATATATTTCACGCCGCAACATTTTTGTGTACTCAAAAAGTGAGCACACTCTAGAATCAGTCAGTGTGTCCGTCCGGTCGTAGGCACGATAACTTTCGAAAGGAGAGTCAGATCGTGATGAAATTTTCCACACAGTTCAATCTCATGAATATCTCGGTCGAGTTCGAAGATGAGAAGGATCCCTCAAGAAATGGTTGAGTTATCGAAAACATTGTCATTTTTGACCAGATCATCCCTGAGGAGAGGTACAGGGATTTTTATTTTCAAAAAACAATTTTTTCTCAGAATTATTCACAACATACATAGATCGACTCGGTTTTTAATGCTGATTCCGAATCTGATATTAGTTTTGAACTGAATTGTAGCTTTCTAACGAAACATCGCCTAAAAAACGTCTCAAAATGCGCAAAAACTGCATCCAGAAATCAAATTGTCTAGTTTCTCATGATAATTTTGGTGTTCAGACATTCTAGAATGACTCATATGTCCCATGCACTTGTTGCAGTACACATAACTCTCGGATGAAATCCGAAGTTTCCACATTTATTAAATGTTAGAATCAAATTTAATAAAAACAAAAACTTAACACACAAAACGAAACATAAATCAACACTGAATGTAATTATCAACAGAATACTTTAATATAGGCTTTGAAATCTTTAATAGAAACTAAGCCAAAAGAAATTTGTATTAGAATTATTTAAAATAAGAATTTTGCAAATTTATTTCTTATTATCACAAAAATAAAATAGCATGCATGATGTTGCAACGATCTTCATTAACTGTGAGAGCTCTGTTTTCTGTTAATGTGAAAACAATACACGGGAATTATAATATAGTGTTGTTCAATTGGGAAGTCACTAAAGATTTGTTCGAAAGTATCTTATTTTGAAGACTTCTGAAATTTATAGGCTGTCCTCTCTAATGAAAAAAATTCGATTATTTTCTAAGTTATCGATGTGCTCTAACAGTGCTCGATATTTTTGAGATATTATAAAAATATTGCATGGTAGATCAGCATTCCTTCTTTGTCTAACGCCGAACCGTTAAGATAAAAAGTCGAATAAAGTATGACTCAATACATTGTCGAGATTTGGGATCATTACACATTTCGGCGTGCTGATAGAAAGAGAATATTTGATTAAAATTTATCAAAGAATTTCATGATATTAAAATATTCACAGATTTATAGGATTATATCTTCTATTACATAAAAACATATCAATTTACCTGACACGTTTATTGAATACATAATAACAGAAACAAAATCCATGTTTATCATGTTTATACCGGTAAAGCATAGATATGTTAGCGAAGAATCAATAGCCGTAATGTTGATTCCCATCAGTGTTCGATTAAAATAATAGTTATTTCTACAAGAATCTTGGTTGATAGTAAAATTGGGTTTATTCGAGCATTGAAAAGTATTGTTAGGATAGACGTAAGCAAAAAATCTATTACGGTAACTGCTAACACTACAGACATCATCGTACCAAAACCAATATATAGCGTGATTTACATTGCCGTTCTCACATGACGGTAGCAGCACAGTTGAAAAGGGTTTAACTGAACACTCATATTTAATACGGGTTCCATTTACGTTTGGAAGTCTTCCATCACAAATAATGTCTGTTGTATTTGTACAGTTGGACATTTGTGCCATAACATTGATGAATAAAAAAAAGAAACAGACCAACCAACCATATATGTTTAACATCAGCAGTATGACTCCAAATGAATTTGAGATAACTTCTGTTTACCTATTAAAAATAGAAAAATAATTTATCATGTATGAATTTTTAAAACATTCTATACATCTTGCAGTACCAGAACAAAAAAGAAAAGAAATGTATAGTACTTTATGGTTTGCATCTACTTTACATCATGATACTATACAATCTCCAATAAAAATCAAGCACTGATGGAAGCTGTTAGAAAAAGAAAATCGATAAAGAGCAATAAAAATAATGTTTAAGTTTTAATGAAAAGAATGGTACCTTGTGCAAATACCGTCGTTACTTGCGTTCTATTTGCATGATATCTATGAGTATCTCACTGATAACAGTATTCGACACATAATGAGATAGCACTAGAAAAAAAATCTCTGTCAATATTACAAATTAAAACATATCTTGATTCCTGTGAATTATTGAGAGAACTGTATTTTGAAATTTAAAACAAATGTTACACAATTCCATGAATGTGGAAGATGCCACTGATTGTCGGTTGTGAGACCTCTATACAAAAAATATTGCTCCCTATATGAATCATGCACTGGCAGATGGCGTGTTATAATATTCACATAGACCAATAAACATCAGGTTAGGTGTGGTACAAAAAAAACAACAACTGCGATTAACTTATGAAACACTATCATTTACATGCGACTTCATGCTAATTGACCAAGAATGTCTTGATATAACCATGATTAGAAAAGGCCGATGGCTCATGATATTGATTGGATGATTTTGGCTAAAAATTGGTTGAATCTTTTATGTGTGGAAAGAGTAAAGATAATGACAAGCAATTGTTTTAGAATAATTGACCCATAAAGTGAATGAAGCGATTAATTTTTATCTTATGGGAAAATAATTGCTTCTGAAGATTTTCATCATATTTTTGAAATTCCTTTATACTTCCTTTGTTCTTATGAAATTTCGACGATGTCGAAATTCTATCACATCATTTCTTTCTGAAGTAAAAAATCATTGAAATGATTTCATTTTTTTTCTAGATCGTTGACTGACTGCATACATTGTAACATGTCATTGACACAGTACGTATAGAAAAATCTTGCTATTTTCGTTCTATTTTCTTTTTTCTTATGCTTTGTAGAGTTCTTCCTCAACCGTCAATGACGGGTTATGATCGTGAAGATGATGAGATCAGTAGCAGACCGAAACGAAATGAAGTAAGTTTTTTTTCTTTCATCTTTTTGTTCGATAAATTTAAACAAAAATGAATTTTATTTTGTAGCTTTCAATTGTTTCAAAATTTACTGTTCCACTTTATGGTCATCGCCAAGATTTTGTACCACGCCGACCTGATGTAAGCTAAAGTTGTATTTTACGTTTACGTTTCATTATTTTTCTCGCTCGTTAGATGTTTGGTGATGGTGGTGCATTTCCTGAAATTCACATAGCTCAATATCCACTTAATATGGGTCTTAAAAAGAATCAAGCATCAAATGCTATTCAACTTCAAGTCGATGCCGATGGAAAACCAAAGTTCGATGCTATTATCAAGCAAAACGTTAAAGGCAGTAAAGTACGTGTTTATCATTACTTGCTCATTTACTTTTTGTTTATCATATACATTTTCTTCTTTAGATTGTTTACACAAGTTTTGTCGATTTATTACCCAAAGAAGTACGTGAAGATGATCCAAGTTTACAAAAACCAAATGAAGAAGAATTGAAAGAAGTAAATGCTATGATGACATTATCATTAACGCTATTGTCTTTTTGTTATTATTTTAAGAAAACAGAAAAAACACGTCAAGCACTTGAAGCGCTTATTTCATCTAAAGTATCGTCGGCTTTACCTGTTCAGCATGCAGAAAAACAAGCACCTGCTCAATATATTCGTTACACGCCATCACAGCAAGGAGCAGCCTTCAATTCTGGCGCTAAACAACGTATTATTCAAATGGTCGAAGTTCAAAAGGATCCTATGGAACCGCCTCGATTTAAGTATGTAGAAAAAAATATATGATTCGTTACCTTTCTAGTGGTTTGTGTTTCATCGTTTAGGATTAATAAGAAAATCCCTCGTGGTCCACCAAGTCCTCCAGCTCCAATTCTTCATTCACCAACAAGAAAAGTTACTGTAAAAGAGCAACAAGACTGGAAGATTCCACCATGCATATCCAATTGGAAAAATGCGAAAGTATGATTTTGTTCTTGTGAATATTTCGTTTTGATAAAGCTTGAATTCTTCTAGGGTTACACGATTCCACTTGATAAACGTTTGGCAGCCGATGGCCGTGGCCTTCAAAGTACACATATTAATGAAAACTTTGCTAAACTCGCTGAAGCTTTATATACAGCTGATCTAAAAGTGAGATTAATCTTAGGAACCGAGGGAAAACTTTCGTTTTTTTTTCAATTTTTCTTTTTAGGCTCGTGAAGCAGTAGATATGCGTACTAAAGTAGAAAAACAAATGGCTAAAAAACAAAAGGAAGACAAAGAAGAACGATTACGTGAATTGGCTCTTCATGCTCGAACGAACCGAGCTGGTATTCGTCCTGTTGGTAAGTTATTTAATTATGCATTTTTGATGTATCTGCCGTGTTTCTTTTTAAGATAAAAGTGATGATCAAAGTGCTGAGCGTGATGAAATTCGTCACGAAAGACAAAAAGAACGACAACGTGCTGATGCTCTTAAACGAGCTGGAGGAGAAAAACGGTATTTAATTAATAGTTGACATTAAATTATTATTTTGTTTTCTTGTATTTATCTTAGAAATCGTCCAAAAGAACGTGATATTAGCGAGCAAATTGCATTAGGTGTACAAACTGCAAGTAATACAGGTGTTCAATACGATCAACGTTTATTCAACATGTCAGCGGTAAGATTTGTTTTTTGTTTATTTGCATTTGCATTTGCAATGATTAAAATGTATTTCTTGGTAGGGTTTTGGTAGTGGTCTAGGTGATGATGAAGCTTATAATGTATACGATCAAGCTTGGAATTCATCTACTGCTGTTGCTTCACAAATTTATAAACCAACAAAAACAACAAAGGATAATTTTGAAGATACTGAAGCTTTAATCAATGCTTCTAAACGGTTTGTTTTATTTTATTTTTTGAATATTTCAAAAGTTTGAATGTCAATATTTATTTAGATTTGAACAGGAACGTGGCTTCAAAGGAGCGGATCGAGCAGTAGCACGTGACGGTCCTGTGCAGTTTCAACGTGAAGAAGATCCTTTTGGTTTAACTGATTTCTTGAAAGATGTACGACATGGTGGTGCTAGTGGTTCAGCTCCATCAGCTAATTCATCGTCAAAACGTGGCAATGCAGATGATAGAGAAGAACGAAGCAGTGAAAAACGCCGCAAGAAATAAATTATCGGTATTTGGTTTCTTTGTTTTTGTATATTATGTCTCGTTATTTCTTGATTTTTTCTTGTTGTTCTTTATCTTTCTAAATGCTCTTCAAGTTTGTTTAACATGATGAGGAAAAGAAAACTTCCTCATTTGATTTGTCTCATTATTACTAGCAGTTTTTGTCGTGGCCCCGTTTGTCTGTACAACGTTTTTTTCGACTGAAATAAATGTAAAACTGCATAAACGCTTGTTATCATCTGAGATAATTTCAGCTGTATTGACTAAATCGACGCTTTAAATGCATATTCAATGGCATAATTAACTAATGCAAATGAAAGATAAGGTATTCAACAACATGAATGAGTTAAAGTCTTGAAACAACACGGAGTTGCAACACATTAGAATATCAACTTGAAGAAAATGGCTACAAGAAAAGAACGAAACCCGTTGTGTCTTTGTGTACAACAGCAGCTACAAAGACATTTTAGTAGCATCCTGAAGAAAAAAAGTGAATAGTTGCCATTGATTGGTATCGTTGTTTTACACACAAAGGCAATATATTATTGTTATTTCAGACCGTTAAGCCTTATATATTCTTTAAGAAGTTCAGTTGAATTATATTCTTGACTAATTGAACCATTGTTTGATAAAATCATTTTCCATATTAGTTACTAGTCTCAGAAATGATCAATGATGAAATCTATTAAAACAACAAAGTCAAGTTATTTGTATCAACAGGCAAAAAAATTTGAAAAAACTTTCATTAGGAAATGTGACGATTCTTTGCGCCCTGAATTTGGACCAAAATATTAAAATTAAATTAGAAACTAATACAAAAGCTATATCAAATCGTATTTACTCATTAACAATAAAATTGTTCAGGTAAAATATATATATGATAGAGTTCATTTAGGATTGAGAAATACACACAGCGAAAACGCAGATCCAACCTGCTTTTCTTCTCTAGGATATTGTTGCTGATGCATACATATGATTTGATATTGAGGTCTGTGCTGATCACGAATATATTATTCGGATTAATCTAAAATTCGAATCTTTATTTCACGGCTACCTATAATGCCTACATCTATTTTGAGTTTACTTATTGCTTCTACGATCACAGGCAGAATATTTCAATTTTTATCAAAAATCACACGTGATGCTTTATCATTTTATCTACAAAAAAAAAATAATAATAAAAACTCTCCTGGTTGTCATATTTTCAGTATTTTAATCTGTTGAGTTCCATAGAATCTAGCAGACTCATATTGTCTCAGTCTAATAGAGGCACGGCACTTGCACATAATATATTCGTTAATACCAAAAGACTTGTTTTATGGGAAGATTCCTTTAAAAGAAATTCTAATTCTTAATAATTGCTAATGATGTAATCTAGTACAATATGTTTGTAGCATTGCTGTACATAACAGTACTTAACTTGCCCTTGCAAAAAGTGCACTTTTACCTTTACGTGCCCTTACACTTCAGTACAAAAAATAATAGTTGAGCGTCAGTTTTGTTATACTATTCATCTGCATATGGTTATAAATTAATGAATTGAAGTAAATCTAAGTGCAAGATAGCTTAGAAGATAAAAACATATCATAATACTCAATTTTGGAATTTCACAAGTGTCTGCATCAGTTTTCTAATGAATACTGTTAAGGTTTGCACTGAGTTATTTGTGACTCCACTACTAGAAGTAACTGAAAATTTTATCGAAAACAACAAAATACTTTAAATAAACGGAAAGATACAGATTTGTATTCTAAATTGAACTATGAAATACAGTTTTTTTTGTTAAATATCTGTCTCAAAGTGCAAATGCAAACAACTACCGTTCAAGTACAGTTTCACAAGTAAAATTAGTATATTAGTCTTATTATTGGGGCGACAGACATTATAGTACATATTCATTGCGATTTAGATCCAAAAGCTAATCTAACGATTCAAGTAAAGGCGACATCTAAATCAATCGTTCATGAAATGATGAATCAGATTCTCCAATACATGTTTGCAAAAGCGTATTTTTCGGACACCCTTTTGTATCATTATTGATCTATGAAGCACATTTTCTTCCTATCGATCGATGATTTGATTCATTACGGCATCAAAACGCTTTCAGTTAGCGCACTGAATATTTTTAATAGACAGAAAAAAACCCTTGTAGGACGTTTTTACATAGTGTTTTCGCTCGCTTTATATAACTGTAGATAAAAATTGAACTCTATAGATTTTTGTACAAGAAATGTCTTCTCCTAAAATGACTATTGGTGACTATTTACTTCAACGATTGAAGTCTTTGGGTATTGACATCATTTTCGGAGTTCCGGGTGATTATAATTTGGTATAGTATATCTAATTATTTCACTAGCTTTTTCTTATCCATATGTGAATATCTTTGCTTTTCTTCTAGCCATTTCTTGATAAAAATCGAAGGTAATGCTCTAAATGAAAAATCATGATCATTCATAATTTCTATTTTGATATAGATTTTGATGGCATTCAATGGGGTAACAATTGTAATGAATTAAATGCGTCTTATGCTGCTGATGGTTATGCTCGTATGCGAGGCATTGGTGTAAGTTGTTATAAATGTATATAGAATAAATCTTTGTATTTGTTTGTTTAAATATAACTATTTAGGTTCTTGTCACAACATTTGGTGTTGGTGAACTCTCAGCTATAAATGGTAAGGTTGTATTCGATTATTTTTTTTACTAATAATATTTTATATTCAAAGGTATTGCTGGTTCGTATGCTGAAATGGTATCAGTGGTACATATTGTTGGAACACTTCCAACTGCATCACAAGCTAGTGGTGCCATTCTTCATCATACACTTGGTAATGGTGATTTCCTGATTTTTGCAAATATGTATAAAGAAGTTACAGTGTGTCATTTTTTCTGAATATTAAATATTCATTTCTCAACAATATCATAGATTGCTCACACCAATTTAACCAAGACAAATGCGATCGAAGAGATCGACCGTGTTCTTAATGAATGGTAATAGTCTAGATAATGATATTTAACGTTAGATATTTTGTTGTTATATTTAGTTTAAATAAAAGTCGGCCAGCCTATATCGGTTTAGCTGTAGATCTAAGTGATCACGAAATCAATGTTGATCCATTATCCATTGAACCACTCAAACGATCGCTTGTGCGCAATCCAAGAGATGTTCACTGAGCGGCTATTGAAACTGTATTAGATGTTGTTGAAAAAGCCGAAAATATTATTGTTATTGTTGATAGGTAAGAATGATAATTAAACTGATTTCTCATAATTCGTTTTTTGTGTACTCAAAAAGTGACTACACTAGATTCGGTCAGTGTGTCCGACCGTTAACACGATAACTCTTGAAAGCCTCATCCAATTGTCTTGAAATTTTGTACACAGAATGATCTCATTAATATCTCAGTCGTGTTCGAAGATGAGAAGGATCCGTCAAGAAATGGCTGAGTTATCGAAAAAATTGTCCTTTTTTGATCAGACCATCCCTGAGGGGGAGTACAGGGAATTTTTCAAAAAAACCTTTTTTTCTCAGAATTATTCAAAACATATATAGATCGACTCAGTTTTTGCAGTACACATAACAATCGGATGCGAATCCGATGTTTCCTCATTTATTTTCTTCTCATTATTAGTTGTGCTACTCGACATGGTATGATGGGAAAAGTTTTAAGATTTATTGAACGTACTCAATTGCCAGTTTATTTAACACCTATGGCTAAAGGAGATATTGATGAAAGACATCCACAATTTCATGGTATTTTTTCTGGCAATTGTTCAACAGAATCAGTTCAAAAAGAAGTTTATAATGCAGATTTAATTCTTTCGGTTGGTTCAATGAATAGCGATTTCAATACAGGTGGTTTTACTTACCGTTTATCACAGAAAAAAGCTATCGGTAAATATATTTTCTTCTCCCAACGTGTTTAAACTTTTTTATCTATTAAAATTGATCTAAAGAATTCCACACGTATCATACGAAAATATTCTCTGCTGTCTATGATAAAGTTGATATGCGTGAACTTTTACCTGATTTAACTGAGCATTGGCCAACTAATATTATTCGTCAATATAATGGTACACAAAATAATATTGAACCAGTAATATTAGATGCTAAGCATCAAACTGAAATTGTACATGAATATTTATGGCATAAATTACCAGACTTTATTCCAGAAGATTCAATTGTTGTTGCCGAAACTGGAACATCGGAATTTGGTAAATTTCTCAAATATAAATTTCTCTTTAAAATGAGTTTATATTTTAGGTATTTTTAATATGCGTGCGCCGAAAGGTGTTACATTTTTAACACAGATATTATGGGGTTCAATTGGTTATTCTGTTGGTGCAGCGCTGGTTGGAAAAGATGATAATCGTCGAGTTTTTGTGTTAGTTGGTGATGGTTCTTTTCAAGTAGGAGATTAGAAGAAGAGAAAAAGAATAATATTAAGAAAATTTTCGCTTTAGCTCGTATGTCAAGAAATATCATCAATGTTACGATTTAAAACTAATATAGTGATCATTTTATTGAATAATGATGGTTATACAATTGAAAAATTTATTCATGAACCTGATCGTGCTTATAATAATATTCAAATGTGGCGTTATCACAATAGTTTTGAATATTTTGGTGATGGACTAAAACAAAATCGAGATCAAGCCATAACTGGTTTCGCTGGTCAAGTAAAAACTCGAGAAGAATTCGAAAAAGCAATGGCACGAGTATTAAACGAAACTGAAAAGATTCATTTTATCGAAGTCGTTATGCCAGCTATGGATGCACCGAAAAGTTTAGTACTTACTATTGAAGGTACAAGAGAATACAAAAGACGTGAACAAAAAGAACATGAACAAAGTAGCTACTAACGCTATTTTAATTGTTCCTCGTCCATTGATTTTTTGTAGTGTATTATATTTTAGCGCATTGTATTGTTCTAATTCATTAATAAAATCAAGCGATCGTAGGCATTAAACATTTTGAATTTATAGAACGAATTGAGAATGTTGAATTAGTATCAGATATTCAGGGATGTAAAATTATCTAGCGGAAGATCTGCGAAAGAAGTAGGATGTAAACATTATTGATATTAAACTTTGTATGTCTTCATGCTTCACAATATGAACCATAACTAGAGTTATATTTACAGTTTAAACTAGATGGTATTCGAGTTTCACTCAGGGTACGAAATACGGGGCGAAGCTCAAATTCAAATTTCTTCGAGAAAGGGTAAAATTTCAAGGTCATTCTATGTTGACACCATTCAAACGTATATACAGGCTTAGGGAAAATCATCCAGCAGTATTTCACTCTAAAGTGATTGATTATTCGTGGCTACAAAACCGGGCGTGAGTTGTTTATATTATCATCCTTTTCTTAGAACAACGAGGACGATTCCATATATGAGCAAAAAGGAAAAGTCAAAACGTAACCATGATATTAGTGCCGTCTATTCCATACCTGCTCATTATCATTCTCTTGTTAATGAAAATGGCTATCTTCTCTTCTTTAGTAAGATGTAAAATACTGTTTTATTTAATTTTCTTTGCCATTTAAATTTAGGTTAGCGTGACTACAAATTTATTTTCGATGTTAGACGCTGTTTTGCGTCATTGAGTTACGGTAACAACCAATTAATCAGTCAAGATGATGCAATACACTTAATTCAATCATATGTTAAGGATAAAAACATCGTACGTACTCAGTCTTTTATTCTCTTCAAATTTAATGTTTCTTATATATTTAGATCGATGATGAAGGAAGACTTGTTGAAACATGTACCGCTTGAAGAGATAGCATCTTGGGTACGCTAAGATATGAATCAGAGACAAAAGGCGCCATATATTTTTGTGAATAATGGCTTAGAATTGAATAGCGAAAGTGTTTACGTGATCAGTTTCTCAAATGATGTACATAGCATGGTTTCCGCCAAAATAACTTTCACTATACGCTTTGAGCAAGTGTCAAAAATAATTCTATTCTCATATGAAGTACTGACTATGAAATGATTCAAATGTTTTTTACAAAATAAATAACGTTTTCAATGCGAAAATTTGCAAATAAAAATGATTAGACTAATTCTGAATAATAAAGGATGGCAAAATTATGACCGCTCCAGCTAAAACCTATTGACTCTACTTACTTTGTAAATGAATTCTATTCTATAATTGTATTGAAATAACTAAAACAATGCCTGGGCCTATCAATGCTCAATAGCAATCATACGGATCATAGATCGAAGTGAAATTGGAAACAGTATACTTTAGGTAGATAAATATTTAAACATGAACGCACATAGTTGTATGTCTATATTTTGCTCAATTATAGAAACCAAAAGGTTCAATGCTAAGATTTGTCTGTTATCAGGCATAAGGATCTGGAACATTATGACCATCGAGTTCTTTTTTCATCTGCAGTAATGAACAGGGGCCACAACATGATGCTAAACAATCTTCGATTAGTGAACCCTGTGAAACGCAAGAAGAGTGTAGATATATGCAAGAAAAAAGACGGCACTTACTCGAATACCATAAGCCATTCTAATCTTCGTTCTTAATGCTTGTGTTGCTCCAGGAAAACAACACGAGAAAAAATGCTCACCAGCGCGTCCATGTAGTCGACCCGCACAAATACATCCGCAGAGGCAATATATAATACCTAATCGAAATCAGTAAACATTCAAAAAAAATAATTTCAAGTACTATTGTTACCGTCTGTAATTGGATTACACGATTCGAAAAATTCAGTTTTCCATTCTGTATTGAATGGATTAAGTTTGCTGTCGGCAACAGGTTGTGCAGTTATAGCATTGCTAATACAAAGATAATACCGATCAAATTAGTTATAATAAAAAACACAAGGTAAAAACGACTCATAATAGTTTAAGTTTCATGACATTATCACAAAAACATCAATCACAATTGAAAGTACTTCACAAAAATGCAATTTTCTAACCGAATTTTCACATGTAGCCGGCGTTTAAGAAAGGAAATATATTTCTAAATTCAACTTCAATTACGGTTAAATGTGAGCAAAGTATGAATTATTCTAAGAAATCAAATAAAAATAATCTCGGACTGCAAAATTTCGAAAATGTTACAATTAAAAAGAATATCTCAGGTACTTTAGTTGCAAGCAAATGCATGTAGCTCGCTAACTTCCTATGCAGCTGTTGCAGTTGAGATTGGAATAGTCGATTTAATTAAAGATAGAGAAAATAGACACAAAAAAGCGCAAAGGAAAAAAAGAATTCTCAAAAATCAAAATTCAAAAAACGTTATATGAGCGATATGGAAATTTCTCCTATGAGTTAGATTGAGCGAAGCATTTTCTAATTGTTCATAATTTAGGTTTCTTTTTTAAATTGGTGACTAAACCAAAAAAAATTTATTTCTTATTTTTCACTTATCTCAATGCGCTCCCATATCGCTTGTATGAATCATATAGTAATTAGTCTATCTTGTTGAATTGATACTTTAATATTAAAAGGAAATAAAATACTTCGTTGATTATGATATTTATGTTACATCATCAAATAAATATTTATTTATCCTAGTTTTACATTTTCAAATTTAGTAGAATCTATTAAAATCTAATTTTTTTGTAATCATTTGTTTATTAATTTGAGTTTTAATAGTCGATCTTCGTCACTATGAAACAGACAATGATTAGACATAAATTATGAAGTTTCTTTTATATTAACATATTCATTTTTTTTTAACGAAGAACGATTGTAGATAATAAAACATCAAACGGACTACTCATATAAGAAACTTCTTTATTAATTTCATTAAAAATTAAAATACATTTACTTTCTTTCCATATTATTTGAATTAAAAACTCGTTTCATTCCCATCCCAGCTACTCGAGACCCGTACTTCGAAGTAACGATAGCGAAAATCTTTTTCTTTTTTTCAAATATAAGAAGAAAAAATCAATGTCCCGATGTCCCGAGCATTAAAACATAAACATCTATTCAGAATCTTTGTCGTTGTTCTCTCTTCAATCAGGAAAAATAGACAGAATTAATCTTGGAAACAAAAATGTTTTTTTCTGAATTTCCATACTCAATCAGACTATCTCATATTATTCACTAAAAAACATTTTTATTTCTATGAATGGCTTTCTCACAACATCTATAGAATAATCAACAATTCCAATCTCAACTAGATTCTAAACTCGACTGTCACATAGACATACTTTTACATATGTAAATATCCCATATCACACCCTGAGATATACGTTCATGATCTTGAGTTAAGTAGATCTTCGTATGTTTCTGTTTACAATCGTATTAGTTTGTTTTGGATAGAAAATACTAGAAATTTTTTCAACCGTTTTAACAAATTCGTTCCCTTTTGATTGTTATATCGTCAACATAAAATAAGTCTAGCTGATCTTTTATCAGGGTATTGTATATGGGTTGAAACCAGCAGATGATTCCTCTTTTTTTTCGTTACCGTTTTTCAATAGATTCTTGGAGTAGTTTTGAGTTTCAACTGGTCATTCAGGAAGCGTTTAAGATTTCTGACTAACTATCAATTTCTTCATAATTCATGATAAGAAAATCAATAACAATTTCCGTACTCAATTATGTAGATGTGATTTATATAGGAAAGCAGTGGGAAAAGCTCAACATTTCCATCAAATTCTCATGAAACATTGAACAGTTTGTTATCAAAGCAAGTACAGATAATTAGCAAGAATTCTTTTCGAATCGTTAAAATTTTGTAAAGAAACCAGAAAAAACTGCCACTTTACTACACTACATTGCATATAATTGTGACTAAAATGCTTGCTACAAGAGACACTAAATCTAATATCCTTCGGTTCGGATACTGCTGTTGTATTGTTAAAGAATTCTATTTGTGAGAAATGATAATCATCTCAGAATATTCAACTGTAATTCTTATTATATAGAAATACTATTGCAGTTATCAGAATCTTTTATTCGATATTTACCTTAATGAATTAAATATTGCTGCCATTCTCCAAGTATGTTATATGTCGTTTGGGTATATCTTGGTCGATTGAAATTTGTTGATTGATATTAGTTTGTCAATAATTCTGTGTAGAGCATAGAATCATTAGAATGTTGCAAATAAAAACAAAAAATTGATTAAAACTATTATTCAAAAGTTTCGATATTCTATGTGAACTCTTCTGTGTTATCAATCGTGAAATGAATGATCTTTGCATTAAACCCTTAGCTGATTACTAGACTGCTAATACTTATCGATTAAGTCACGTTCTTATCAAACGCAACCTAGTATCATGGATTAAAAAAGATAAGACTTCGGAAATCAAGACAAAACTTACCATGTTTTTTCAACCATAAGCACGAAATAAAAAAACTAAGCGCTCACAAATATACACATAAAATCTTACATGTTATAATATCAATAGGTGCGTCTTGGATTTCTCGTATGTTAGTAGAGAAAAATCTCTTTATTTATCTTTGTTGCTTATGACCGAGACTCTTTATTATTATGACCTGTATAAAAGTTTTGATGTTGCTTTGCGTTCGCTGTAGTTTATTAAAACGATAGTGATCAAATATACTTCTATACTCAAATATCCTTTTACTACACATCAAACTTTATAAGATATGCAGATCAAATTCGAAGTTTTTTACTTAAAAATATACAAGAAGAAGAATTTCATGGTCATTTCTGTTGTTTTGATACCTTATCAAAGTCTCTGACATGAAACATAATATTTATGATGCAATAACGGCAAAACTCCAGATTTTAGACATTTTTATTGATTTACCATATCTTGTTAAATTGTACTACTAATGAGATTAAAAATGTGTTGTTCGTCTAAACATAACCTACTCAAATCAAGTTACTATAACATAATATTTTCCAGTATTATGGAACATACATAAAATTACATTTTGTATTTCTATTGAGAGCAATCAATGACAACTGAAACTCATGTTTTGTTAAAAATACTATAAATTCTTGTGCTTTCCAGTTTCAGATTATTTTTTCTGCATTCGGAAGAAAATTCTCATCTTCTACTGAGAAGACAGAGACATCAAGGAACGACTTTGACCAATATTTACAGTATTTCCATGTACGCTAGTATCCAACATACTCATGGCTGCAAATATTACAAAGTTTGTTTTTTTGGAATTTCTGTTTATAACTAAAAATTGTTCAACGAAAATAATCAACATTACAGTAGCCATGAGCTATGTGCTTATCTGAACTAGTTCAATGTCCCATAACTCTAATGATTCGACTTTTTATCAGCATACTTACAGTACGTGTCACTGAACAGTAGATAATAAATGGCGTACATAAGTGACGTTATTTAAATCGCAAATACGATTATTATAAAAAAAAATAGAAGTCTCTGTTGACAACATTTCTCAGCATGCAGTCGGCATGACTACAATAACTGTTGTCGATCAGTTAGACTTGTCATTTAATATTAAAACGCGTTTTTTCTTCTTCCAACAAATCATTGTGACATTTAATCGAAGAGTAAAAACACTGAATCTTCGTGAACAGTATTTAAAAAGCTTGTCAGCACAGCCCCGTTGGGACTAAAATGTGGAACTCACATATTTCGATCAATTAGATACTGATCAAATAGAAGTTTTATTTTTTCAGAATAGTGAGATCATATTTTATTCAAAAATAAGAAAAAAAACCCTTTTTAACATTTGAAGTTTATTGGATCTATNTTATAATGATTTCTAATTAGTGAAACTAGATTTTTATTACTGATGTGAGTAGTGGTGAACATAGGCAATCCATCTGTATAAAAATTTTATCTAATCAGTGCACCGAAGTGTTAGTTTTTTTATGTTTTATGTCTGTAATGGAGAGTGGGGTACAGGGGAGCCGCAAAAACCTAACAATTCAACTTACACTCACTATTTTCTTCGAAAATATATGTGAGTTCCACAAAAAACACGAAAATATAGCTATAATTGTAAGCATTGGTTTTACAGCATTGTCCAAAATCAAGACCTCTCAAATCATAGAAGAGTACTCATCAGGAATAAACATATATCTACATAAGTCTACTCTCAAGAGTCTTCAGTATAAGTCAATTTTTGAAAAACTAGATCAACGTCAATCTTAAACAAACTAATAAACTGTTGGTGACCGTGGAGAAACTTATTTCCAATAAAAAAGAAAAATATTTAAATATCTGTATTATTATTTAGCGGCTGACTTTTCCAAGATCATTCTTTGTTTCTTCGTTTCATTTTAAACAATAGCACTATTAACATCATGTTTTTAATGTATGGTTAAAGACAGAAACTATAACATATAACTATCAAAAGACATCTTATTCAAAACAGTGACGTAAAAGTTCTGCTTGTTTTTGTATGAAAAACTGGTTATCCGCAAAGCATTTCGTCAGAAAAACATTTGATGGATAGATTGTATCTTTGAATATTCAGTTCATCCTTACTTTAGCATTCTAATTGCTAATTTCAACCCCATGTGACGGCATAAGCGTCAGTGATGTTATCTTAGTGCCTGTTTGTTTCTTTTTCTAGCGTCCCTATCTTTTTCCTCTTGTTAGTTTTTGCGCCTAATATTGTTAATTCATTATTTTTATTCTCTCTTTTTTTTTTCTTCCAGCTTCTTCAAGCTGCTTCATATATATCTCTTCGCTGAGATATACCTATACTCATTATTTCAATACTTTTCGCTCATCATTCGAGCGTATCTTCTCTAACTACTATTTTTCTTCTCTATCAAAACGAATCATCTTTTTGATTAATTACATTTTGCTTTTCTTTCTACTCGATTCTCCCTTACAATAGTTCCACTTCGTGTCAGCTACTTGCTTGTGGAGTTTTTCTTATTCTCAACTATTTCTGTTCATTGAAGAAACTATTGGATCTTCATTCAATATTCAATACTATTTAATTTTCACTGCTGTCATTCTGCCATAACTAATATTGTCGCACCTGGCATTTTTATTAGTTGCGTCCTTGATCTTCATCAAGGCGTTGCACCCCATCAGGCCTCACAAACATATCTTATACGTCATGCTAAAAAATGACTGCGAACAGATAGATTTCTCCTTATGCTTCTCTTTAAATAAGTGAACTTCAATATCACTAACAGTTTGAGAATAATATTAGAAATTTTGACTCGTAATTTTGATAGAAGTAAAAATAACAGAAAACTTCACTCTGCGCAGAGCTGGGCAAGTCAAGTCAAAAATGCCCCAAGTCAAGTCAAGTCAAGCCAAGTCAGATCAAGTCAAGTCAAACCAGTCAAAGCAAACCAGCCAAGTCAAGTCTTGACTTGACATAATAAAAAAAAAAAATTTTCTATTTTTGGACGAATTTACTGTTTTCTATGAATTTTCCAGATTTTTAAATTTTAAATTTTGTGATCTTTGATTATGTGATTTTTTAATGTTGAGTGAGAATACACCACGGTCAGGAAACAATAAAAGAGAAAATTTATTTATCTGTTTAAATATAATGCGCACAGAACAACAAAAGAAAAGAACATCAATTGTTGCAAGATAAGTACAATTGGAATCCAATTGCACATATCTTGGAACAATTAGTTTTCTTTTCTTTCTTATCTGTTCTGCACGCGGCACTGTAACAATCGATAAGTGCTATACAGAGTTGGGCAAGTCAAGTCAAGTCTGACTTGACTTGACTTGACTTGAAAATTATTTTTGTGACTTGGAAAATCTCTGACTTGCCCAACTCTGACTCTGCGAGAATCTAATGAATGACGTAAAGGAAAAAAATATCGTTCACAGAATATATCATAAAATAAAATAAAATAAAAATCTTTGAATAAAGTGAATGAAAATTAAAATTTTTAGTTTCATAAAAATTATTGAAATATTGGTAAATTTTGTTGCATGAATATTATTGCATCTATAAAAAAACGGCTTAGCTTATGTTTTTTATTTGACTTATTTATCGTATCCAATAAATAGAAGAGCACATAACTTTTGTTTATGCACTAAATCACTTGCTGTCATGGACACCATTATGCATATTTACTTTGCAACATTTTCTTCTCAACTTTACATCCAAATTTCATATAGTCACGTTTTTAATAATTAACAGCATGCATTAACTTCTATTCGATCCGCATATAGAAGATTACAAAAGCGCTTTTATAGCTCAAATTTCTGTGCAACTATAATGAATCATCTCGTACTTATTTAAAGATCACCCAATGTTCAAAACCGCGCACAATAAGTTTTATGGAGCTCACATATATTTTCGAAGAAAATAGTGAGTGTAAGTTGAATTGCTCTAGGGTTTTTCGGCTCCCCTGTACCCCACACCCCCCCCTCCATTACAGACATAAAACATAAAAAAACTAACACTTCGGTGCACTGATTAGAAACTTGTATGATACAGATCGATTGCCTATGTTCACCACTACTCATATCAGTAATAGAAATCTAGTTTCACTAATTAGAAATCATTATCATTAGGATTTAATCTCTGATTAATCGTCAAAGCCTGTCGTCTCTTGTTATTATAATCCATAGTTACGACAGTATCGTATATTTTTATTATTATTACAGCCCATAGTTACGACAGTATCGTATATTTTTCTTATTACAGACGTTAGCAACGAGTGTATGCTACTGCTACAGAAGCTAGCAACTAGTTTATGCTACTATTATACTCGTTACTTCTACCACCTAAACTCCTCCCCGTAATAAAAGACCCCGGGTCTTCTATTACGTCCAAGCGTAAAAAGTTTCCAAAGGGGTCTTCTATTGTGCCCGCTAATTTTTGTAATTTTTAATTAAAAAAGTTTTCCAAAAAAAACTTTTAGTTTTGAGCTTTTATGAAAAGATTTTTTGGGTTTTCAAAGTGCAGTAGCGATGTACACTTTGTTCGCACAACAGTTACAATCAAAAAAACCCGAAATTATGCTTATTTTTAAGGAAATTTACTAATTAAAATATTAATTATACTAGTTTATTAACTAATTAAAAGGGTTCTTGTAATATGAGGGGGTCTTCTATTAAAGGGAAGGGTTTACAATAAACAGATGAAGATTTTAATCTTTTTTTTCTCACACAAATACCTTATTCTAGCGCTTGAATCCACTTTAGTGTATTTACAATTTGCAACTTTTCCATCCATTGGGAAGCTTTTATCAAATTTTCGTTTATGAAAAAATGTATCAATTTCTCATTTGATAATATGAAAAAATATAAATTTCTCAACAATATTGACAGCTATATCCCAAATACTGTTTAAACTATTATCATTCACAATATTTCTCAATGAAACCACTAAACACTTCAGCATACTGACATATTCTAAACAAAATTTTTTTTATACGGTCTCTCTAGTAATATTTCCTGTTGATAGATTCAATAAACTTCAAATGTTAAAAAGGTTTTATTATCTTATTTTTGAATAAAATATGATCTCACTATTCTGAAAAAATAAAACTTCTATTTGATCAGTATCTAACTGACCGAAATATGTGAGTTCCACATTTTAGCCCCAACGGAGCTGCGCTGAAAAGCTTTTTGATAAATATCACCATGACTGGTAGTATCATTTGCGATAAAGAAATTATTGGCTTCTATATTTTATACACAACATCGCTGCAGTTTCTTTACTTAGAATAAAAATTTCTAATTTGAAAACATATAATCACAAATAACCTTCTGAATAAGTTTAAAAGGTAGTTTTAATATTATTTTTTTTGAGCCATTCTCATTGTTCATATTTGAAAATTTCACTAATTGATCATTAGGGACTGTGAAGAAAAACACGAATCAGCCGATATTTTTATAACGACGAATTTCTGTTGGTTTGCTGAGAAGAGGTCGAAGTTCTTCACTGGCTTTATTAATTATTGAACTTGTTAAATGTTGATCAAGTGCTTGTACAGTCGACCATGCTTGCAGAAGTGTTATTTGTGATGGTTCATTTACATTCTCACATAGTTCATATTTTAAACATGTTTGTTCTTTCTTCGCTTCAATAATCGTATCGTATAGAAGTTTTTTTACATTTTGAGTTTTCTCAGGAATCGGCCATAGATCAACAACAACGTAAACGATGTCTTTTCTTGAGGTAGTCATCTAAAACGAAGCGCGTTTCTTAATTGATTTATCATTTTATAGCTGGAGTAGTTTTAACATCAAACAACATTCTAATCCTTACCGTATTATGTAGCTGCTCAGATTTGTTTCACTGGTCGAAAGACTGCAGGTGTCAACTATTTTTTTTCTTGAGGTTAACAAACAGAAAGTTTTTCTTGTGGAAAAATAATAGAGAAATGTTTCCTTTTATCTCATCAAGAGTGCATCAAAAGAAAAAAAGACTACTATGACAACACTGTGAGTTGTTCATAAAATAGAAAAAACTCGGATGTTGACGCACTAAAAACGACAGCAGAATCTTATTATTCTTTATTTTTAAAGTTGTTTCGCTTATTAATTCTTTTTCCGCATTAATTGACTATCAAAACTTTTGCTGCACCAGTAACAAGAAAAATAAAAAGAAGAATTACGTGGACGTCGTCCTATCAAGTGTATCACATCAACTGTAATCACCTAGATGAAACACTAATCGGCTGGTTTATTTACAACTTGCCATTGATCCATGATATATTATTACTTATTATTATGGCTGAGTCCGATATTCACTACATAGTGGATGTATACATAAAATTAGAATCAGTGGAAAAAGTACGTGCTATATTATTAAAAATTGTACAAGATTCACGCAGCGAAGATGGCTGTAAGGAGTATAAATTATTGGAAAATTTAAATGATCAATCGCACTTTATGTTTATTGAAACATGGAAAAATGAAGCTGCATTCGAAAACCATTCACAATCGGATCATATTCAACAAGCAAGTCTAGATATTGGCAGTTATTTAGCAAGAGCTCCTGATATAAAACGCTACAAATATTTGAAAATACCTTCAAAACAGCTGAATACTAGAAATAAAAGTCGTTTTTGTACATTGTTTTAATGATTAAAAATGAAGTATATAGTAATTTTGTACTTTCGGCACAATAGTGAAATATCCTAAGCGGCCTGAAATTTATTGATCAGAACAATTGTTGATTTGTATTCAAAGTTGTTGCAAACAAAACTATATGACACTTTAATCGTTTCTTATTAATTTTTTTCAAATTCAAATGTTTAATAAGCATTCTCAACCTATTTTACAACTGTTCTGTTCATACAAATGATTCAGCCATGCTTTTTAATTAGATTCATTTTTTTTACGCACTATTCTATTTCTATAGGTATGCGTAAGTAATAGGTTATAGTAGTTTATCGAAACGTGACTTGAAGGACAATAAATAAAGTACTCAGTTTAAATAGGCAAAATCTTGAAATAAGTAACAAGTACATTACAAAAAACTTCCATTTCTTTGCCGATGTCGTGACATCATCTTTACAAATTCTTTTGCTATTTATTTTTAGAATAGTGCTTTTACTAAATTAAAATGAAATTTTAATTGAACTGTTTTTGCATAAGAAATATTTAATTTAACTATACTTTTGATAGTTAGATATGACGGAACAAAAGAAGATGGCGTATTTATAACGAAAGATAATTACAGCCATATACTCTCTTCTAGATACAAATATTGCATTCATATTTAGACTGATTCAATTATAATACTTCACTAAATCTAATTAATTAATTGATGAACGAACTAAATAGAATATTAGTACATTTCATATAACGATAAGATTTTTTTCAGATATAAAATCTACAACAAACTGATTTGACATATAATTGGATACGAGTAACGGAACACAAACAAAGAATAAATGCAGCTGACTGTTTTTCCATTACTGTTTATTTAAGGAATCTTTGATAGTTATGCTGAGAAAAATTATTCATGCAAATGTAACTATCACTATCATTATCTTGTTCTTTTTTGTAGTTTGCTAGCGAATAAGTTAACCAGAAAAGTATATTAAAGTTTTTCTAGCTTATTTTAGTTCTTTTATATTTATACTATTGAATGTTACACTCGCAATTTTACGCTTCAAATATGAAAAATTCTATTATTGAGACATACATTGTCATTGTACGTTGTTAACTACTACTGCAATAATGAATAAAAGAAAAGGATTCTTTTTTTATTAAAACAAAATGAGTGAAACATTGTTGATTCTATAATCAAATAAATTGTATGGAAACGAAATTGATATTCAAAAATTCGATTCGATAAATCTATACTTTGATGAAGGCAATGAATATTTTATTTGAAGCAACAGTGTACTGTAAACATATAAACCTATTTTTGAACACTCTTTTAATACTACTGAAATAGATCAAAAGGGCGAGATAGCTAACTACATTATATGTTATGGCAATACTTTTATCAAATATACGCATGAATATATGTTTTGTACAGATCTTTTTTTCGTATCCGCACGACACATCGTATCGAATTAATGGTAATGTCTATCATATAATAGTTTTATGAATGATCTTATTTGTTTAGACAAAAATGTCGTATTCTATCATTTAGCTCAATTGTGTATGATATCATTACGATCTTCTGTTTATTTTCTTACTCATCGTCAACTCAATTATTAAAATATGTCATTGTAGACATGGTACTATACGACAAAAATTTTCCAATCACCGAACAATCGATTTATTGACACAACGCATAGTTAGTAGCTTATTTATTTTGCATCTGATTAAGAAAAATAGAAACGGCATTTCTTTTCAAATTACTACTCAAGGCATTCTCTTTGTTGTTATATGTTTGTTACTCAATTTTTTATATTAATGAATTCTAACGATATGTTTTCGCTGAGCTAGACTATGTTCAAGCACACTAAATAGTACATATGGCATATGCTAAACTTTGCACATTAGTTAAAGAAAGATTGAATAAATCTCTGCAAAAGATAAGGTTTCAATATTATATTTTTATTTTATTTTCACTACACAACCTAAGATGACAAATAATAAATGTAGAAACTTCGGATTTCATCCGAGAGTTGGTTGTGTACTGCAAAAAGTTCATGGGACATATGAGTCATTCTAGAATGTCTGAACACCAAAATTATCATGAGAAACTAGACAATTTGATTTCTGGATGCAGTTTTTGTGCATTTTAAGACGTCTTTTAGGCGATGTTTCGTTAGAAAGCTACGATTCAGTTCAAAACTAATATCATATTCGGAATCAGCGTTAAAAACTGAGTCGATTTATATATGTTGTGAATAATTCTGAGAAAAAATTATTTTTTGAAAATAAAAATCCCTGTACCTCTCCTCAGGGACGATCTGGTCAAAAATGACAATGTTTTCGATAACTCAACCATTTCTTGAGGGATCCTTCTCATCTTCGAACTCGACCGAGATATTCATGAGATTGAACTGTGTGGAAAATTACATCACGATCTGNGGATCCTTCTCATCTTCGAACTCGACCGAGATATTCATGAGATTGAACTGTGTGGAAAATTTCATCACGATCTGACTCTCCTTTCGAAAGTTATCGTGCCTACGGCCGGACGGACACACTGACTGATTCTAGAGTGTGTTCACTTTTTGAGTACACAAAAATGCGTCCCAAAATCACCCATGAATAATTATTCAATTAAATTAGATATACCTAAGAACAGAAAATAATGATGTTCACGCAAAATGATTGGTCAATTGGAATGACCAATGAAAAATATTTGATAACACCTCTATAATGAATAATTACAAACAAACGTTTTGTTTTACTCAAAGAAAATTTGTTTTAATAAATAAGCTTGTTCTATTCTTTACTCTATTGAAATTGATTATGCTTGATTAAATATCCAATCAAAAGAAAATCTTGATTTATTTCATGCAATCAATTTTTTTTCATAAACATATGTATACACTGTTGTCATTTCAGAAGATGACTACTGTCTGATTGAATAGGAAATTTTTCGACAATGGTTAGTATTGCACATTGGCTTGATACATTTACGTGTAGTAAATATGCTGATCGTTTTGAACGATCTGGATACCTAAATCTTCAATCGGTAGGATATCATTAATTGATTAACAATAGATTTCTTTTGAATTCATACTAAATCATAGGTATGCCATTTAACTGCTGCTCAATTGCAGTCATTAGGTATTGCAAACAATGATATATATACAATAATGGAAAATATCTTTCTTTTGAAACAAAGTGTCAAAAGTTCGTTTTCATAAAGCAAATCCTTTTTTTTCTGTAATTATAAAGTATTTTTCGTTGAAAATAGGTATCAATAGTCCACCACGTCATCTTGATCTTAATTCAGAACCGCCACCATCAATAGTCCGTTCTCGCACAGGTTTCGATATTTTTTTTTGCAATTTGCTATATACACACATATATAACCTAATTTTATTCCATTTTCAACAGCTAGTCCTGCCATAAATAATTTTAATCGAAACATGAATCAAAATCCAACTGCTTATTCTCCTGGACCTAATGTTAGTACACCACCAGCAAGTAGTGGTCCATCACCTGATCGTGGTCTTCCTGGCCCGTCACCATTTGATACTCCATCGAATTATCATCGTTCGAATTCTTTTCCGAATCCAGTCAATCCAAATACTTTTTTCGATGTAAGTCCAACATCATCAACTTCATCACCTCATCGGTCAACATCAATCGATAATATACCTCCACCAATGGAAGGAGCGCCATACAACGATTATCTACCTCAACCATCACCTCATCAATTTCAACCACCAGGAGGAATGATCTATCGTGGGGGTAATAATGTGCCTGGTGCAGGAGGAAATTATTATAACCCACCACCTCCACGTTTCTACTCTCCTGAACAGCAACAGGCCTTCATGTATTCAAATCCACGAATGATGATGCAACAACATCCATCGTGGGGTGGACATCGCCCACCACTACCACCTCCATCATCATCACATCAAATGCATTACAACCCATATGAGCATCATCAATTTCGAATGGCACAATCACAACAATTTTGTCATCCAAATCATCCAATCATGTCAGATCAAAATCAAATGTTTATGAATCAACAACAATCAAATATGAACTCATCGTCATCCAATAAATTATCTAACTCAGCTGAATCACATCCACACCCATTGCAATCACTTGAGCGACTAGTACTTTTACCTGAATCACAAGTAATATCATAGTAGTACAACATAATTCTTTTTTTTATCGATTTTTTTGTTCATATAGGTTATCGATCCAAAAAGTGTTGTTAATGAAATTCATGATCCTCAATCACCATTCAGTGAATCGTTATCGCCATATGGTACATTATCACCCAAGAATACTGTGGGAACACCACCAACAGCAACGATTGTTAGTAATTTACTGACAAATGAAAAATCAATTCTTGAACAACATACAAAAGCATCAAGTGGTTTAAAACGTAGTTCCACACATGATGAACGAAATGACTTGAACAAAAAAAATCGAATGAATACAACTAATGATTTAAATACAGGCGATTCAATTATAAATAATCATCCTGTAGTAACAAGCTTATTGACAAGAGGTTTAAATAACTCAACATCACAAGCTCCATTACCATCTATTAAGTCATTACAACAAAAACATAATCCGTCGTTTATTCAACAACAGCAGCAGCAACGACAACAACAAATGATATTTCCACCAAATCAACCTGATCCACAACAGTTTGTCGATGGATTAACTAATGGAATAGTTGACGAAACAATGGATGTTTACGAACAAGATTATGAACAATTAATGATAAAACTACGATTAGCCATGGATAAAAATCGCACAAAGAACAAATTATTAAAGTAATTATGTCAATGAAGTACTAGCTATACTTTTTGCTCTCTTGATAGATTTTGATTAATCTTAAATAATCAGTCTGATGAAAACTCTTTAAATATGACTTTCTTTTTAATTATTAACTTCTAGTTTTTTTTGCGGCAAAGCTTCATAGGAATGAGTAGACTCTTATTTTGAATAAGCTACCGTTAATTCTGGCATGATGAGCAACAAAAACCTTTCTGAATCTAGTAATGTATGTTCTCCGGCTTATGTGCATAACGCTAAGAAAATAATGTAACATATATAGCTATAGCTATATATATTGCGTTCTAATAAACAGCGAGGAGATACAGAAGAGGATAGGGTCGACTAGTCGTATATATTTAAAAAGAAAAAGAAAACAAAAATAAATATCAGATGCCAACAGCAGTGATTGATTAACTGCTAGACAAGAAGAATCTAAAACTCTTTTATTAATGAATATCTCTACAATGTGAGCACTTTTTACCGTTTTCTAAATTGAGAAAGTTTTAATGCTTTGTAAAAATAGTTATCTACTACCAAAGCGTTACACTGAAAACATTATGTCCTGCACGACTGCATTTCTAGCAATTAAAGCATCGTTCTTAAGTATATGTTTATTGGCTATGAAATTACCTACAAGTTTCAATTATCCAATTGAACATCGTTTGTTCGTTTTTATTTTGAGATATTTTGCATTAAAAAATATCGTAGTAAAACTACAACGTGAAATTAATGTGAAACATGTCAACTCAAAATCAATTTCCTAATTATATATATATATATATATATATATATATATATGTGAAATACAAAGCTAATATAATATGTTAATGCAGAACAGATTACGTAAAAGGAAATGCTTTCGGGAATGGATACGACTCCTCATTTATATATTATATAAGAGAAGTTTTATATTGAACCAAAAACAGGATCTGTTTCACCTTGAATTTTTTATTGTATAATTTTTAGCAGCACATTTCACTACCTGACAAATTAGTTTTAAAGAGAAAGAAAATACTCTTCACTATAGATGAGAATAATAATTAATTAATCAGCCAATCCAATGGCACGCTAATGAGCTGTTATGAAGGAAACACAATTTAATAGCACGGGTTCTTTTTAAATCACTATGCATCTAATACCAAAAAAGTAGTTTTTACTAGATTTTCTTGTTATGTACTTTGGACTTATTTTCGAAAGATCTCTTACAAAAACATTTTCTTATCTTTACGATCGATAGGATTCTAGTGGCCTTTGATATTCATACAATAAAATCCATCTTTTGACGAAATTCATTTCGGTAGAAATTCTTTCATGTTGACTAAATTCCGAATGTATTATAAAATCTCTATGGAAAAAAGCTATTTTTAATGTTTCCTCGTTGTCGAATCTAAATAAAGCCTTGATTTCTTATTTAGTTTGAATACAATAAAAATTCCATCACAATTAGATGGTGTATCTGATCCAACAGACGTTACTTCGAAATCATCAAGAAAACATGATTCATCGACATCATCTGATCATGGAACTTCGAATAGTGAAAATCAAAGTTCATCTGTAAAAAATCATTTAGATAAATCAACTAGTGATCCAACGGGTTCATCTCAAAATGGTACTGGAAACAAGTGCGATGCCGCTTTAAATAATAATCATAAAGTGTCCTATAAACGACGTTTATCAGATAGTAACCTTGAATTAAATCATTCAATCAATGGTCATCATTCGAATTCTATATCATCTGATATTAAAAAACCGAAAGTTATTCAATCACCAACTCACTCCGATATAGACCATGAAGCGAATTCATCATTTGAAGCTGTATCTCAAAAAATTACAACAGATAATTCTTCATGTAAACCTATTCGAGAAGCAAAAAAACGTTCTTTAATTTATACTGGTAATACACGAGAATTCTTAGAAACAGCTATAGCAGCTGGTATTATGGATGACATTGGTGATGAAGAAGATGAAGATAATGAATATGTACCCCCAGGCGGTACAGTTACTTTGCGCCCTCAACCCTCATCATCGTCATCTGAAAATGAAGATGAATCAACCAAAAGTAGTGATGATAGTAGCAATAGTAGCAATGATGACGATAAAGAGGAAGAAGAAGACGAAGAAGAAGACGACGACGACGACGACGAGGAAGAAAAGAATCATACGGATGATAATCAAGATGAAAAAAATAGTGGTACTGAAATGATTTTAAATGAAGAACCAACAGAAAGTGGAATTAATTGGAATGTGAGAAATCGTCCTCAACGACGAACACATCTGATTCGTTTTGATAATATATCACAACAAGATGGTAATTAAAAACAAAAACTTCCGCAATTGATTATTTTTTTTGCTAACTTGCCTTTTGTTTTTCAGAACAACAGTTTTTTGGAGCATTACAAGAACAAGTTCCTGAATTGGCTGCTTATCTAAATGAAGATTCGGATGATGAATATGACATGACAGCAGATGAAAAAGTTACTGATGAAGTCAAAACTGGGAAATCTTCAACAAAAAAATCACGACGAACTCAAAATAGAAAAAGTTCAGAACCAGACTCCCAAACAGACGAAATTATGAAAAAATTTCGTCATGTTAATGTACCAGTAGAAAAGAAAAAGCCGAACAAAAAATCTCATGTTAATGAATCAACAGTAATATCAATGAAAAATGTATCAGATGAATTATATGTTATTCTTAATGACAATTCACCACGAACTATTGTCTCAGGTACACATCTTGATACAACAGGAGCTCAAAAGAAAAATTCAACTGTACAAGCATTTAATTTTCATCGACGACAAATCAAAATGAATACAATTGCAGATACAAAAGCTCCTTGGCGATGTGTTTTTTGTTGGAAAGAACCCTATGAAGAATATCTTGGTCCTTTGTTTGGTCCATTTCAATTGAATGAACAATGTCGATCGTATCTTAATCATAGTTCGTAATCGAGTTTCACTGATTGACTAAACTTTTACAAATTATTTTTTTTTCTAGATAAGCAACTAGCTAAACATTACAGAAAATTAATCGAAGTTTGGCTACATCGTGATTGTGCATTATGGAATAATCATATACAAATGAATCCTACAACAGGAGAACTAATGCAAATTCCTGATGCATGCTCAATTTATCTTGATATTGTAAGTATTATTTCGAACATTTTATCACTGATCAAACGCTTTTCCTTTCTATGCTTTATTGAAAAGGAAATACTTTAATATCATTGGCATTATGTTGAAAGTTTCTTTTATTGTAGACATGTTCTATATGTCAAATACCTGGTGCAGCTCTTGCCTGTCGCTATCGAAATTGTAAAGTTCGTTATCATTATCCTTGTGCAAAAATGACTCGTAAGATAGTCTTTTCTTGTGATTTGCTAATCAATTTCATGAATATTTTATTTTAGTTAGTTGTCGATTAGTTGAAGAAAGTTATTCAGTATATTGTCCAAAACATAATCAAGTAAAATCAATAAAGAAATTTTTTTTAGTCGTTAACTAATTTCTCTATTTAGATAAATAAGAATAAATCGAATAAAAATCATCGCAAAACCATGACAGGTACGAATGATTCACAAGAATCATTAATGACTTAATTTATTTATGTTTATCTATTTGAAATTTATGTGTATTTATGACTCGTTTTTTTTCCTTTTTGCTGTATGTTTGTTTTCGTGTTGAAAAGTTTTTGAAAACAAAAAATATCAATAGAAAAATCATTGAAGTTTAATGTATTTGTAAAGTTTTCCTTTCTGAAAAACAAAGAGAATAACAAATAACTTTATATTGAAGATGGATACTAAGGCTAATGATGTCGATGAAAACGAGTCTCCCCTCATTGAACAACTCGAATGGGGATCTATTCAAGTCAAAGGATTTTCTCCTGGCAAAGATTTTAAACTTTTTCCAGGAGGTAAGATTTGATTCATATTTCTAATGGGAAACACATAATTATGTATCGGATATTTAAGGCGCTTTAGAATGGGACTGGAATGAAACAAATACTCGTCATGTTCCAGGAATTCAACAAAAAGATGTCGAATTTTTGATTGAAAAAGGAGCAAAATATATCGTACTATCGAGAGGTATGAAAAATAAACTTCAAACACCAAAAGAAACTGAAGATTTCCTCGAAAAACAAAAGACGAACTTGGATATCACTGATTATTTCATTAGAACAACTTTAGAAGCACAGAAACTTTATAATCAATTGGTTCTAGAAAAGAAACCTGTTGGAGCATTGATACACTCAACATGCTGACCTCTGTGTTTTTGCTTGTAATCTTATTCTATGTCAATAGATACAGTTTTTAATTGAATATAATAAAAGTCTTATTAAGCTTTCCGTGGGAAAACTTATTTTTATCCATCAACTCTTTTCAAGGTCAATAATGATTCATGGATTCGATGCCATCATTCAAACTATCTATTTATTCTAAATTCAGAATAGCTCGATGATTTTTCTGATAGAAAAAAGTTCAACAATCAAATTCGGTTGTTTGGAGAATAAGAAATATAGAACTACTACAATACTGTAGATGCAGACAAACTCACAGTTGATTCCTGTCAAACTTTATTAGTATTCGAAACCCGAACATATGTGCTCTGTATTTTCTCGTTTTCTTTTTACCATTCATTACCAATAAGACTCATCATTGATGTCATGCAGATACCCGTACAAGCTAGCTCCATTTTTGTTAATGTGAGAATATTGACATTCCTTCAGGAATTGAATAGATGTGAGCTTTTTCTGCAGCTCTATCGCCTATGTCTAATAGTAGTAGTCGATGCATCGTTCCTAGTTTTTATTCAAAAGATCTTTTTCTCGAACTAAATTAGGTTCTCTTCATATATAAATAATATTGACGGGAATGACACGTTTTCTAAGAACTGTGGGTCAATATTTTTTCCATTCTTTTTCTCTTTTTCCTTCTATTAGACGTCTAGTAAATGGTGCTAATCGTTTATTCTCTAGTGACTTTCACGACGATATAATATATCGAATTCAAATGAACGTAGATTGTGATGAATGATAAAAACAAAAACCACACATTTATATAACTATCGTATATGAGCATCTTTTCCCTCAAACATTTAAGTTCTACTTATGTGTACCATGTGTGATTTCTATTCATTGAGAACAAACTAAGGTAGCTTTTATTTCTCAATGTGTATGACTTAATGACCCATTCAGAAATATGTTTTTCATGTCGTGACATCGAGCATTTTCTTATCAAATAGGAGAATATCTAGTAGAATATTTGTATTCATTGATAGACATTTAAGTGGGACAATTGACTATTTACATCGTAGTCATCGTCATCGGCATCATCATCATCATCATCGCTTAGTCAATCATCATTATTTTGTACATTTGCAATAAACAGCAATGAGAAAACAGTTTAGTAGATTGGTTATTTGGCACAGAGTCATACGCCGATTGACATTCATTATTTGACTTCTTGTTTCTTTTTCTCGTTCCATCGTAACTATTTCTCTGTCACATTTACAAAAAACCCTCAATGATAATGCAAATAAGTTTCTCTTTGTGTGTGCGAAGCCGTTAAGAAAGAAATCCGACTTCTGTCAAGTGTATGTGTGAAGAAAACGTTTCGAATATCATTAAAAAAACTGAATGCACCACTCAATAGAAAAGAAAAAAAATGAGAACAACTGTAAGGAGGACATTCTTGATTCATTCTTTTTGAGTAAAAGGCCCATGAACAAATTAGATTTATTTTGACGATGTAGGAATAATGTCAAGAGCAAAAAGTAACATCGGACTAAACAGATTCACTATAAATTGATTTCTATCCTTGTCAACAACTTCCATCTCTGCTCTCATCCTTTCCTATGTATTTCTCGAAGTAAACAGCACATAAAAAATTTATTGATCTTAAGCGCAAATCATGTCGAACTTATCTTTCGCTTCGTTTATCTATCATCATCACATTTGGTGTCAATCATAGTGGATGGCAGAATGGGCGGTAAAATAATCTATCGTACAATAAATGACAAGCAACCATTACTAATGAGAACGAGTGAGAGTGGTATGCATAGAGTACCATATGTCTCTAGGCATTTCTATAGAAAGGAATAACCTAGAGTTTCAAAAAAAATCTTCGTCTTAAAATTCATGCTCGTAGAATATTATTTGTCTCGTATGTAAAAGACAGTGGCAACGTTTTTGCTTCGTCTTGTAACTTATAAAAATCAGATAACCCTTATGTTCATTGTTCTTTTTCTAGTTTTTCTTAATGCTACACAATTCTTTTGTTACTATTTTCTTTTGAAGACATTCATAATTTAAGACTTGAATAGCAAAATAAAATCTCAACCTTTTTATGGCTTTTTTTATTGATATTTGTAAAACGATATCCGTTGTTGTTTTCTTTCTTCTTCTTTTTATTATTATCTTTTAATGCTACTAATATTACTTAATCAAGTAGACGAAACATTAATAAACGGAAGAAAGTTTAAATATAAGAGTGTGAACGCCAAATTGATCTAACGCATGCATTTCCTCTTTTATTTTTGTATATATTGATCTTTTATTTATTAGCATCCCTACAAGAATTAGACTATATCCAATACAGTTGAATCCTATAGATATATAGATCTGCTTTTTATTTTTATTTTTTGTTGTTTTTCTATCTTCTCGTCTGCTTACTAATGTCCTTGATGATGACGTTCGCATGAAAACGAGTGATTTATAGCCATTTCATAGATCTGATAAGTAGATGTAAAGAATAAAAACTAAAGTACACTTGTTATTTTCTGCAAACCATCTGGATAATTCTCTTCGCTAAATATCATCACTTATATATTCATTTATAGGAGGAGAAAAAAATCGATATAGACTAAATTAGTTTTCATGTACGGCCAATACAATTTATTAAAACAATCAATATTTGCTATTTGCATTTTTCCAATCTCTGAAACTACCAATTATGGTTTTTTTCTCGTTTAAAATTTAACCCTATGTCAATATTTTTTTAGACTCATGTAAAGCATATATTGTTTTTTGGTCGGTATTCGAATGAATAAATTCTACGATTTGATTTTTATATTATAATTAACTCAAATGAATTCAATCACATTATCATCATTATTTGCAAGTAGCCCTAATCCATTGAATCCCTTTAAAATTCCAACAACAACTTCACTACCCCTACCATTATCACCACCATTACCATTGTCAACAGCAGCAACAACAACAACAACAACAACAACAATAATAAATGGAACAGGCAGTGCAGCTGAATTAACAAAATCACTTATACCAGAAAAATATCAAGTAGTTTTGTTAAGTTTTGCGTATGGTATCATATCTTTACTTGCTGTCGTGGGCAATTCGTCTATTATCTATATTGTCTTACGAAATCGACGAATGCATTCAGTGACAAATTATTTCATATGCAATTTAGCTCTCGCCGATTGTCTTGTTGCTTGTTTTGCTATACCATTTCAAGTATGTTATTTTCTATAAAACAATCACATACAGTATATATGCAAAACAAATTAATTTCCTCTAGTTTCAAGCAGCAGCTCTTCAAAAATGGGTTTTACCGCATTTTCTTTGTAAACTAGCACCATTTGTTCAAATACTTTCAGTCGACGTATCAATATATACTCTTGTTGTTGTTTCTATCGATCGCTATCATGTTATGTTACATCCATTGAAACCAAAATTATCTACAAAATCTGCATGTATCATATTTATTATAATATGGCTTATTGCATTGGCATCATCAATACCTAGTCTTTTATTTTATAATGTCTATTTTATAGATGATTTCGGTTATCAATGTTTGCCAAATACATATGAACAACAACAAAAAGATAACAATTCAACAGCTAATTCTTATCATATAAATACAATATATATTGTCTATAATATATATTCACAATATATAATACCATTTATAATAATAAGTTGTGCTTATTTTCGTATAGCAGCACATTTATATTTTTCTAAACCAGTTGGACAAACAAAACATCAGGAAGTAATCGCACGCAATAGGCGCAAAGTAAGACTAATAGAATAACGAAGCTCAAAAACAAGATCATAGATACTGATGAATATAGAAACTGAATGTTTTTTTTTTATACAGCAAAGAAAAAGCAGATGATGACACTGAGATCATTTTTATTAGATTCGATTAAATATAAAATAGTATATGAAAATTTTTGTTAACATTGATGAATATTTTTTGTATATTTATTTCGAAGATTTAATTCAAGGTCATATATATCTATTTATAAATGTTTTTCTTTTTAGGTATTGAAGATGCTATTTCTCGTTGTTGCTTTATTTTTAATCTGTTGGTTTCCGTTACAACTTTACAATTTTCTTAATGTTTATAAACCAGAAATAAATGAGTATGTCATTTTTCTTTTTCAACATACACGCGTATATGCATACGTTGTGCGAATCAAATATAAATATTTTATTTTTCGTTTAGTTTTAAACATATCGTAGTTTTATGGTTATGTGCTAATTGGCTCGCTATGTCGAATTCATGTCACAACCCATTTATCTACGGTTTTTGTAGTGTATGTTTTTTTGTTTTTCTATTTTGATATTTATTTGTTTACATTAAAATATCTATTTTAGGTAAAATTTAATCGAGAATTTCGTAAACTTTTTTCTTGTCTTCCTTGTATTGATGCCACTCAATTAGACAATGAAATATCAAATAAAAATCGTGTAAACGTACCACTATCGGCTCAGACTCGATCGACAACCTTACAAATACAACGTACCAATTGTCAACGCCGTTCGCCTAATTCTTCGCCACTGTTGTCGGAAAATAAAAAATGGTCAAAGAAGAAAACAACAAAAAATCAAATTTTGTCAACATCAATAACAACGAAAAGACATCAAAATGGAAAACAACATCATTTTTTTGCAAATACTAATCCCGAAGATCATCACAGTACACTATTTAGTAATACAAACAACTATTACAGTTCAAAAATGAATCGATCAATTACTAATTGTGAAAAATTTTTACCCGATCAAGATATAATGAATTCTACAAAAGAAAATGATCTTTTATTAATGCAAGCACGACAATCGGCACGCTTTACGTAGTCTTCTCTCTTTTTCTGTTGTGTTCATTGTTCATAGAAAAATTTGTGATAAGAAAAAGGCAAAGATTGAATTAAATTTTGGAAAAAAGATACTTGTTTTAAGTTAATATTTGAACCAAAGTCAAAATAGTAAACTTAATAGTAATTGCACTGGCTGTACTTTAGATATCAGCAACTATTGATTTCGCCATTCCTAACCAGTTGTTATTATTTGATCGCAACATTGCACGCATTCATGCAATGATTGAGAATGTATTTTTTTTATTTTGTCCTCCAATCATCATATGCTACATGTTGTATAGGCGATAATTAATTTATTGTTTACTTGACATATTTGCTTTTTCCCTCACTGTAAAAAAAAGCCCTTCTTCGTGTGGTTTGGCGGTCGATGTCTGACTACGTGGCGAGTAACCAGCTTGATTTACACTGATACCTATTTTAACCAATACCTGATAATGGTAGAAAAATATCGAAATATTGTGGTAAAAAAGAAAAAAAGGGGGAAAGAGAGAGAAAAGAGACAAGAGATACATAATAAATCGCATGCATCATTAAGCATCGACGTCATCAAGGTAGCTGGGTGAGAAGGTGAAAAAAGGGTAATATAGAGAGAAAGCGTGAGATACTGGTAGAGAGAAGGAGAGAGAGAGATAGAAAGAGAAAGACAATCATTGCTACTATATAAATGCTGGTCTATCCATAATGCTTTACTAACCAACCATTTCTCTCTTTCTACAACACACACAATCATGACCAACTACGAATATTCATCGTACGCTTCATCATCGTCAGGAAACAATCTTGCTGGGGGTAGTGGTGGAGCTGATGCTGCTTTCGCACAAGCTGATGCCAACAAAGATGGTAGCCTTGACCGTAGTGAATTCGCAAGCTACTTTAACAGCGCAGGTGGTGGCGGTGGTGGACAATTCGGTGCTTCACAATTTGGCGGTGGCGTAGGAGGAGCTAGTGGTAGTTACGAATCATCATCATTCAGCTCATCATCAGGAGGTGCTGGCTTCGGCCTTGAAGCTGTTGGTGGTGGTGGTGGTGCTTCATCTTTTGAATCTTCATCATTCTCATCAGGTGGTGGTCTTGATGCTGGATTTGCCAGCGGTGGCGGTGCCGGTGGTGGTAACTTTCAATCATCATCATTTGAATCAGCAGCAGTTGGTGGTGGTAACTTTGAATCTTCATCGGTCAGCCAAGCTGCTAGTTATACAGCTGAGACCAATGCTGCCTGGTCTAAATATGGTGCTGAAGTACGTGGTGCTGGTCTCTATGTAGATACAAACCCACAAATCATTCGACGACAAGCACCAGGTGGTGTTCAAACTTATACACAAAACATCAAAGTTCGATTCCTTCAACCACCACCAATACCACCACCAGGCGTAAGATAGAACTATTATATTTTTATCCACTAATAATTATCTGATTTTTTTTCTAGCCACTCATCATCAAAGAAGTGCGTCCACCTCAGCCACCCCCACCACCACCACTTCGCATCAAACAACAAGCTCCAGCTCTTCCAGCACCTCCCCCACTTGTTCTCCGTGAAAAACCACCTCAGCCACCAGCTCAAGTTGCTGCCCAAACAGTCATTCGCAAACTTGCTGCTTTACCAGTACCCCCACGATCAGTCATCATCGAACGTCTTCCAGCTGCTCCAGCCCGACCACGTTAGTGAATTTCTTTTCTTTCCGTTTTTATTCCACTGTTTTCATGATTCCAACTAGCTATATTTTACATTTTACAGGTGATATCATCATTGAACGTTGGGTTCCTTATGGCGCTGCCTCCAAACGAAAAACCATCGTTCAAAAAGCTGAAGCTGGCAAAGGCTATGCAGCACCACGTAATGTTATCATTCAATACGAACCAGTTCAAGTTCGTGTTGTCCGACAATTCCAACGTTTGGGTGTTGTTCAAGAAAACCCACAAGCTTACGTTCAACGTTATGGCGTTCAACTACTCGATGCTCAGACTCTTCTTCAACAAGCTCGCTCTGCTGGTGTCGTTGAAGATATCGTAAGTATTCAAATGCCTTTACTTTTCTCTCTTTATTTCTATCGATATGCATCGAAATGTCTATTTTCTCTTATATGTTTAGTCTGCCCCTGCTGGTGCTGCAGCTAGTGCCAGTAGTGCAGGATCATTCAGCGCAGAATCAAGCTTCAGTGCCGGTGGTGCTGGTGGTGCTGGTGGAGCTGAATTCGCTTCTGCAGCTGGTGGAGAATTCGGTGGTGCATCATCATCATTCTCATCTAGCAGCTTCGAAAGCAGCCAAGCCGGTGGAGCTGGTAAGAGTGCATTATTTCATTTTTCTTTCTATGATTTATCTATTGCGTTTGTATATATATGTATATTACAGGTGGTTTCGCTAGCGGTTCTGGATTAGAAGCTGGTTTTGGTGGAGCTGCCGGTGCCGGTGGTGGCTTTGGTTCATCAAGCTATGAATCATCATCATTTTCGTCAGGCGCAGGTGGTGCTGAAGGATTCAGCGCTGGTGGTGCTGAAGGATTCGGCGCTGGTGGTGCTAGTGGATTCGGCGCTGGTGGTGCTAGTGGATTCAGTGCCGGTGGATTTAGTGCTGGCGGTGGTAGCGGTTCTGGTTTCGATGTTGCTTCTGCAGTTTTTAACACTGTTGACACAAACAAAGATGGCCGTCTTGATGCTGGAGAATTCCAAAAATTCGTCCAAGGTGGTTTATAATAGACTCAATCTTTCAACCTCCACACATTCCTCTTATTTAATATTTTAGTTTAAGGATGTTTCATTTATAACTGATTGCTTTTTTACTATTGTATCAGTGTTTCGTTTCGCTTCCGATGTACTCCCGGTTTTTTTTATACCAACAAAGAGAGCAATTAAAATAAAATAGCATATATTGATTAAATATCTTTCTTTTATTGTGTTCACACAAAATCTTTGTGGTAACTGCATTTAAATCGTCTAATATTTTCATAATATAATTTTGCTCAAAGATAGACAGACTATTAACATGTTGAACATCATATTTATTATAAATATGAAACATATTCATCATATAAGAGAGAAAAATAAAAGTTTAGCTAAACTGGAACTCTATCAATCATTATACTGTATTTGAAATTTGCTTTTGAAAGAGCATCGCAGAATGTATTCTATCACAACAGATATTTTATATATTTGTTTGAACTTTTATTATTTCAGTATAGAAAAACGATGATAAGTTTAATATCTTGAATGACTCGAAAATATTATGCTTCAAGTACGTGAGCGGTCTATTATATGATAATAATAATAATAATGATAGAACTCAATATGTAAAAGGGGCTCTATAGTATCCCGTAAATAGATATGCTTTTTGAAACATACAAATAAGCAATAGACCACAACAAAATTCCTAAGAAAAAAAATGCGAGATATGTGATGAAAACATGATAAACAGAGAACAAAACGTAAATTATTTCGTGTTTCTTTTTCTGGCAAAATCATATTTTTCAAGTAGATTATACAATGAATTATTGTAAAATTTTGACAAGACATGAGTGCAAACTATGATACAAAAATCAAATGGGAATAATGAAAAATCATTTATCAGATTATCCGTCGATGCACATGTATAATATATCTCCGCTTTGATGATTCGAACTTGGATTGACTGCTTTTTTTCTGTAAGCAAGCGTTGTCATTACTATGCGTACGTATTCATTTAGATGCATAACATTCAATGTATACTCAAGGTCACTTATTATTTTTAATGATACATAATTTTGCTTTTAATATCCAACCACCTTGAAAATGCATGGACATACACAAAAAAAGAAAGCATGAAATAATGATAATAATCAAATTTTTACGCAGACATTTTATGATGAATATATTCTTGAAATGTAATAATACATACACATGTGTCAGGAAACATAGGTGAAAGATAAAAAAACAAGATAGGTCACCAATAAAGTTTATTTTTTTATACACGTAACGAACACTTAAAAGGTATGCTGACTGTAAAGGTAACTGTCTAGCGGCAAAAAAATCAAACGACACATATCATTAAATTACATGTATGCATATTTCTGTTCGATAAATATATGATACCAGCCCAATCATACTGTCAACTTGTCTTAGAAATATGTTAATCTTGAATAAAATGTTTTTTTCTTTATTCATATTAAATAAGCACCAGAGAACTACGAAGTTTTTCTACTTCTTTATCAAATTTTTCTTCTGTAACTTTAATTCGTCCATCTGTTACACGTTGTAATGTTTTAACTGAGCCTTCAAGTGATTCAAAACAAGTTCGCATTTCATTTTTAACTTTTTCTAAACTAGCTACTGTGCGTTGATATTTATCATCGAAACGTTTATAAACAGCTTGCTCTATGGACTGAAAAATGAAGAAAACAAAAAGAATATTACTTTTTATCAAATAGATTTACTTCATTATTTCGATTTAAACTTGATGTAGCTCGTTTATAATGATCTTCTAAAGAAGCACTTTTCTGTTCAAAATGTTGTATAGCATCTTCAATACGTTTTTCAAAACGTTCCTAGACATTTATGCATAAATATAATATAGATATATAGATTTTCTCTTTTGTTTAACAATATATTTTACATATTTTTCTACAGATCGTTTGATTTCATCAAGTTTTTGATTGAGTTTTTGATCAGATCGTTCCCTATCATTTTCGTCTTGACTTTTTAATTGAAATATTTGACTACGAAGTTCATCAACAAATGCACGTGATCGTGAATCAGTTGTTGATAAAGCTCGTGCTGTATCAGATTCAAATGTACGTAAAATAACTTGCTGTTCATTAAATAATCGATCAATACGTTGACTTAATGCTGAAATCTAAAGACAAAAAAAAGAATTTAGACTTTGGAATGGAAAGTGCACATAAATCATTCCATGGTCTATGTCAACTATTCAAGCATATCATTTCGAAACAATGATTATCACGACTACCTATCTATGTTTACTTTTCTTTTGAATAATATATACTTAAGCATATTTTTATCCTTATCTCATAACCCTACAAGGAGAATACATGAAGATATTTGTCCCTTTTCTATAAAATCAAACGTTGTATTCATTTTGTAATTAGAAAAATTTTCTATCATACCAATATTATATGAAATATTTCTACTGGCGATTCATATCTCAATAGTTATCTTTTAGAGCTATATTTAACACTTGAGATATTAGTCTGTAATACACATATGAAAAAAATCAATTGGCTTTATACCGAATAAGCTAAACAGAATACTGATGATGCATTTTACTAAGAAATCGATTCGTTTGAATTGATAAAAGTTTAGATTTTCTGTTCGCGTAAATCACATCAATATTATCCAATGAAATAAAATATTACTTCTAATTTTAATTCTTGGTTACGTTGAGCATTTGATCGATTTAATTCTTGTTGATTGTTAATTGCTTCTCGAAGTCCATTCGATAATTGTTCAATGTCAGATCTGATTTTTTGAGAAATAGCATCTGTTCTAGAGAATTTACTTTGTAGATCTATATTCATTTGGCGAAGTTGATCATCTTGCACTTTTTGGTTAGCATCTAATTTAACTAACGCTGTTTCACGTAATGATATTTGATTAGCAATAGATTCTATATCATTGTTTAGTTTTTTACATATAGCTGATAGTACGTGCACTTGATCCATTGGGTTTTTTTTAGTTTTTTTTTATTATAAATCAGATAGGATCTACCAATAAAACAATCTATCGATTGCTGATCGAATTCTTTTATGTAAATCAAGTTACTATGCAACAACCTTATAGAATTAGTATTAAAATTCCCATTTACCGAAGATGGCGCTGAAATATGTTTGAACGATGCATAACTGTTTCCTTTACTGTTTAAAAATTCGAAAGGCTATCTTAAAAATACGTTCACATACATGTTCAAAAAGAGAGAGAAAGAGAGATAGGGAAAATAAATGACAATAGAGAACTTTAAAAAGCATTAACCGACACAATAGAAGTTCACAACAGAAAAAAAGAATAAGAAGAAAATAACTAAAGGTTTTTATTTTGTTTTGCTTTTTATTTTTTGTGTTTTTGAATATGTCATCTGTATTGCTAAGATATTCATAGATGATATGAAAGCTCTTGTCTAAATGGCACATTATCGATATTCACGAACGATGAGAATAATACTCCGAAAAGGAAGGAAGACTAAAGTGACAGTCAATTAAAGTAAAATCCCTGTTCACGCAAACATTGACATACATCACTCAAGGCACATCGACGATGACCGGTAGCAGGCAAACAAAACAAGAGAAAAAAAAATTGAACATTCAAATTATCAAAAGAATTGCTCGAAACAAAAAAATATATGAACCGTTTTCGGATATTCATTCTATTTTAATTTTTGTTTTACGTATCGATACGGAACGTTCACAAGCAAAATGTATACGTGAAGGAACACATAAAGAAAAGAGAAGGAGAGAAAATTTTCATGATTGGGAATTATTGCTATTGAGATATCTGAGACCCGCTCACATTACGATGAATTATACTGGTCTGGCTTCAATTTATGCCACATTTCAATCCATTTCTCTGGTGATTTAACCATTAGTAGCCAATGCCTTAATTCATCACCTGATGACGATTGGCCTAATTCAAAGCCACCTGAAATGAAAAATAACTAGCCATATAATTCAAGAAAACAAAATATAGCTAATATGATATTTCTTATAAGAGAACAACAAAACTTGCCTAGGAAGGAAATAATCACTGTCAATCATTGACCTTAAAAACGGAAATAGGTTTATCAATCAGGAGTCTCGTTGCTTCAGAGGTCAGCATAGCATTAATGCAAAAAAAAAGTTTTATCTTTTCCCGCTTTTTGTTTTGTTAGTAATAATAATACCTATTTGTTAATGCAATCCTCAAAAAAGAAACTGTAAAGTCTTTTTGATAGTTTTTGTTTTCAAATATATAATCAATGGGTTTTCTTTTTCTTTTTTTCATGAAAAGAAAAGACAATAACGCTTAATTCTTTTTGTGTTGTGCGTGCGTATGAAATTTGATTATTTTTCTATTAATGCACTGACTAATGTCAATCACTGAGACTTTCTTTTCCTTTAATTTTATCTGAAAACTAAAATAATCCGTTAAAATATTTACCAATATAGTCATCTTTCTTTCCCATGTCTTTATCATAAACTGCTATTTGCAGAGTTTTACTAATTAATTCTTGTAATTGTATATGCGGAAAAACAAATTCTTCATTGAAATCGGGTTGTAATGTATGTTTTTTCACTGTTGTTTTGAAGCTCCATTTTGAATTTGTATCAGTTGAAGGATATAATAATAATTTACAATATGGATCTGATGTTTGACCAAAATCCATTGGTAACAATTGTATACCACGAAGAATTCGTACATGAAAATTAGATGTCATTTTCGAATATAAAAGGCTGATAAGAATTTTTCCACGTTCATTCTTATCCTCATCCAAAGGTAACTAGAAGAACAAAAAAATAAGACCATATTATAATATTGTAGTAAAAGAAAAACAACAAATTCATAAAGTCTCAATGAAAGAAGACATGCGCAAGTGTATGAAAAACAAATTCATAATAGCAATGTGATATAGAGCAAATATAGAAAGCAATAATATATTATTGAATTACCTCAACATCCTAAGGAAAGTAAAAATAAAAACGTTAAGTACATTATTATAAGACAATAGAAAAAAAAAAGAGAAAAGCCTTTTTTTTCACTATGTTGCCTTCACTTACTTCAGTTTTATTTTGTAAATAAACAGAAAAAATTTCTTTAAGCTCAGGTTTAACTTTTGATAACTTTAAGCGATATTCACCAAGAAGATCTGCACCAACTGAATCTTCATCAAGAACAGTAAATCTTAAATAGACAAAGAGAAATAATTTCGAAAAAGATAATAATGTTATGGAATTTAATTTAATCTACTTAAGCCATTTAGTTTTTATATCCTCGGATGATATTCCGTGATAAACAAGAGTTTCATCAAAATCTGGGTTTAATGTTCGACGAATAGTATGACTACGTAATTTCGTTGCCTATAATAAAATAAAATGTTTTAATTTTGATGGTTAGTTATTATGTTTATTTACTTTTGCTACGCCGGGTACAATGTGTAATTTAACATAAGGATCTGAAAGTCCATTTAAATCAGCTGCACGTAAACTTCGAGCACGTATTAATGTTACTGTTAAAATATTTAATGCTTCTCTCCAAACAATATCAAAATCAAGTATACCCAATCCTGTAGAAGAATTTTTCGTTTTTTTTTAAAGTTATTTTCATAGGAAACCAAAAAAAAACGAACCACAATCTTCTGTTGATGATGATGCATTTAGAGGCAATGATGTTAACGGACGCGTATTAGTTGTTGGTGATGATGTTGCATTAGATATCAGTGATGGAATAGGTGATGGCGATGAAGAAGATGATGATGCTATTGGTGGTTGTGATGATGAACGTATTTGAGATTTTGGAATATATTCATCAATAGAAAAATCTAAAATAAAATTACAGATTTATCTAGTTCTATGTTATTATAAAGAATCATTACCTTTTAGGCTTGGTTCATCAGTTTTAAAAGAATCAATACTTTCATCGCGATCTTTTTCAATCATAGAATGTGTATTATCATAATTTTGTGGATATGAATTTGCAGTTGTATAATGATCATTTGGTGGTGCTGAAATATAATTAATAAATCTTTGTTTTTTGTTTCTTTGAAAAATCCTAACCTATACTAGGCGAAGGTCGTCGATTAAATTGACTATTGTTACTTTGTCGTTCCTCAGAACTTGAATAGTCATCATCGATGGATATACTATCACTTTTGGTAGTGACTGATGATATAGCTGATGAGGACGGTTTGACATTCGAAGGTAAAGTTGAACGCGTTGGTAAGGCACGAAAAAACCAAGCACCTGATTTTTTCCATAACTAAATCAAGGAAAAAAACGATATTATAACTTTAATTTTCATAAATAGAAAAGGTCTGAGATAGTACTTCACGGTTTTCACTGCATATTTTACACAATGATATAACTTGTTGATTATATATAGTTTCTATAGAACATTTGTTGCATACAGACTAGAAAAAATAAATATAAGAAACAATAGTCAAAGTGGAAAAAAAATGATATTTATGTGAAAAGTTTCAGTTACTTTATGACAGTCGACGCAACAAACAGATGATGCACCTAACATACCAAATCCATCAGCACACAGAACACACTTAGATGAACCATTTCCCGTAGCATGTTTTTTCATATTATCAAGACGGTCGATAAGTTTACTAGAAAAAAATTTCAATAAACATTAGAATGAAAAAGGAAATTCTTTTATTTTGTTTTTTTTCTTCATCATACCCAACTCGTTCCTGTTCAATAAGTTCGATGCGTTGAGCGCGTTCAAGGACTTTTTTAATTCTTTCCAACTCTTCATCACGTAATGATTGATTACCATTCGTTGCAGCAGTCGTTACAGCATTTGTTGCAGCAGCAGCAGCACTACCAAAGCGATTTGATGGTGCTGCACTAGCACTTCGTGCTGGTGTACGGCCTGTATGAAATGACCATCCGGAATTAAGTCTAAAACAAACACAATAATAATAATAATAATAAATAGATTAGTTGTTTTTTTAGGTATTTTATTTTTTCGTATTTTACTTTGCTCGAAGCTGTAATTGACGATCATTTGGGCATACAAACGATCCATTGCCAGCGTCCTTCATTTAGAAACTTTTTTCAATCATCTATCCATAAATATGCAGCTGATTTTTTATATAGAAGTATTAACATCGTAGGTATCTTAAATGAGAATGACAGAAAATATTAAAGACTAACAAAATGGTTAGCAGGAAAAAAATAACTGTGCGGCGCTACTATCTGTTTTAAAAGAACGTTGATATAAGTGACAAATGACTGGTATGTGTGAAAGAGGAAAAAATATAATATATAATAAAGAGAATCCGACTGTTTGTCGCGTTGAATAGAAAGAAAAGAAAAATGAGATTGAGACCTTATTAACAATAAACGCATCTATATTCGACTTATCAAGATACTAGTTCTGTCAATTTATAGAATTAAAACATATTTCAATGCGAAAGTCAATAGATTCTGCAGCTGCTGACATATTGATGATCAATAATTTTTTATTTTTGAGAAAAAATCGTGTATATTTTAGATATTTTTTTCGTTTTTAATTATATCAGCAAGCAACATTTGTTAAACTACACGCACATATTTTCTCATTACTTCATATTATCCGATGGCATATCAAATTTGCATGTTACATAGAATCATGCGTTTTAGCTAGATAGAGAATTATGACCATTTTTCTGCTTCCATGCATGATTACTGCATTTATTATAGGACTTAAAAAGAAGCTATTCATCAATTGATGCCGGCCTTTTTTTACCAATCATCAGAGCTTACGAATTTTTATGACTTAGACGAATAAAAAGATAAAAAAGAAGACAACTAATATCCAGGGTTAACTTCAAAGATTGATTAGTAGCAAAGTCAACTATTTGTAAGTGTCTGTACTCGATCCTCGAGATAAATCCACAATTGCTGTCTTTCATTCTTTCTTTTTTTTCTGTTCATCATTGCAATAATGCAATAAGACCACTTGAGATTCACAATGTTGACTACTACTATTAGTGCTGCTGATAGAGGAAGATACAATTCCCCCATTGCATGTCTCAAATTAGAGACGTAATCAAACAAGCAACAAAACCTTCTTCCAACTATGGCAGCAATAGCTGACGACGGAAACACGCACGCACGCACACACACACACACACACACACACACGTATATATATATATATATATTTATTTATTTATTATACCGGTCCAAGATAACGGGAAGTGGATGACGGTACGTGGGACACTACAAGATGTTCAGGGCTCAATAGAAAAATACCAAGAATATTCGTTAAAAACCAATTTAAGCGTATATCCTCATCTATAAGAAAATGTCAAAAAGAAAAAGAAAGTCTATCGAAGAAATGATGAAGAAATAGAAAAAAATAAGAAGAAGAAAATTTCTCATTTTACCTTCATCACATGGTGCATATGTAAAGTAGATCTATAAGAAAACAGTCATAGACCTATTTTTCTAAGAAGATCTAATTAAAAAATCATGACGAATGATGATAGAACGAACCCATCCATACGTCCGTTTTAATTCAAGTGACGGGTGAACCATTGCTATTTTCCTGCCGGCACGTGTTGAAATGTGCCTATTAGCCTGAGGGGTAAAAGTTACTGCTACTTCTTCTCGTTTATTTCAGTAGCTCCAACGATAGGGAAAACATCATCAACAATAACGCACGCAATAAGAATAGTAGTAGCAATACTCATGAAAACAATCTTCAGGATAAAAGTTTTCTTGCATATCTAACGAGCTCGACTATGTCTCTGTGTTACTCTCACTCTCTCGGTTTCCAATAGACAAAGAAACTGCAAGCTAGAACAATAGAATGAAAGAATAGAACCTTGCTTCTCTCCTGTTCTGCATAGTTCCCTTTTTTCTTATTTCCCCTTAGTCCTGTAAGTATGCGACAATTATAGAAAAATTGAATATATTCGATAGTGTTGATTGTATGCGATGATGAACGAGAAATATGTTTGCCGCTTGATATATACATTTTTGACAGCAAAAACATAGATTACTATGATTATCATCACGATTTTCGAAAGTTAATGATGACGATCATTGTTTTGATGTACTGTTTTCTACTCATATTTCAATCACTCACTCTCACTCTCACTCTCACACTCTATTTTTCCTTACTATAGGCATTCAATTGAAAATAGCGCTAACAAACACAACAATCTATTAATATTTAAAAAAAAAGAAGTGCATGGCAAAAGAGACTATGCTCGAAAGTGTCTTTGAGTTATCGTCTGTTTTTTTCTCTTTTACTTTGTCGCCTGTTTATTGCCATGATTACTATCGAACGTGCATAACATGATGGCAATGAGCCATATTCGACAGCTAGGTTGTTTTATTGCTTTTCTACTTGCTGGCAAATATAAACCATGAAACTGTCAACGTTCTCAGATAAGATTTACTCCAACGTAAATGTTCTTTGGTTCCAATACAATCTTGAGGATTATTAATCTCGTGAATAATGTTCTAGTGAAATTTTACGAACTAGTCGAAAAGTAGAAGAAATTTTGGTTTCGTAAAGAAAGAAAAGTTGAAATAAGTAATTTAATTCTTTGTAGGAACATAATTATAATTTTGATTTTGATACATTTTTGAAAAGCTCATACTAATGGTTAGATGATAAAATCAGGGAAAATATAAAGAAAACCATGTTTTCGGCATCTTCAATGGAATTTTTTTTCCAGACCCGACTAATTGTTCGGAAACATTTTTATCTTGACTGACATACACACATTCACTTTTCTTTCACTCACACACATGCACACATTCTCTCTTTCCCTATATATATATATATATATATATATATATTTGCCTGTAAAGACACGAATATACCCACCAGAATTATGGATAGAGTACTTCATACAGGTCATGGTTTATTATCATCGACTGATCTAATAAATTAGTCTAATTGAAAACAAGCACACTTACTTTAGACAAGTCTACCCTGGTGAACTTCATAGTAATGACAGTTTTCTTTTTTTAGAAATTTCAATACGAACAAGAAAAAGTTTTTGATCATTCTTTTCTCTTTTTTCTCTATTAAATTATGTCAAAGTCAATTGAGTCTATTCCGGTTCTAAAATATTCTCGTTTTTCTAAGTATTTTCTGCAAGTTAATTATCTTCTATTATTATTACTTGCTATAACATCAACTGAATGAGTGTTAACATTATCATTCTCATCGATAAAAATATGCTAATGATAGAAAATGAATAATACGATAAATAGCATTCATTGTTGTGTTTATCCTGCTTTAAAAGTTCGTTGATTAATCAGCGTCATGAAATTAGTAAATATCATGGGAAAGTTGATTTATTTATATCAAGAAAAAGAGAAAAGAATCGCAATGGCGTAAGCAATTATCTATTACGGACTTCTTTAAGATTTAAAACATTATTTTTTCAGAAAAAAAGCTTTTAGCTTTTGTTTATTTTTTGAATTGAAACTAAGTCTATTGCTAGTTAACGATTAAATTCAAAATCACAATAGCTCGGACCATTGACTGGTGCAGCTGGAATGCCACGTCGTAAATATCGACAACGATGTTCTTCAAGTCGAGGTGTTGCTGCATTAGGATCGGTCACATTAGCTGCTGACCATAAACGTTCGGCAACTGTTGCTGCTCTCGGCCATGTCGTCGTAATAACATTTGTTGCATCAATAAATTCTAAATAGATTTCAACAAAAAAATATGTACTACGTGTATTATTTTATTTTAAAACTATAATTTACCGCCCCACATGCAAGCTTCACCGCCGACAACTAATTTCTTTTGTGCATCGGTACCTAGTACAAACCATAAACATAATATTTTTGAAGTATTTTTAAAGCAAAATTTTACCTGCAAAATTATGTGGATCACATTTGTAATAATTAACCCAATCTTTACCATAAGAAATATAATTTAAATACCTAAAAATTTGAAAAGATTTCTCTTAAATTAAATCATACGAATTTCGGTGATCCTACCAGCATGTTGATAAAAGAGTACGATAACCTAATTTAGTAACACGTGCTAATTCATCTGGATATGGATCCTTAACAATTGAAAAACAAAGTCTCGTTCCATTTCCATGATAACTTTTATTATTTTTTTCTATTTTACCTTCCAAACTTCAACAACAGTATCAGCTTTTACTGTTACATTATTATCAATAATTTCTTGCCATACAGCGTAACCTTTGCCTGTAGATCCAACAATATCGACTACCCTATAAATAAATAAAAAAAAGAGTCCATGTTTTCTTTTTGATATTTGCTATTTTTCTTATAAATCATATACTTTTGCATGTAATATTGTTCAAGTAGAGAATAATCATTTCCGAATCCCATTTGTTTCATAAAAGCTTGAACATCTGGATTACTTCGCCTATGAATAAATTGGTTGTTATTCATTTTCAAATAGATTACAAACTCTTACCAACAGTCAAAATCAACTTCATCGCCACCCAAATGAACATAATGATCGGGAAAAACAGTTGCGACTTCACTAAACATTTTTTTCAAAAAATTAAATGTCGAATTTCGACTTGGATCCATAGGTCCAAATTCATTATTTGGTTTTCCTCCACTATAACAATGTGTTAAAATATCAATCACTCGTCCCCATGATTGTGTATGGCCTAATCATAGAAAATCAAATTCTCATTTTCTTTACTGATTTTTGCTTCTTCTAAATTTCAAACCTGGTGAATCAAACTCAACAACAACACGAATACCACGTTGTCGTGCAAATTCAATTAGACTTGCAATATCTTCTTGTGAATAGACATGATCTTGATTATAGGCTCCTGCACCACTTAAATCTGGAAATGAACGAGATTCATATGGAAATGATTGATCATCAACAATATGAAAATGAAATACGTTCATTTTACTGTTTGACATTGCTTCCTAAAATTAAATTAAAAATATGCTAGATCCATATTTGGATTTCAATAGCATGAATCAAGTTTTGTTTACTAAATTTATTTTTAATGTTTTTATTGAAATAAAATGTCGTGATGTGTCAAGAAGTAGCCCACGATGTTGAAAACGAGGAAAATCAATGATTGTTGTTTGATTGATAGCTAACTAGAATTTAAATTAGAAAAATTAAACAAAATAAGTTTCAATCGAATTTACTCCAAGATTATCATCAGGATAAATCAGATGACTAAATGTTTCAAGTCCACGAATAGCACCCCATATTGAAACCGCTTCAAGCACGGCGCTGTCAGAAGTAACAACAATCGTGTCTTTAAACAAACAAATTATAGCAAATATGTTTGCAAAATTAAATTTCTATTCGCTTACATGATTCGTCTGATTCGAGAGTTGGATATTGTTCACAGGGTTCTTGTATATAAACATTGAGTCGTTTCAATAAAGGCGTATCACGAAGATCAAATAGAGTTTTTTTTGGTTTATCTTTTATTTCATCGATAACTGATTCGGGATCCAAGATATAATTTAAATAAGAATATGGATAGAATATCAATTTATAATAACGATCCAATGCACTTGTAAGTAGATCGCATGTTTGACTTGTTTGATTAACTAAGAAATGAAAAGCAGCTGGATGTACACCATATTGTTGTGGAGTTGTATGAATTGCTTGAGGCTGTGGCCACGGTTGTCCAACAGTTGCCTGAACATAAAACGAATTCAATGGATCACGAGGCCGTTTTCCATGACTATGAGAGACCACAGCCAATAAAACAAGTAGCAACGCTGATGAACGCATTATTATCTTTAAAGAAAATAAAGTAAATTTTCACACGTGCATATAAGTATATATATATATCTACTGATAACATATAGTGTTGGTAAAAAATTAACCGCTCCCTTTTCATTTAACATTCTCGACCGACGCGAGATATCATCGACGAGATCCTTGTGTGCCTTATCAATTTTAGATATTACTTTATATCAACCTATTAACCAGGTATTTTAACTGTTATACATTTAATGTTAGACTATTTACTATGAAGATAAGGTTTTTTTTTCGAGATGAAAAAAGAAAAATGAAGCAAGCTGTTAAATACTTTTCTCGTTATGGTCCTACTTACTCTTCCTTCAGGTGCTTATCTTCACTTACCCGTGCTTTTTTTTATACACCATAACTTTATACTTAACAAAAACAAACTGTAATATAAAAAGACCTAAGAGAAGAAAATCATTCCATTGAAAAATTATTTATTTAAATTTTAATATTTCAGTTAGTTTTTGCATTATTATTTTCTGAAAAAAGAATTATTATCGTCAAGCGAGATCATATAATACTTTATTTAATACTATCTAGTTGCTCACTTTTGTAATTACTTTTCGTTTAATACTTCTTATGTTTTGTATATCCCTATTCTAGTGATGAAAAGAAAATAATATACGAGATCTGTTGAATGTAAAAGAAAAGAAAATTAATAAAAGTAGTGCAACAAATATTTTATTAGAATACAAGTACTACTAGCTTCATCGTCCTAAAGAATAGAAACCCATTGGACAGCTAATTTATTCTTGAAGGCATACATTTCTATATAACCTTTTATAAAAAGATATTTTAATCATATTAAAACTGAAAATTTACCACTAACTTCACTAGTACATCCATACTTTTAACCTATGTAGCTAATGAATTCTTTGTCGGTGTCATACTATCAAAATAAACAATTGATATGTTTTAACAAGCACGTTATATTAATAGTATAGAAAATAATGCTCGAGCTCTGAAGAAACTTTACGTGACTTACGTCAGTGTAGGCCGACCTGATGACAGCATAATAATTGAGTCTTTACTAGTGTTCATAGATTATTGAGTCAGTTCACATAGTACTCTTATACAATAGCATTTGTGTTTTTGAGCTGATCGATTTTTGCGTAATTAATTTATATTATGATTTTGTTTTTAAATAAGTAAACTTTTCAATCAACAACAATACAAAGATTACTGTCACGTTAATTAAAATTTCTCTCGATAAATTTTTGCGTCAGATAGAATCTTACATGTCTTAACTCATAGTGATAGTCAACAGAAAAAATAATAGGTACACACTGAAATTAATTAGGTGCATAAACTGAAATGTTACAACCATTGAAATATAATGAGGTAATCTATACAATGCTCGAGTATTAATTATTTTCAACAAAAAAACATATGTAGAATCTCTCGTAAGCTATAGATTTTGGCATTCAATTACTATCCTATGCAAGGAAATATTTCGATAGAAGTTTTAGTTTTACAATCATCCTGTCTCATTAGTTTCATGCAAGCACGCTATCGTTAGGATACAAAACAGAAGCAGTAAAAATAATGAAACGAAAAAAGTTTGTTTGCAAAAGTTATTCGTTTTAATAACAAAAAAAGGAACAACTAAAATAATTATCCAGTATTCGTTTTCAAAAATTTGTTATTTATCTGCTGATTCAAGAATGACTTTTTAGTTATTTCCTGCGTTTCTCAATCTTGTTTTTTTATGTTTTCACTTTTTCTAACAAATCCATACTACAAAGGAAAAGTAGACAAAGATCGCAACGAAAACAGTTGTTTAATGTATAAAAAACCGTAACTGGCTCAATAATACAAAATATGTATATTGAACAAAACTATCTAAATAAAGTGTTATTTTATAAAGTTCCATCATCACAAGCATCAGGAGCCATCCATTTCGGCGATACTGGGCCCATTTTAACACATGAACGTTGTGATAATTGTGTTATAATAGGTTTAGGTTGAGTTTGAGCTTTTAATTCATATCGGGCTGTTTCACCGCCATGTGTTAATAAATGATCAACAAGCTGATCAACATTTCGTTTTTGTGTAACACGAATCTGAATTTAAAAACAATAGTAAAAATAAATATCTTTTTAACGAAACATTTGTTTAGCTTACACGTCGTTCACCATCACGACCATAAGAATTTGATGTTAAATGTAGTTTCATAGCTTCTTTATGGATAGATTTTCTTTCTTCACTATTAAATTCATTCGCAAATTGTAATTCTCCGTCGTCGTCGTTGTTAGAAATAAATTCTTCGAGTACACGTCGTAAATTTTTTATAAATATTTGATTTGGAAATAAACCGTTACTACCCAAGCCTTTTCGTCCTTGTAAATCTTCAATTTGTATTGGCTCGGCAATACCTTGCAAGTCTTTACCGATACCACCACCAACCCAACCCATTTTTTTTAATAATTTAGAGCCCATCTCTTCCTTTTTCGGTTCATTTGTAGCCATTGTTGTTAAAGATGCTGTTAATGATTGTTGATCATGTAGTTGTGAGCGTGTTATTAATTTACATTTCATATTTATGATTTCATTTTCATTTTCATTGGTAGACATATCACTAGCAAGATGTTTTGTTTTGATACTTGGATAGAGTGTTTTTAGCATTTCAATTGCTTTTTTTGCACCAGCTTGTTTAGCTGCAACTTTAGTTGGCGCTATCCATGACATGAAAAATCGATTATTAATCGTATAGGTTATCATAAATCCATTGGGTACATGAACGAATTCATATTTAAGTTCAAGTTTATTTTTTGACAAGGATGTAAATAACATCGAAACATAGTGACCTGGAATCGTTTCATCAAAATCAAGTAATTCAAAAACAACAAATGTATTTGGAATAAGACGACGAATATTATTCACAATAGATTCGTCGGTCGATGAAATACATTTCGATAGATCTTTTCCAATCTCGACACGTGTTAATGGAGGTTCAATCAATGCCGGTGGAGGAATGCATACACCAGCTGCTGTATAATATTCTTGTTCACGTTGTGTGCCTTCTTCAACTCGACGTTCATGAAAATGACGTACAGCTGATGTTGTAGATGCAGTAACAGCAGATAGATTTGTTGGTGGTCCCCAACGAGTTTGCCTTTCTTCGCTGCGTAATGATACTGGCCGACGAGGTGGCGGTACTTTAAGCAGACCTAACTCATCTTGATGACATACTAATACCCAACGGGTTTCATTATGTAATTCAAGGGAAAATGATTTAGCTGCTGAAATGGATTTTAATGCATTAGAATATGCCTAACAAATAAAAAAAATAGATATGATTTATTCACTAGCTTTAGTAGAAGCAGTGAAATATGAAACAATCATTGATTGATATTATCCGTCTATTTTATGAAATGAAACTTTTATCGACACAATTAATAACAGATATACACGCAGGGATGGCGCGAAGCAACAAAAATATAGGTGGGTTACTTGAAAACGGGAGGTTTTTTTTCAAAAATCGGAGTAAATTAATAAAAATTTCTTCTATTTTCTTCAAATCGGAGTAAAATTGAAACAAAAATTTCCAAAGTTGGGCCCCNTGAAGAAAATAGAAGAAATTTTTATTAATTTACTCCGATTTTTGAAAAAAAACCTCCCGTTTTCAAGTAACCCACCTATATTTTTGTTGCTTCGCGCCATCCCTGTATACACGAGTATTAATTAGCTAATACATATATCGAAATAAATTTAATATGGTAAGATACAACGGAGAAAAAATCTTTCAATTTGTATGATAGAAATTTTTCAGTCTTTGCAGCTCTTGTTGATATTCGATCGACAACTATATATCAAGAATATTTCCATCTGTCATATGTCATCTACTTCTTAATTTCATTTCTGAAGAATCAATTAAAAAGACACCGAAGAGATGAGTCTGAAAATAGATTGAACAAAATATTTTTAACAAGAGTAGCTCGATCGCGTTTCACCTCTTAATCCCTCGAGAAAAGCATTTTCAGCTGCTCTACGTTATTTTGTAATTCTTAAACTATACCTGTTTCTTTGCTAATTTTTTATTAATACCATATCCATTAGCAATTTCAATATGTTCAATAATTAAATGTCCATGAAAACCATTTGATGTTGCTTTATCAGCACATTCAAAATCTGAATGCAAATGATATTTATTGATTTGTGTTGATATAAGATCAATTGAATGACTCGCATCAGCTAAAGTATTCAATAAACTAAAAAGAAATGTTTGCATTTTAGATAATTTTGCACGTTGTTGAGATAATAAAACAGGATCAACAGCATTTTTAGCTGCTTCAGAACATATTGGTTGTTGTATTGATTTTTTATTGTTCATCTAGATAAAAAGTTTTAGTTGCTTGAATTTAGATTCTAGTTAAATAAGTATTGTTCTATGGTTTAGAATTTTCTCAGCAATTTTTATTATCTCTCAGATCAATGTACAGATATGAATGAAAATAAAAGAATAGAAAGAGAAAATATTTATTTTCTACTTGTTCGTGTAATAATTATTTCTTGTGTATCTCTCGAGTCTCATATTTCATCCACATATCTGTACACTGACCTGTAACGAAACTTGTGGAATTATTGGATTGATGAAACAGGACCAAATACTGATTATTGTACAGTTGATAAGTAGAACTGAAAGGGAGAGATAGATGACATAACGATTAGCATATAAAGAATGAATCATGCTGTATTTCGCAGAAGTCACAGTAGATTTTCATCATGATGCAAATATTTCATTTGATTCATTACAAATTTTCACTTAACACCTGATAGTACCACATTATCTGTATTTTTTAGTCTCGATGCACCGAGCAGATTCAGAATAAATGACTCTAAAAATTCTTCTTCTGTTTTATCAAGATAGAATTTGTACGCTTGCTTTTATCTTCTCTATACATCTAGCATCTCTAGATTTTAAAACTCAAACTAGTTCAAATATTGTTTTAAGAAAAATGGATGATTTGATTGTATTTTTGCAAAACACAATGACACTCATCTTTTCTCAAACATCCAAACTCGATGAGCGTCTAATTAAGAAGTTTTAGCAGATAGCTTTGAACTAATGATTAATTGAAATATTGTACAATTAAGACGAAAGCTGACGAAATTGAATAAGAGAGATTTGATAACAAAAAGAAAACAAATTTTAGGAGGCACTTATTCTAAATTTATATGTTCCATTACTTCTGAATAATAATAAAAACTGTATGTTATTCCGTCTGTGAAAAATAAGCATTTGTAGATAATCTAATGAGTAATCTATTTAAAGCCCGCACAATTCGATTATATTGAAAGACTACTGAGAATTATGTAAAATAAAGAGAATTTCATTCTTTATAAGCCAACCATTAGAATAGTTTCTGTCTTTGTTTATATCTTTGTGAGATACTTTTTCAACATCTATGGTTAAATCTATAAATAATTTTTTTAAGAAAAAACTATTAATATTCTTTTTACTTGATCATCGACTGTTTTTGTTGGAAATGAATACACAGGCGGGTTATTATTCATATTTTCCTGCTGTTGTTGTTGAGCTGCTTGTTCTATTTCAGCAATAACTGCCTAAATATAATACTAGTATATCACCAAGATAATTATTCACAATACACATACTGCAACGCTAGATGGTGTTGTGGCTACTGCTTCAATAGTTGCCATTGTTTTATTGTTTATCGTTTGATGAGGTACAGGTGGTGGCGGGGATAAAGGTCGGTGAATACGTTTTGGCTTTGTGAATAAAGGCGATCCTCGACCCCATTGTTGCCAATATTGTTGTTCGAGTTTACTTTGTTGTCGAGCTGTACGTCCAGCTATTGTTGTTGTATCACGCGCATGCACAAAATTCATTTTTGTATTAGACATTGGATGATTTGATGGTATAGTAAAAGATTCTTTATCTTCATCATCCTCATATGTACTAAAATCGTCTTGGTCTTCATTTGAAGTTATTTTTATCAGCTCATATTGTTCACGGTCATCTTTATTTAAAGATAATTTAACGTCAAAACTTTCATTTAAAAATCGATTTAGTGCTTGTTGAAAGCAATTTCTTTTACAAAATTTTTTATTAGTACCTTGACCGGCAGTTATATAAACTTCGTCAATATAAAGTTTACCACGAAATGTTTGTGTTAAAAACGAAGTAGCATGTGTTCCATGAGAACTCAATTGATTTATGGAATCATCTGGACGATAATCAATAAATAAACGTTGTTGATTACCAATTTGATATATATCTTCAATAGCATGATCATTTTCATCACTATTCGTACGATTTTGAGCTGCTTCAATGAATTGTTTCAGTTGCTCAGCAAATGTGCGTAGACGAATAAGTTTTGTTTCAGCAGATTCATATAACGTGACTTTTGGATCTACTGGTGTTTGTTTGACTTGTTGAGGTGGTATCGGTGGCGGTGGCGGTGGCGGTGGTGTTCGTGTTGATGGTGACACTGGATTAGATGGGAAAGATGATGAAAATGAAATAAAATTTGGAAAACTGGAAAAAGATGAATTCAGTGGAACGTTGGACATTGCTGTACTAGAAGACAATAAATAGATACTTCAGAATTTAAAAACAATAAGCGTTCATTTTTTTAGGTAAATGTATAAAAGAGTTTGTAGATTAAAATGATAGTTCGTAAAAGTACGTTGCATCAATTTTTCAAATACAAGTCTGAACACAGAGATGAACCTTCGAGATAGATTTGAGAGCAATGGAACCCTCAAAATAGTTAGGAGCTATTTAAAAAAACATCGGTATGCAGGATTGAGATATTAAAATGAAAGTTTTGTTTTTTTAGCAAACATAACCATAACAAATTTGGCTAGCTTGAATGTCAGGGATCTGCGAATTATAATATTAGACACTTTTTGATTGAAGTACATCAAGTTTTTAAAAAAAGTGCAAAAGTTCTTTGTACGCTTTAGGGGTGTCAATTTACAGTTTATTTAATGTAAATTTAACTTCGTGAAAAGTTAATTTAATTTAAAATTAAATTCTATAAAGTTAAATTTAAAATAAATTAAAATTTTTCTCCTACAAAAATTTATTTCTCGATTTAATAAATTTTTTAAATTTTAAATTTAAATTTAATAAATTGTTTGGATGGATGCACATCATTGCTACGAGGAAAATACGTGACTTTAACAGTAGTAAATACTAAATGAGAGGAGAACCTAGTATTTTAGATTAATATTTATTCATAATAGTCAAAATGTCTCTACAGATTATGCATGATGCGCCATCTTTCTTCTTCAAAATATCGGGATACTCATAAAAATATATTTCATAGCACAATTCGTAGAAGAATGACTAGTTGACTTTAAATAGTAGCAATCAAGTCAAAAACTATGTTTATCAACTAGTGTTCAAAATTTAATTTAAATTAATTTAAATTTAATTAAATTTAAATTTTTTGAATTTCAATTTATTTTAAATTTAACTTTTCATTTAAAAAAAATTTAATTTATTTAATTTTAAATTTTTGAAAATTTATTTCTCGATTTAATGAATTTTTTTGAAATTTAAATGTGACACCCTTAGTACTCTTTGTTTTCGATAGTATATGAAAGTAAGACCAGTTGTCAGTTGCATTTAAAATTGAAGCATTTTACTCAAAACTGTCACGAAGATTTCTATGGCATCTCGTTTTCACTATAAGAAGCTGAAAAACTAGAATTTATATTTCCTAGAAATTCTGAACATTTCAAACTTTGCGAGGACTTGATACTTCTAGAATTTTTTTACAAACAAATCAGTTTCTAACTTATGAAAAACAATCTGTATCAATATAATAATGTCACTGAAATGACAAAAACAATTGATCCTATTTCTTGTTGGTATTCTTGATAATTCAATCATTTTTCTAATGAAAAACTCACTTTGTCATAAGTGCATTACGTTTATTATTTACACCAGTTAATTCCTGACTTGTTGGACGTTTTCCCGAAGAATTCGAAAGTTTTTCAGAAAGTTGATCAAGTAATGATTTTAATGGTTCCGAATATTTGCCTATTGAAAAAAGAAAAGAGAAAACAATAGAATTGTTTTGTGAATTTGTAATTGTAGATCACTAAACTCATAATAATAAACAAAATGAATTCAACATACATCCAAGACATTTTGTATTCGCGTAACATTGCGCAAGACATAAAAGCCTTTCTTCATTGTAATCAGATCGAAATGCGTCAATAAACTGTTTTCGATAAAGCCATTGTTGATCACTTTCATTCGGTAGACGAAATCGATCAACATTAAATGTTGTTGTCATCGATTGATTTGTATCTGTTGCATCCATTAAATTATCATTTATCATATTATTTTATTTCATAACGAAGAGAAAATAAACAATCTAGAAAAACGAGCAATCATCATAAACGTCCGAAAAAAATTACTAATTTAATTTCATTCATATTACATATGACATGAATGGCGAAACTGGATTACATAAATATCAAAATTTAAAACAAAAAAAAACACAATACTTTTTCACATTGAAAATCATTAATTGTGAATACTAGTTTAATTACATGATTCTTTTTCTCCAATATTGGATTAAGCATTCAAATCTCTCTCTGACAGCATTGGTATATGATTTTCCATAGGGTTGATGACGATCAATTAACGCTTGTAAATCTTGTTTTGCCTGTTCAACAACCTATTCCAATCAATAAAAAACAATATATTACCTTCAATTGAAGTAAAACATAAAACTTACGTCATCAATTGGATCTTGTGATGCATCAAATTGCACAGGATCACCAATATGTAAGGTTATTTTAGCTGGAATTGGTATTTGAATAAATGTTACTAGAAACCATGCAGTGGACGCTAATAAAATTATGAAATGGCTAATAAATGGAATATTTAAGTCGATAATATAGGCAAATAATCGGCCAAGTCCTAAACGATTCCAAAGCCAAAGTGTTGGATTCCAGCGCATTTCATCAACATTAGATAAGAAAAGAGGAACAATTGGTACTTGAGCTTGTGTAGCAATATAAGCAAAACCCTTTCCTACAAAGTCATAAGATACAAAATCAATATATAATATCTGTATAGTTGAACAACTTACGTTTTTTAGGCCAACATACTTTATATGCATTTTCATGACCAACCATTCCTTCCTCTGCTCCACCTGAAATCATATACGAAATTATCTATCACAAAATCATATACGTTAATATTAATTACCCGGTACAACAGCCACCCAAAATCCACTTTTCAACAATGATAAAGCACTTTTTGGTTCACCGGGTACAGAACCCATCAATCGTAAAATTGGAAAAAATGGAGTTAAATATCGATGAATTAGAGATCTAACTAATTGAACTACGATGAAATTGGAAAACAGATAAAAATACAAATATTTACCGCATAACTCGACCTGTCATATGATAGACGCATACAACCGTTCCCACTATTTCACCATTATGTGTTGAATGTCGAGCAATAAACAGACAACCTCGATCAGGATCAATTTTTTCTATTCCTTTAACTGTTGAATTTGACAAAAAGAAAAAGGTAAATTTTTTTAAATGAATACATATCATTCAATTATACTTTCAAATCCATGAAAATAAATGAAAAAATAATAATAAACAAATGTTAATAGGCGAAAAAACCATGATTCACCAATATATTGATCAGGTAAAAAAGCGAGACGTGTACGAAGATTATAATGTCGAGCTTCATTTCGTGCTACGGGATCGGATATAGCTGAATTAATTTTCTTTCCTATATTCATAACATCCATGATATAAAAGGAGCCGAAATTTTTACTAATTATCTGAAACAAATCAAAGATATTCAGTGATTCTTATTCTATATTGCACACAACATTGAATAGATCTGGGTAACGACAATGAATAGAATGATAAACATAAGATAGACAATAAGAGAATGCAATAAAATACGAAACTATTTGATCCTTTTTCTCCTACTGACGGCACACCGATTCGAATACAGAAAGAAATATTTAAGAAAAAAAAATGCAATAATTTCAGTTAATAAGATAATCGACAAAAATACAATCATAACATAGAAGTATTTATTTGAATTTTTTGGAAAAAAATATGATTTTTGTTCGCTTTCATTATTCGATTAATCATTATCAATAAATTGGCCGTTGTTGATTATCGTTTGGGCGTAGTGCATCGTTGATACCGGCCGTTGCCACTTCACGTGCTGCTCCGCGAACAGTTTCACTGAAATACGATGATATTTTATTTTTCAGTTTTTATCTTTTCGTTAACTTCTATTACTTACTTGTTTACAAAAGCTGATTGAAATTCCTGTTGAGCTTGCTCAAGACTAGCGCCTGATAGTCTGTACAATCGATGAACCTATAGAATAAAAATAAAAATAAAAATAGCATATAATTATCATTGATTGTCTTAAAATAATCTAAATAGCATAATCAAAAAATATGGAGCAAGTTTATTGCTATATCTAGAGGATGGCAGCTAGTCGTATACCCTAATCGTAAGAAGAACAGTTACAAGGGTTATCAATGACCATAAAACACCAAGAATGATCATCATAATTCCGACCACTTTATTTGTTGACATTACACCAATTCGAGCAAAACCGCTACATTCAAAGAAAATATTCAGTACTGTTCGAAATAAACATAATTTCTAAAGCTATTTGAGCGTTTTTAAAATAATTATTTTTCTCACCTTTATCATTAATAAACCATCGGCAAGAGCAAGCATAGCAAAGCATGCTGTAACAATCATTACGATGAGACCAACTACAATTTTGCTTCCGCCACTCGTAAATAATTTAATCATCAATGTGAAGCCACTAGAAAAAATACACACATAGCAAAATAGTTTCTTTTTTTAAAATTTAAAATCATTATTGATTAGTTAGTTTTAAGCAGTAGCAAGCAAACAGTTACAAAGCACCCACCACATGCCAGCAATTATTCCAATTGCAAAAAGAATAGTCTCAGCAATGAATAAAATATCCATGACGAAAAATATCATGAAATAAACAGAACTATCAGTTCTAAATTCAAGTAACACAGGAAGATATATTTATATAGCTCATTTATAAGAATAAGTTTTCAGTTGGTTTTTCTCTCCGTTCTCGAAAACAGATTCGTAATAATTGAATTGTTATAGCATACTATGTGTGAAACTAAATTTGTCTTATTTACAAGAATAAATAAATATATATACAGTTTTAAAAAAGTGCAACTAAGCAGGTAAGATTAAGTGAAATAAAAACATGCAAAGTGAAGATGTGCAAAGACAACAAAGAAAAAACTATTTTGAATATTATAAGCAGATAATCGAATTACTTTAACCCTTTTTAGAATGTTTGATGCGCTTATGTAACGGATAATTGTTCAAATAGAAAAAAACATTTTGGGACTATGTTGCATATGCAACCTAGTGACCTGATATTTGCTATGTCAATCTACAGCTCGTACCACATATATATGATGATTTAGACTACCACGTAGACTTGTATATTGCTTTCAAGACTCAAATATAAGTACAATATTTAAGAAGCTTAGACCATTTATTAGACTCTGATAAATTCGTTTTGGTTTACAAGTTTATCTAAAACTGACAGCAAACTCAAAAAGAAAACAAAAATAATCACTTCAGTTGCTCAAATATTTTCTCTGAGTGCTCGTGACTATCGTCATTATAGGAAACAGTCAAAATGCAGGATTTCTAAATTTTTGCTTCGGCATGATGTTACTTAGTAGGTATTTTACTAAATATTCTCCATGAAAAATAGAATCAATCGATTCTTCAAACGGCGTCTTTTGTTTTTTCGAGATGAATCTCATTCTGAAATAGTTAAAGAATTGAATCAATTCATCCGGTTATCTGCTTATTTTGTTTCATACGTTTGAAAATAGAATATATTACCATCCAAGATTGGCAACGCCAAAAAATTGTAATATTGTTATGATGATTTGTATGAAGAAGATCAGAAAAAAGATCATAAAGCTCGATGCACTGTCTTCTCTAGATTCATTTCGAGAGAAAAAGAAAGATAAATTTTTAGTCGATTTCAAAATATCCATCGGTAAGCATATCCATCGGTAAACATATCCATCGGTAAACATACCCATTCAAACAAAGTTGATTAGTTCAATTAAACTAAACATTCTGCTTTTTTCCCTCTATTTTGTCTCATTATCAAAATCCTGCTACTTTTCATTCCATTTTACATTTAAATATTTATATATGTTGGAAAGAAAAAATATATGAAATCTATTGTACGATAATTTCTAAGATATCATCCTTTTTTTGTTTACAAACATTCTATTTACTAGAGTTATTTCTAACCTGAATGCTCGATAAATTGGTCGAAACCAACAAACGTACGATGCCGGTACGAAAAGAACCAGATAAACAAGCGATAGACCAAATGTAGTTGCACCTTCCTTATCGACCGCTTTTTAAAATGAAAGAAAATTAAGAATTTATACTTATATAAAAGAAAATCATATTTCACTAACAGAAATAAGATAATGCAGCAATCATATTCAAAAATAGTGTGACCGCATAAGCTAAAACAAAATAAGCTGATTTCAAAAAGAGATAGAAAATATTTAAAAACACATACCCAACCATAAATAGTAGAGATATCGAACCCAGATTTGAAATTGGCTTGGAATTTCAATACTTATATCCTGATAAAAACATGGTCCACATGGACATATTTTTGGTAATGGTGGAAAATTCTTTTCCCGTTCTAAATTAAAATAGATTGCCATTTCAAAATCGAACATTATTAAATTTAATTAGTATTGTCTTTATAAATTTCTACGATAGTCTTCTCGAAAATAAATGAATTTTTGTTAGAAAAATTACGATTAAGATTAATCAGTGTGAGGTAGTGTTAGATATTATGATTCATTAACAGCAGCATAATTTATTTATTATTTCGCAGTGTGTTTTCTGTCAAAATTGTTTTTGATGTCTATCACATATTGCTTGAAAAATGTATTTTTCTCTATTTATTTTTTCGAAATTCTCGAAGGGTCTTGAGAGAAGCCAATTTGTTTTTGTATAAATAGATACTTCTATCAATAGACGATCAGTTTTTTCTTGAAGCTATTAAACTTGTTATTCTGTTTTACTATGAATAAAAAGCAAAAATTTAGCGCACCAAATCTAAATACAGTTTCAGATTGCCTTATGGACTATTTTCGATCTTTGTTTGTTCAATATCTTACGGAAGCTGGATGATATACAACTAGAGATCGTATCACAATCTCTTTTCTATAGTCTAAATAGATTCTAAAAATTTCATTCGACTTGAACAAAATTGATCCACGGTTAATTTTTAATGAAACCGTTAATAAAATAAACAGTTGCGTATACATTTCATTTTCATACAACTATAGTATTGAATCGTACATGTCATCTGCTATCAAATAAAACGAACAAAATAAAAATAAAAGATCATTAATATTTAATATAATGCAGTCAATATGAGAAAGATTTTGTTGCGAAGTTTTTAATGAAAATTTTTTACTCCTTTCGTTTATATTTATAATTTTCAATTTTTTTGCTAAACCAATTAACCTTTACGTAAACGAATTTGGCGTTGTTTTTCTTCTTTTTCTTTTATAGAAGTATATTGTTTTCTTACTTATCTCTCATCATGGTTTATATCACATGTAGAAACAAGAGGATTACTCATTCCTAACTCAATTAGTCATAATGTACATAAATAAAGCAACGAATGTAGAATTTTGAAAATATTATTGAGAATGTTTAAAAATTTACTTAAAATCTTTGTCGGATCTGTTGATGTTCGTTCACGTTCTGTGATTCGTTTTTCACGTTCAGCAAGTTCAGCTTGTTGTCGTTCTAGTTGACTAAGATCAATGCGAGTTGATGTTGGTTGTTGAGGAGGAGTAGGTGCTGTTGTAGGTGCCTGGTATTGTGGTGGTGGTGGTAACACAGCAGCAATATTCGGATGTTGTGGAGGTGCAGCTGCAACATACGGATATTGCGGAGGTATTTCGCGCTTAAAAAGAAAATAATAAATAAATGCTTCTATTCAATGTAAAAAATAACAACTAGAACATACTTGAACCGCTGTAGTTGTATTAGAAAACGGATTATAATCATTATGTGCTTGCTGATTTGGACTAGAAAATAAATAAATTGAAAAACTAGATAACGAAGAGATAAATTACAAACAAGGCTGCAGCTGTTGCTTGTCGAATTGATGAATCAGCAAATGGATTATAATCATCATTATAATTCATTTTGTATTCTTTTTCAATGAACTTTAGTAAATATGAGACAAATCTAAAACGAAATAACAAGATTTTTCATATTCTAGCGACTTCAATTCAAATATATATGATGAATAGAGCTTATCAAGTATATGTTGTTTTTTAGTAGGATTCGTAAAAATTATCAACCGCCATCTATATAATGAATAATGATTGGTATTCATATCTGTGCATTCAGTAATTTTTTCATCTAAGTTTCATTTCTTATTCGAACAATTATGAATTCTATAACGTAAGTTAATTTATTCAATGGAATTATTATTTTTTTCTTTAATTAAACTTTTCTCTTTGTTTATTTACAGTAAAGCACGTTTACTTAATCAATTAAATGAAAAAGAATTGCAAAGTGGTTCAGCTAATACCAATAAAAGTTGGCATCATGTTTATCGTGAGAGCGCATGGATTTATGTTGGCGGTCTAGATTTTAATTTAACTGAAGGAGATATTGTATGTGTGTTTTCTCAGTAAGGAAATTTTATTTTCAAAACAATTTTCAACTTTTTACCTTGGTTCGTTTATTTAGATGGGGTGAAATCGTTAATATGAATTTATTACGCGATAAAAAGACTGGAAAATCAAAAGGTTTTGCATTCATCTGTTATGAAGATCAACGAAGTACAATCTTAGCTGTAGATAATTTCAATGGTGTTTCACTAGCTGGTCGATCAATACGTGTCGATCACGTTAAAGATTATAAACCACCTAAAGAAAATGACAAAGATGATGATATTATCAAAACATTAAAAGAATTTGGTTGTGCTCCTGATGTTAAGTTGCCATCGTCTTCATCTTCATCGACACGACGAAAAGATGAAAAGACCTCGACACACATTAAACAAGAGCCGAAGCGATTTAAAAAATAGAATTATTTGTACATTTAAAAATAAAATTTATGTTTTTTTCTGCGTATTTGTTTCTTTTATCTGAATTCATAAAGAGGAAAAATAGTCTTTTAGTAAACATTTGTCTGCTAGAAAACAAAATATGTTAGCTTCTCCAGTAGGAGTATCTCATGATCACGAGTAGTGGAACAAAATCTCAATGACTAAGAATAAAACTTTAACTATACTGGGAAACCGCGAAAAAATTTTTGAACTGAAGAATTAATGCAGTTTCCGATGAGGTAACCTGCTAAATGGATCTAGTTCCGATCTAAAAAAAATGATTTCATACCTGGTCAGACCATTTTTCGACAAGAGATAAATTTATCAAACGTATCTCTGTCTGTTATTGTTGTTTTATACTGTCAACGAATCGCTGAGTAATTCGTACTACTCACTCATTCTACCTGACCTATATTTACTTTGATACATGTCTGAGTAATATTCTTGATTTATCAACTGTCGTGTTAACTAAAGATGAGAACCTTCTCCTATTATTATGATATGTACCAATAGTAAAATTGAAATATATTCAATGATCAGTGACAATTTAATATTTTTGTAGAGAATATAAATTAGCATTACAATGGTTGTTTTTCATTGTGGTGGCTGTGGAGAAGCACTCAAAAAAAATCAAGTCGATAAGCACATAGCCAGTACATGTCGACGAGTATCATCACTTTCTTGTATCGATTGTGGAAAAGATTTTACGTATGACACAATCTAATAGAGTTTTCATTGTTCGGTTATCTTTTATTTTACTTTTTTAGTTGTGATTCATATAGAGAACATATAAGATGTGTTACAGAACAGGAAAAATATGGTGGTTCTAATTATGTAGCACCAACAAATATGAACAAAGGTGAAAAGAAACAAAATCAATGGTTTGAAATTGTTCAATCAGCTATTAATCTTAATTCGGGTAGTGCACAAGCAAAAATTATACTAAACAAACTTCAATACTATCCGAATACACCACGAAAACGAGCAAAATTTATTGTGAGCGCTTCTTCAATGAGTATATAATTAAATCGTTTTTTCGAACTTTAGAATTTTGTTAACAACTCCATTAAAGGCTTTTCACCCCGTGTCGTCGAAGAAGTATGGTCTATACTAGAAACTTTATTACCAAAGGTATTTTTAATATGAACTATTTATTAATATATATTTAAAAAAACTAAAAGCTCGATATTATCTTTATTCATAGCCTGGGAATAATGAAAGCAATCAACCGAAAAAAGCTACTGCGGAAGATCAAGACCAAAATACATCTGAAGTTCCAGTAAAAAAAGATACTGATACATCAAAACCGAAACGTAAAATCGATGAAGATAATGAAGAATCTTTAAAGAAACAAAAGACAAACGATGAAAACGAAGTTGTTCAAGATGATAGCAATCAAGCAGTACCATTGAATCCTCGCTTTGAATGGTATGATGAAATCAAACTTGTATTAAGCAAAGCAACTGATCAAACGCTTACTTTGAATGCTTTAAAGAAAAAAGTAATTCTTTTAAATAAAACCTAAATCGTATCCAAAATAATATGTTGATTTCTTTTCTAGGTTTTCAAACGCTACAGAAAATTGAAGCCAAAACAAGAAAAAGAAGATGATTCTCTTTTTAAAAAGTTGGAAAAGAAAATTCAACGTGCGCCATTCATTCAACAAGTTGAAGAAAATGTGTATCGTTTATCTGAATAAATTGTTGTTTTGTGTTGCAAAACGTCGTTGTTATACTCGAAATGTCTCAGAAGTAGATGTGTTCTTGTAATTTCTGAGATTTTTTTCGAGGTAAATAAACAAATGAAACTTCATTGTGATGTCTCTCAAATACTAATAAGAAGAAAACAGATTAAACAAAACTAAAAGGACTTCATGCATGAGACTAACCAGTTGCATTTTATCTTTTTCAAATATGCAAAAATTTGGAGATCTAAGCAATCTTCCTATGATCATTTGACTTCAATGCGAGTGTGATAAATGAGTAGAAGAAAAAAAGGAAATTAAAATAGGATGACCTACACGTTACTTCGTTAAAACAATTTTACACAAATCAATATTTGAAACAGGAATGTACGAATCGATATAACTGGTTATCGTCATATAGTTTGAAATAATGTTGCATTCATTTTCAGGTTCCTCAAACAAAACTTGAAACCATTGAATCAATATTAAAATTTTGTGTTCTATTCGGGTATTGTTTCAAGGTTTGCTTTTGTCTAGATCTAATTTGATACGAGAACTATAGCCAGGCATTTTCATAAGTAGTTCTAAGGGTGAGATATTAGTGCAATACCTAATGAATGCAGTGCAAATAATTCAGCAAGTTGTATGCAATAGAGCTACATTTCGAATTGATCTTGATCATTTAACATCATCACTAATGTATCAAAATTTGACATTCAATAGAATCACAACTTAAGAAATATAACATTCAGTTAGCATATTAGATAATTATATAGAGTTATGGCTTATGTACGTATTTTACACGTAAATGGTAATAAATTTCAAAAAATCAGTCATAGTGTTGAATACAATCAGAAATCGCATTAAAAATCGTGAAGAACACCATGTAGATCATGCATAACAGAAACACAGTGTATTGTAACAATATGGGTGTAGATGTGAGATGAGCTGTACCATAAAATAATTTCACTATATATTATTGAAGATACGTGTAAATCAATCAATACCAGATTAGTCGATTTCTTGATGATAGGACAAGCTCAAATCATCGATGAATATGAAAAGGATTTGCATATACTCATAGCGTTATTATGGTGATCGATCTAGACATAGAAGATATACATAGGCTCGAGTAAAAGCATTGGATTGGCTTTTATCACACTTTAAGCTAAGACATTGACCCCAATGTAGTATTGGAATCCATTTTCTTGTTAAAAACTGCCTAATACAAACGGCGCACTCATTGAAATATTAAACAGCAGTTTAATTTTATTCATATTCTTAAATAGTGTTAGTTCTAAGTGTTCATATTTTGTTTTGATAAAATGTCTTTTATTGTTTAATTAAAATTTTATCTGATTGCTGCCATTAGTCGTTGCTTGATTTTATTTCTGTGGTACTTTGTTGATGACATCTGAAAAGGCTGCTATAATTTTCTTACGTTGATCTTCTGTGTAAGGTAGAACCCTATCGGGAGTTCTATAGAGAGGCGGAATCGAAAGATTGAAAGACTTCGCTGGATTCCACTCGCAGGTAGCGCACGGGAGTAAATCATCTAGAAAGACTGATTCTACTCCTAATAGAATTTGAGCAACTGGCCAAGATACCTTAAGGCCGTACTTTGGAATACGATAGCAAGCAGGATATGTCTCTTCTAAATCACTCTGCATTGCATCTAAAGGCAGTTGTTGATGAAAACTACGCATGGCAGCTTCACATCCATGTTCGTCTCGCATTTTGCGGGAAATCTCCTGTGCTCTTGCCTTCACGTTAGCGTCCGAGATGAAGTTGATGGCATCAACCAAATGTCTGGTATGAAGGGATCTCGCTGATAAAGCCGGTGGCCCAGCACCTGCTTTTTCTACAATATCACTCCAAAAGTATTGGTCACCAAAAAAAGGGACGATGATAGTTGGTAAGCCCGCTCGAAGTCCAGTTGCTGTTGTACCAGCTCCACCGTGATGACAAACACCGGATACTAGAACGAATGAAACAAAGATTTGATCTTAAAATGTAGAACAATTATAGTATCGATTGTTATCTGTGACCATTATCGTTTCGAACTTAAGCAACAATATTTTCTCCAAAATTGAATTGATTTGTAGTACAAGATGATATGATACAATCAGTTCGACACTCTTTATATAGTCAAATAGTTTGTGGTACTTTTCGATATTTATATTAACTTTTAAATTTCTATAGTTGACTAATCATATTTGCCTGAATTGCCCGAATAAGCCTGTACACATGACTTAGCACTTCACTCTACTAAACAATATTTAGTAACCGACTCAGACAGTGATTTCTGTGATCTTTCAGCATTTAGGAAGGTATGCTTTTCAAAATGAGTCGAGCACAATAGCTTGGATAAAGACTTCTTATGTATTCTATCCTATTTTGATAAACCATAGTATAATTTCTGAAATTGCGTATAGCATGCTCAAATTAATTTTTTACTTACCATATTGAAATAGCCAATCGTGCGGACAGTTGCCACATGGATGAATATTTTCGGGCACTTCAGTATCTGGTGCGATTAGTTTATCGCTGACTACCGCTCGTTTTCCAGTTATGTTAAGAGCTCTTATGATAGTTCTGAATAGTTTGCGTTCATCATGACCACTGATCGAGCCAAAGCCAATGTACAGTGGTGGATCACCACTGTCTAGAAAATCCATCAAACTACGAGGTACTGGGTAGTCTGTTTTATCATAAAGAAAGAAAAACCCGCAAACGTCAATATTAGGACCCCAATCGTTTGGTTTTGGAACAAGTGAAGGTGACCAGCAGTACGTATGCGGTACATCATTCATCATGCGGAGAGCCTGTTCACTGCTCAATGGAAGAAGGCCCAGTATGTTTTTACGAAAATCATTGACGATCCGATGCGAACCCGTCCACATCTAAAAAATGAATCAATGATCTATATTAATTATGGCAAGCATACGAAAATATTTTTTGTAACAGCGTAGAAAATTATAACTGAAAAAAAGTGGATATTCTGCTTACTTCAGTTTTGATCTTTTTAGTGTATTCTTTTTGGGCTGAAACGAAATTCATCCTTTCTTCATAGCAAAAAAACTGCCTCTTACATGTGATGTGCCAAACGTGGCAGAGAGTCATGTCCACTAAACGCTTTGGATGCTACATATCACTTTTATTTGTCTTATACTTAAATACGCTAATTGGTAATCATTTTTGTAGCATTGCTACTTTCTGCCTTTTTACTTCACTATGTCGGTTTCACGAATTAATTTTCGAACTTATCACTATAGTAATAAGTAATAACCCGTAATAGCAATTTAGCAGCTAGATACTAAAGATATAAAACTTATTTTGAAAGGCACCTTATGAGGATGTGCATACTTACCGTTCAAGTGTCCTTTTTTCAAAGAATATAAAGAGTTCAAACTTATGATCGTTTTCTAAATATCAGTTTGTCAAGTGCATATAAGTAAAAATTGATTACCACAATTTTTCAAATAATAAACTACTAGGTATTTAGTACTGGGAGTTATTGTGATTTCGAATCATGCCAACTAAAACTTACATTAGAAATCACTATAACAAATATGAGATGCTTGATTACTTTGTGTTATGATTATACTACAGTCAAAGTTATTTAGTCAATTACATTTATATTCTAATTTACTAAAGTGAAAGAAACTGATATATTTATGGCATTTCCTTTTTGATTATCATTTCTTCTTGGTGTATATGAGAGTGGTTATTGCTATTGTATTAGTAAACAACAGATATATTATGCCTAGATGATACTTACGAATCGTTCGACGCTCTGATATGATTCTGCTCTTCTTCGAGGGGATTCTTCTACTCTATATGCAGACCGAGCTAAAGGATGCGAAAAGTTGATTGTTTCTGACCAGGGCATGGTGAAGACAATGTGAAGTGGAATGCGCAGTTTTTCGGCACAATGAATATGACCAAACGAAGGTGGATTCGCAATAATTGCATCAGCAAAGAATCCATCATTCGTTACTTCATCTGGATCAATACACGAAGTCCATGTTGATTTGAGAATTTCACTGATAGCTTCATTATTTTCACCTATTGCACCATTCAACACGGCACCAATAGTCGGGTAAATTCCACCACACGTAACCATATATTTCATGAGCTTCTGTGAGTCACCTCCGAGAGGAAAAAATTTGAGATCATTATTCGTAACTAAAGCACGGTGTTCATTATGCGTTGCAAATCGAACCCGATGTCCGAAATTTTGTAGCATCTGCCCATAAGCAATGAGCGGCTGAATATCACCACGCGTTCCAACAAATTGCATAACAATATTCAACCGAGGAACATGTCTACTAGATGAAGATGAAGATGAATTTGAAGCCATAGTCATTGAGAAGGTAGAATATGGATTATTGAGGCATTGATATAAAGACTCGGCCTTTTATACACAAATAGATTCCAGTATTCTACATAATCACAATAAACTTCCTCAAAACTCACTAGTACCAATCAAAATCTATTCAATATTACCAACCCAACAGGGAAAATATACGAATTAGTACAGCTTCACCGAACATTATGTTGGTCAATTCCAACTACGCCTAATAAAAATCTTGGCCGAAAAATATCGAATTAAATTTTATCCATTCTAGAATATAGAATTTTATCCTAACTAACTACTTCAAAAGTGACTTGATTAATTTACCCCATCTAACTTGGTAACCATCTGAGTTGGTAACTCACACCCACACCCTCAATCTGGAATTTACCGAATATACAAATATGTAGGGTGAGAATGTGAATAATTTGAAAAAAGCGCTCTGATATCCTCAGTATCCCTATTTATTTCTCTCCAAGCCGAAAGGGAAAAGCCAGCTGATTTCCACCGATATTCCTTACAAGAAAAGAGGAATTAAAGTTTACTCAATGACACACTCTGCACCTTGTAATTTATGTCTCTTCCTTTTAAATGATGTCATGTTAATAAAATGAAATATTTGTTTATTAAGTAAGAACACGCTTCGGAGTCCTACTGCCTTCTTCTTGAGCTCAGTATGTCAAAAGATAAAATAAAATGGAAACTTTTCTTTTTCTATTTGCACATCTACCTACAGATTTTTCTTTTTGATTTTCTAATAGAGTAGCGGAATATGAAAACATATTTATTAAACCGTTTAGGATTACAATTTTGTCTTTCTACTCCACTATTAGAAAAAGATGAAGGCAGTAGCACTACGAAAAATTGTCTTTATTAATAAATAAAATTTTCATCTAATTAACATTAAATTATTTAAAAGGAAGAAACACAAATTTTAAACCGCATTTACTGTGACCGTCATCAGCTCTCACAATTGATGACTATGCTGTATCTGCATTTGTGTAGAAAGTTCTGTCACCAATCACACAAAAGGTTTATTCGACTTGAGTCGTCTTGATGGAACAGTTCAGTTTTGCTTTCGATCTGTATGAGAAACCCTATTCGTGATGTACTGACTCGATCATTGCTTTACTTTGGTCTTACAGGATAGAAACTCATTTCATTTATTCGCTGGGACCTTGACGTATACATAAAAAGTTAATTGAACTGAGAAATTGATGATGAACTTAAACATTTTTACGATAAACTAAGCGTTACTCTTTAAACATAAAGTATTGCTCAAAAGCAGAAATGTTCAAAACTGAATTCAGATTTTTGAAACAAAAATATCTTTGAAAAATGCAAAATGCTCGTGCAGCGAAGGAAGAAAGTTTTCTCCTTTAGCCAGTGTCAATATTTTTGCGAATCAAAACAAGAAAATTCATGCCCGGTTAAACACTGAATATTCAAACAACTATAAAATATTTTATATTGATATGATCGAGGTTGTTTTAGCTGTGTTTCTTCTGGTTTGAATAAAACTAGAAATGAATTATTTCCTGTCACTTGAATCGACGGAAGAGAAGAAAATATTCATCGAAGCGAAAACCTACTCGTCGAGCAATTTCCGTGGAAAAATAAAATATTTAACGAATAAATTCATTCACCGATAGCTGTATTTCAGCATCCTTCATCTTTTGGATGCCTAACGAAGTATAACAATAGTTTGTATAATGTGCAGAGAAGAATTTCTTATTATGAGAACATAACAATAATGCTACTGAAATCGATCGTTCTCGCAGTTACTTAAAAAACACTTTACACATCCACAGATATCCGTAAACATTCAAAAACATTGATTTTGCACTGCGCATCCCCTTCAGGCTTTGAATTATTTACGCTGATATGCGAACTTTTATAGACATCTATGTCTACCACAGTAGTGTCAAACTTGAAACTTGAATTCAATTGAAAATTTAAAAAGTTGAAAATTGAAATTTTCAATTGAATTCACGTTTCAAGAGTTTGACATATATGGTTTACCATCATATTTTGTTAATAGTGGAAGACACAACATATTAAGAAATGATATTTTTAATAATTCTCGAATTACTCCCAGTGTTTCATCGATGTTTGATAATCTCGTCGGATTGTCATGTAATAAATTAATTTGAAATTTATTACTAGGGATGCAACAATACCATTTGGAGACACATAAAAATTCCCAATTTTCATTTGTAGAAAGTAAAATAAATATTCCGCAAGTCATTTCTACAATGCAAATGTTTCGGTTTGTCTAGTTCATGAGTTGTGTGCGTTCGAGTGATTAACATGGCTGTAATCGCTGGAGTGCATATTGGCATTAGTGTGTTGCATTTCTGTGCAGTCGTTGTGAATAAAAATATGCATCACAAATAAAAGTAAAACTAAACGTAGCTTCATCAACATAAACATCCTAGGGCAACATACGCAAAATGTTTTTACCATTGAAAACATATTCTCTCATGCAAACTGAAAGGCTCCATTCGATCACTGTATAAACAGAATAGCAAAGAAATTTCCCGAAAAACTTTATTAAGAAATAGATGATTCAGATTCTAAATATCTCACAACTCAAATATCTTGTTGCAACCATGTCAAAAAAAGATGTGAGTTACAACTTTGTATTGCGGATGCTGATAGCTTTAATGTGAATGCCGAATAGTATCAGCTAACAAAATGAACATGTTCATTGTTAGTATTAAATATGCATTAAACAAATATCATTTTTATTCCTAAAATTTTATTTCATTGTAAAACGTTTTTTTTTGTTTTGCTTTTTTTATCATTACATGGTTAATAAAACAAAAATCATTCGAAAGATAAAATGGAAAATTTAAGCTGTATTTTGATATAACAAATAGATATATTTATATACATGATAGAAAAAGCAAAAATGATTATTATGCATCGCTACTGCTGCTGCTGCGTACAACTAAATTAGCTTTATCATGATCAGTTTCTTTGCTTTGAGGATCGAAATGTACTTGCCGACGAGGAGGAGATGTTGGAGCACCTTTTGTTAAGTAAAAACAAAAAAAAAGAGAATTTAAATAAAATTTGTTTTTTAAATATGAACCTTTTCGAGTTGGTTTTGATGGAGGTGGATACGTTTCGATGTTTAATTTAGCCGGTTCACTCGGCGATGCTGACACTTGAGCTGGTTGATTTGATGCGGTAGCAGAAAACATTGGATTAGCGAATACTGGTGGTGATTCCTATGAAAAAAAAATCGTTCAGGCGCAACAGTAAAATTTATTTGTTACTTACTATTGTTGACATATCTCTTGCTGCTGATGATTGTGAACGTTGAAATCGAACTATATTTATATTTGTTGAACGTGTAATAAAATTACGTATGTTATTCATTGTTGTTCGGACGCCTGTTGGCAACTGTATATTTGAAATCGATTGTAGTCTAAGTATAAAGTGAACATAGAGTATGCACGAATGTCGACTAAGAGATTTTATCAGCTTACTTTCCTTTACGTTTCAATTGAATTAAACCAAAAGTAAGAAGACTAATCAATAATAAGCCAACAACTACAGCAATAACAATTCCGAATTTATGCCCAGTTAGTATTGAAGGTTCAGAACGTGTATCACAATTTGTACCTTTATAACCTTAAATGAGATTTTATTATTTATTTTAATAAACTTGCAATAATCATTTTACTTACCGGGCAAGCAAACACAACCCGTTAATTGACTGTGAGAATTTTCATCAACATGATAAACACATTTACCATGCAAACAATTACATTGTACAACATTTTCACGTGCAGCAACAATTGCTTTAAGAAAACAAATTTATATTTCAAATCGAATTTTTTAAAACTTATTTTTCTATTATCGATACTTACGAGCATTACATGTTCGAGTATCTTGTTGAATTGTTGTATTGAATGGACAGATGCATTCATATTGGCTCATCGGTTTTAGCACACATAAATGTGAGCAATTTGCTGTTGCACATGGATTTGGTCCTAAAAACAAGAATATTTGTTATTGATTCGTTTTTGATCTTAATTAATTTTCTTTTTAAACCTGATTGAATTTGTTTTAACGGATGATAAATTCTTACGAATAAGGGTGACTCTAATTTATCAAGAACAAGTGTTGAAATTCCACGTCCAAATTTTTCAATCATATAAAGTGAACGATTATCACGATGAATCCAATATAGATGACTTCCAAATATATCTAATGAATGTGGTGCATGGATTCCAATATGTGCTATAACAATGCGATCTGTGCCATCGTAATTCATCGATTCTATTGATTCTTTCTTTTCGTCTGTCCAATAAACACGATAATTATGATAGAAATCAATAACTAAATCAGTTGGATATATTATATCCGTATCGACCAATATGGTACGATTTTCACCATTCATATAAGCTGACTCAATAGCAACGCCATGCTGATTAGAATCTCCAATATACGTAGTTTCATAATTAATGAAGTAGATGATTCCAAGTATTGGATTAACTGTAACAACCCATGGTGATTCAATGTTAGTAATTAATTTTGCTGCATAACGTCCATCATTTTTCGAAACCCATATACAGCCATGAACAACATCACTCAAATAAAGATTTTGACCTATCCAATCAATAGATATACTACTGGGAATTATTGCATGATTAGTATCATCGTACGAAATTGATTGAGGATATGTTGTTGATATTGCACTTGGCGTAAGATGTGCACGAAAAACTTCTAATGCAGATTCATCAACCCAATAGAACATACGAGTATTGGTATCAATTGAAATAAAGCCAACCTCATGTTGATCTTCAACAAGAACACCATAATGAGATGAATCCTCTACTGAATTTCGACGAAGACGACGAATTTCATCAGGTTCAGATATCAGAAGGTCAATTGTTTGATCTATGCGATTGAAAAAAAAACAGAAGATCTCTATAGGAAATAAGAACAATTGTTTGTAGATAAAATTTTTATATGTAGCTATGTCATTATTCATAGTACGATCATGTCTATGAACCATTCACTAACTGTTTTTTTTTGTCTAAGATCTTTTAACTAAGCGTATCATTGAATATTTTATAAGTATTTCTGCAGATAGGCATTTTTTGAACTATTTAAATCTTTGCTTAGATTTCCTTCTGGATATTATGATTGAAGGAAACACTCAAGGATATTTAAAATCTTATCAAAAGTTTTACCTGCTGCGTGACAATCCGATCTATTTGTTCCACTTGGCTCAAATCCAGCCGCACATTCACATTGGTAACCACCTTTTGTATTGATACATATTTGTGAACAATAATTTAATGTAACATTTTCGCATTCATTAATATCTTCACATTTCAATGATTCTTTATTAAATTTATAGCCTATATTACATGAACAAACAATTCCTCGTCCATTCGGTAAATCATGACATCGTTGATCACAATGGCTTGTTTGATTAGCACATGTTAGTGTCGTATTGTGATGACACGATAATTCGTCGGATGCATCACCACAATCATCAACTAAATAATTAAATTGCAATAAATCCATAGTTCGCTTTTTTGTTTTACTTTACTTTCATCACATAAATCTGTATATCGTATACACAGATTTGTATGAGTACAATGAAATTCTGAACATGCTAATGGTTGATTTTTTGATTGACATACGCCATGAATGTCTTCATCACTACCATCACCACAATTATCTTCATGATCACATACACGCCATCGATAGATACATCGGCCATTTGCACATCTGGAAAACAAAAAAATATTAATATAGCATCTGTGAGATTAAAATATCACACGCTATGTGCCCTCTATTGTTAAATATTTGGAGAATTGTCAACTAGAGTCTTTGTTACGAAATGCAGAATTCTTTCAAAAGAATTTATTGGATATGTGGGCTCTTCAAATTTTTATTTCTCGAGGGTACCACTCATTTTCGATCGTTTTTCACGAAAACAAGCTTAGTCAATTATCTTCTTATTTATGGAAATAAAAATTTAGTACCGAAAATGATTTGTTGAATTACAAGGTACTGTTCGACATAATTCAATTGTTTCATCACTAAAGAAAAAAACAAACGGATTATAAGATATTTCAATAGTGTTTCTTTTTTTCTTCTATTCATCACCTATTATCACGACAATCATTATCTAAAATGAAAATATTTCTCATAATTCAACAAGAAAACAATCAATGAAAGTTCTCACCTCCATCGCAAACCCAGTTGTTATTAATACAAAGTGTATTATTACAAGTGAAACGGTCTACTGGACAATGGCGACCATCTGGATAACGTGGTGGGCAGCCTGCTTCATCGGAACCATCTCTACATTGAGCGTAGCTATCACAACGACTTGTATTACTTATACAATGACCCGATGAACATTTAAACTTTCCATCCGGACATGGTCGAGCAACTAAAATCATACTTATTTTATTGTCAATAGCGTATGTAAATTAAAAAAGAGATATCTTTTACCACAATTAGCATCTTCGTCCGATGTATCAGTTCCACCACAATCATAATCGTGATCACAAACCCTAAAATTTAGAAAAAAATTGCTATAAAATTTGTGAAATTCTATTGAATATTATTTCCAAACCATCTTTTTGGTATACATCGACCATTATTACATCTAAATTCGTCTTCACTACATTCACGATAGACTTGAAAATTTGAAGAAAAAACATTAAAGCGAACCAGTAAAAATAAGGAAAACAGTTTTAAGTTACTCACCACATGTTTCTGGATTTTCGTCTGACCCATCACGGCAATTACTTTGATGATTACTTAATAAAATAAAAATTAGATATATAACAGTAGTGATAATTGTTGATTAATATAAAGAAAGAAAACAGCAAAGCAGATAGAACGATATATTCCACTGAACAGTGAAATCTGACTTAAGGCCTTTTCTATCATTCGGGCTATGTCAGTGAGCATCTCGTTTGTTAACTTTGAAACAAGTAATTTCAAGAAACTCATGAATACCATCTCTCTTAATCAATTTTCATTTATAAATGTGTGCACTCAAAATGAAAAGTCTAATATTTACCATCGAAAACTTCTTGGAATACATTGCCCACTATTACATCGGAAGTGGCTTGCATCATTACATGATGGACATTGATTAGGATTTTCATCGCTATTATCTCCACAATCATTAAAACCATTACAACGTGATGCATGTGAAATACATTTATATGAATTTGGACAGCGAACTTGATCATCACGGCAAGATCGATTACCTATAAGAAAACACATGCACAATTTTTCGGATAAAAAAATGAGTAAAAAACAAACTTACGGCAGAAATAAGCATTTTCATCACTATTATCTCCACAATCATTATCTAAGTCACATTCATATGACGCAGGTATACATCGACCATTGTTACATGTAAATTGATGATGAGCACATGTACGATTGCCACAATTTAATTCATCACTACCATCGGCACATTGTGGATGACCATCGCAACGAAATCTCTAGAAACACAAAAATAAAATAATTTTCTATTCTATTTTATTCGAGATTAGATTTTGGAAATAATAACCATTGGTAAACATAAACCAGAATTACATTGAAATGTTCCTGGCATACAACGACATTGACAGTTTTCTTCATCTAAATATTTGATTTTCTTTAAAAACAAAAAAAAAATAATGTTATCAACTTCTACCCGAATTATCACCACAATCATTCATTCCTGTGTGAGATAAGAAAAAAAAATGCCAAATAATTTCCACGATAAAAAATTTGTCCTACCATCACAAACATATGGCACCGGTGTGCAACTCTGATTTCGACATTGAAATTGTTCAGATGGACATCTTCGTTGTGGACATGTACTTGGCTCATCAGATCCATCTTCACAATCGACGACTAACAAGCAAAAGTAGTTCTTTAAAGTTCAAAGAAAAGAAAAAGAAAATCAAGCCCATACTAACCTCCATTACATTTTGCTGTCCATGGAATACATCGTTCGTTTGGTGGACCACAACGATGCTGATTACAACTACAATTTGATACACATGTACGATTGTTGCCAGCGTTAATAAATGAAAAATGTTCAGGACATGCACATGTATACGATTGATTTGTTGTTAGTAAACACAAATGCGAACAACCACCATTATTGGTTCCACACGGATTTGGAACTTGAAAGAAAAAAATCAGAAGAAGATTTTACGCATCTATTTTCTTTTCTTTTGATTATTATTGTTCTTTACCTTCTGGTTGCAATGATGGATGAACAATAGTAAGAGCCATGACTTCATTGATTGTATTTGGTAGTAGAATATGTTTATTTGAACCATTCAATGCATTGGCACGAATTAATGAATGATTTGTAAAATCAGACCACACAGTATAACCATCAATAAATGCAACAGCAAGAGAATATGGTACATAATCATGACCCAAAAATGCAATTTTACGGTCGCCACCATTATAATTACTGAACCTACCGAAGGCAAATCATAAAATAATATCATTTATATACAAATACAATAGAATAGCATGTTCTATTTGTAATTAATTATCATTAGACAGAAAAATTATTTGTATTATGATTAAAAATAGGACCGTTCAATTAAACGAAAAAAACCTCTTCCAACACAGTGATTTTCGTGTTAAAATAAACATTCAGTGCACTCTTATTTATCTTGATGAGCTCAAAAACATCGGTATTGATTATTTCCCAAAAGTGACAAGTTGATCAATTTATAACTACCTCAATTATACTACGTTTATTATCTTCCGTTAGAATGAAGATGTGTCCAACAACTTTGAACCTCTACATGTCATTCATTTTACGAAACTTCAACACTTGTCTAATTTATCTCATTGCAATCTTTGATAATAGAGATACATCATAGATTAGATTTTCGATTTTATGAAAATCTAAAAAAGATCAACCTACTCTAATCGTTGTAAACGTCTATCAATCCAAAATATTCGGTTTGTAATAAGATCGATTGTTAAACCCAATGGTCCAGCTACATCTGTACTAATAATTTTAACAAAATTACTGCCATCTAAATTAATTCTTCCGATATGTGGCTGACCCCAATCAGAATAAAACAAATAGCCAACTAATGGATCAATAGCAATATAATTTGGCTGTGATAAATATCTTGAATCGAGTAATGTTATTCCAAAACGACCATCTAATTCACTAACACGAAGTTCCGGTGTACCAGTTAATTGATATAATTTTCTACCAATCCAATCGACAGCTATTGCTCGTAGAAAACGCATTTGATTACCTTCTAAAACAACTGCTGATTGTGTTCCATTCAAATTCATTCGATAGATTTTATTAGCTACTCGATCACTGACATATATTTTTTGATCTTTCCAATCATATGTTATACTCGATAATTCCATAAAACCACGTGCAATAGTCGATTCAACTTGTTCATCGATATCAATTGTACGAACATAATATTTATTTGTATAGAGTACATATGGAACAATGGTTCCTAAATAGAATAATGGCCAATGTTTTTCTCAGTTAAAAAAAAACACTAAAATTCATACGATTTGTTCGATAGCAACTACGTCCATCAAGACCTTTTTGATAGCCAGGTGCACATTTACACATATAGGAACCTAGTAGTAAAAAAGACGAAGAAATAATGCAGATTTAAGTTGAAATCTATTATACCTGGTATATTCTCACATAGCTGTTGACAAACACTGGGTGTTTCTATGCATTCATTGATATCTAGATATGAAATTAATTTTTTTTATTGCAATAACTATTTTGAAACTGATGTATACGCAGTACAAAAAATGGCTACAATAGATTGAAAACTGACATGAAGCTTAATGCGAACTAATTTAATTGATCGATCGAGATTATAAACAGGATTTTTCTAGTAGAAAATATTACTGAATGATAAACATATCTAGCAGGTGCCTTAAAGGTAAATTTAAACGGTTTGAACGACATAATGAAGAGAAACATGTAATTTGACAAACTAAAAATGGTGAATAATGAAAACATGCGCAAATTAACTTTAATTTATTCTAAACGAGCTCATATTCATAGGATAATGCTAAATTTTCCTCAAATAGTTAATATCAACTGGCTCAATTAATTGTTACTTGTTCTATTTTTAATTTACATTCGCAATGATATAATTTAACAATCGTATGAAAATCCATGGATCATTTGAGTTTATGCTGGATCTGTACTACACAACGAGAAAATACGTAAAACGACTTGTTGCTATGGTCTTTTTTTTGGGATCGATCTATGACCAATTTTATTGAATGCTCATCAGAGGCTTTGATTTGAACCGAGAGGTCAGATAATAGAATTTCAACGTAGATTTCACACTAGTGAAAGGCAAAACTATTTAAAAGACACATTGCTCTTTTGTCTATCTATCAAATTTTTCGATGCATATCTAAAGTTACTTCAATAGTAACAAGAAGTAGTTCTCTCAAGATGAACCATGAAGAAAATTTCAATATCAAAACTAATTCTGGTCGAACCATTCAAACATCTTACCCCAACAATTTTTCTGATTCGACGCTAATTTATAACCACTTCGACATGTACATCGAAACGACGTCAATGTATTAACACAACCATGTTCACAGCCACTTAAAATTGATGAAGCACATTCGTTAACACCTATAATCATAAGAAATGCACATAATTGAATTTACCAAACAGACACCTAGATCATTATTATCTAACCACAACTAGTTGGTTCATCACTTCCATCAGTACAATTGCTTACACCATTACAAACAACTTCATATGGTATACATTGTTTATTTCGACATTGAAATTGTCCAGCTGGGCATTGTTCTGTTTCACATAATGATGGTTTTTCATCTGAATTATCGTGACAATCATTACTAGAAAGTAAATCAGAGTATTAGCAGGTATTTTCACTATCAAAACGCATGTATGAAAACTACGCACTATCCATTACATGTAGCTGCTCTGGGTACACATCGTCCATTTTCACAACGATATTCTGTACTTGAACAATTTCGATATTGGGATTCTATTAAAAAAATGCAACAATCAAAATAAAACCCTAAAAGAATAATTCTTACGACATGATATAGGTTCATCTGATCCATCTCCTGAATAATCATGAGAATTATTTTAAATAAATAAAACAAAAGAGAAAATAAAACAAACAAACCGCAATCATTGTCATGATCTAAATGAAAAATTATAAGAACAAATAATTTCGGCAGAATATCACTTACCACAAACGTAAGAACGTGGTACACAAAGGCCATTAGCACATTGAAATCTAAATAGATAAAAGATTTTCAACTGTATATGTATATATCTGTTTGATATCAATACATACTGATTTGATGAGCAATTACGCCTTGTACAATTAGCTTCATCTTCTCCACGCATACAATTTGCAATTCCATTACAAATAGCTGATCGGTCAAGACATCTTAAACGTGGATTATTTTTCAAACCTGATGCACAACGGAATTGTGTTGAGCTACAAGGGATTTCAGCTACAAAACAAAAGACTCAAAATTATCTCAGAAGGATCATACACTAGAATACAAACCGCAATTATGTCGCTCATCTTCGTCACTGCCATCGCTATAGAGACAAAACAAAATCACAAAGTTCTTTTCGAGAATAATTTCAATTATAATTGCATTTACCGGCAATCGTCAATACCATTACATCGTTGTTGTGGACTGATACATCGTCCATTATCACATTTCCAAAGACCAATCGGACATGTTCGATTTGATGCAAAACAATCAGATGGCTCATCAGTGCCATTCACACAGTCTCGTTGACCATCACATACCCAAGAATATGGGACACAGCGACCATTTCCACAACGAAATTCCGCTAAAGAAATTAGACGAATAAATTTTGCATGAACAAAATTTTTAACATATACTTGTATTGCATTGAATACTGTGACAGAAAATAGAACTTTCATCACTGTTATCACCACAATCATTATCGCCATCTACTCAAAACAAGTAATTTATGTAAAGAAAATTTTATTTTCTTTCTATTTATCATACCGCATAGGTAGGTTTTTCGAATACATATATTATTATTTGGACATTTCATACTATTTGTTCCATTACAAACGCGAGATGGACAACCCACTTCATCTGTTGCATTACCATCAAAACAATCATCATAACCTATTTTGAACATCAAACTTTTTATTTACTCAATTTTTTCTATTGATACGTACCATTGCAACGTTTAAAATTATCGATACAACGAAAATTGCGACATGTAAATTGTCCTTCTGGACATTGCGGATAGACACATGGTTGAAATGGATTATTTTCATCGCTACCATCATTACAATCTTTATTAAATAAACAATTCTTTTTTTTATAAATAACAACATTCTCATAAAAAATGATCTCCAAAGATCATTCAAATGTAACAACAAAGACTGTATATTAGTCAACTTCATATCTCATTAAATAAACTGACTTCTTTTTCTACTGAATTCTCCGAATATTAAGGAAATGAATACTGAAAAATCTATATTTCTTAGGAACCACTCTAAACTTTTGTCTGATTTTGTTTACCTTGTTTTCGATCACATCGCTCAATATATGGAATACATCCACCACTTAAACATCGATATTCAGTTGGCCGACAAGTATAGCGTGCTAAAATGATCCAAGATAAATGTGTTGTCCAAGAAAACACAAAATTTTCTCACAACAAAATCTTGTATCTTCATCTGAACCGTCAGAACAGTCGGATTGACTATCACACACTTTTCTTCGCGAAATACATTGACCATTTCGGCAAGTAAAATTAACTGACGCACATGAGGATGATAATGCTAAAATGAATGCAGACGGTTTCATGTTCGTTTTTGTCTTTGCTTCATTTCTAAATTTTACTTACGAACACACATTCGTCGATCATTAACTAATTTTAATTGTTCCCCGCTTGGACAGGCGCATTCCACTTGATTTTCGCCTGATGTTTTACATATATGACTACAACCACCATTGCTTACATTACATGGTGAAGAAGAACATTTTTGACGTTGATCCGATACAACATGAATGTCCATTGGACGATAAGGAAGTTCATTTTGCATTTCAACCATATTAGCACCAGTATACTTTTCAGCACGATAGATACCACCTGGGGAAAAAATGACGAAGAAAATATTGTTAGAAAACGATTTTTTTTCCTCGACTACTTACGAAGAGACCAATCAGTCCAATAAATATAATGTCCATGAACTGTTATCGCAAATGGATGAATAACTGTCGAAATAGTTTCTCTATTTGTACCATCCAATGATGCACGTTCAATACGATCGCTAAATATAAGATTTAGAATTTTTTTAAAACTCTCTTCCAGTAGCATTCAGTGGCAGATTAAAGAATTTTGTCGTGTGTCTACCAAGTAATTATCTCATGGTGAACTCTGTGCATTTTTCATAGTACATGTACTATGTGAAACAGTAATATGAAAGTATATTTTCAGTCAAATTTATGAATAATTTCCTTTTAAATTCAGTAAGAATATTTAATATACTACATTATTGACAATTTAAAGTCGAAACAGTAAAGACTATGCGTAGAACTTGCGCATGAAATATTTGCAATGCAAAAGTTAAAGACAATATTTACTGTTTGAGAATCCTGCTTAAAATAGTCAAGAGTTACTGCTCTGAAAATATTTTCAATCCCAAAAAAACTAACTAGACAAGTTACTTACAACCATGCATCTGCCCAATAGATACGATCATCATCAAAATCAATTGTTAATCCATTTGGCCATCTTATATTTGTTGTAATAACATATGTCACTTGTCTACCTGTTAATGTCGAACGACGAATTGATGGAAATACGCCAACATCTGACCAAAATAGTAATCTATATATAACAAAGTATAATATTACTCTATTTATTCAAAAGTTCAAAAACGTACCCTTTGCATGGATGAACCACAATTGCTCTTGGCTGTGAGCTAGAAGCTATAATTAGTTTTTCTGAACCATTAATCCTTGAAGATATAATTCTTCCGTATCTTTCATCAGTCCAATATAAGCGATCCGACACCCAATCATATGATATACCCACAGGTTGTGAACGGCCTTGATAATTGTTTTCAGTAAAGAAATAGAAAGTTTTAGATTCAATATTTTTATTTTACCAGTAACATTTGATTGTACTAATACTCGCGATTGTGGATTTGTATCATCCATATCAAATGAAAATACATCTTGTGCACGAAGATCACTGAAAAGGCAAGCAAATAAAATGAATGAAACAATTAAAATCAAACGATAGATATTTATTTACGTGTAAAATATTTTTTTATCCCTATAATCAAAATCAATGCCAACAACCATACTTAAATTTGTAATTGCACGCCATGGTGCACTCGTTAATGAACCATGCGGTTCCATGGACATTGAACGAATTTCTTTTTCCATTGCAACAAGTAAATATTCTTTCGGTGCTACGAAAAAAACAACCAGTGCATCATTAGAATTCATTATTCATGGCAGCGTCAAAAACAAAATTCTTACGTGTGCAAGTACGCCGGTCAATACTTAATGTTCCATATGCACAAGCACATTGCGGTACACTTGTATCAGGCATAGCAAAACAAAGATCTTCACAAAAACGTTGTCGTACTGTTGATGTTTGACATGGTGATTCATAATTAGGTTGCTCATCGAATAGTGCCATACCACCAACTTCATATGTTTTTAACGTTAATATTGATTCTAAACGTTGTGTCATATTACTAACTGTTTTATTTATACGCATTATCTTTAAAATAAATTATAAACGATTATCAATTGTAAAATTTTTATTCATAAACGTTTTACCGATGAAAATGCTCGATCCATAATATATAAATCATTGTTTGCAATAAGTATACTAATTGCTTTTGGAATATTACGTGTAACTGTTCGACGATTTCTTCCATCCCATGAAATAACTTCAACAGTGTCACGTATTGAATCTGACCAATAAACATCATCAGTAAGATAATCGATTGTTATTGATTCTGGTCGAATTATTTGTGATGTTACTAGATACGTAACATTTTCACCGTTCAAGAACGAACGACTAATGCGAACACGTGCACCACGATCACACCAATAGAGAAATCTGTAAAGTAAGAAAATTGTTTATTTCGGTTTTCTTTTTTTTTCCTAAATTTAACCTTCGTTTTGGATTAACAGCAATAGCGTAAATTGTTTCATTTTTTCCTTTTCGTAAAATTAATCGATGATCTGTACCAAGACGATTCACTTCTAGGTGACCGTATGAATTTGATACATAAGAAACATATAAATTTCCTGATATCCAGTCCAACGCGAGACCAAGAATAGCGTTTGCTTGAGATCCAACACTTATTCGTAAATAATTTGTGATATTCCATGTTCGATTACTTGTCCAAACTGCTCGACGAATCAAACGATTTGCATTTATCCAATATAATTCGCGATTCGAATATCGAACCGAAAGCATTTCCATGTTATTACCTAAAAGAACACGTAGAGTTCGATGGAGAAACTACTCATTTAGGTATCATATTAATAAATTCATTTTTCTGAAGAGAAATACTAAAAATACGTAGTTTTAACATCCTATATATATATCTCAATCCTGACTCAATAATCCATATCTACATAAAAAAAATGAATGCTGTAGTCAATAGATTTCAATAAAAATACTAATCATGTCTACGCTAAATTGATAGACGATACTAGATCTTAAACTGTACGATCCTCGTAAAAAGAAACATGATATTCATACTAATTAATCAACAGAACCTCATTACTTTTTTTTCGTTCATGAAGAAAAGATTATTTTACAGAGTGACAACGAATCTTACCAGGAATCAATGGCATAACATCTTCTCTTGCTGAATCGTTGGATCGATAGTCAAATGCTCTTAATAATGAATGCGTACTATAAACAATATATTGTTCTGTTTTAGGTGAACATGTTCTTCCATCACTATTTAATTTATATCCGATAGCACAATCACATGTTGGTATTTCGCCATGATTAGTATCAATATAGAAACAAATTTGTTCACAATATGAACCATAGAAACAATATGAATTGAAAGCTAAATAAAAAATTGTTTCAAAAACAAAAATTTTATCTTAATTAACAAGAAAATAATAGCGACCTTCATAACGTGGATAAGCGCGAACTTGTTTTGGATCTTCTTGATTTGTTCGTACCGGAATAGTATCTGTTACTGGATTTAAACGGTGATCAAACCATTTCTTATAAACTCCTTCATATTCATTATCAACAAAAAATAATGAATAATGCGTTGACGTTATATCATCATTTTCATTAGCTATTACAGATGATGATGTTGGAGGCGATAGATGAGTAAGAAAATCAAAGCCACGTGGATGATTTACTTCTACATCGAGCACTTTTGTATCACCTGAATCCATACAATGATAGGAAATCTATAGAAATTAAAATTGAATGAAATGAAAAATTTTCTTGGTGTTATATTGTTTTTACCTTTTGTAAACCGAAATCACTCCAAAATACACAATGAAGATCAAGATTATAAACAATATAATTTGGTTGTAGAAGATTATCGACAACTACATTTTCAGGAGATTTTCCATCAAAACGAACACGGGCTATTTTTAGTGGAATTTGTCCACCACCAAGATCAATCCAATAAACAAAACTAACAAAAAGCAACTATTTAGAAAAAAAGAAATTTTCAGTTAAACAGTACCCATTTATTGTATCAAGATCAAGTGCAATCGGTCGTATTATACCAGTAGCATTTTCATGCTCACTAAATACTACTGTATGATATTGACCGTTCAATGATATTGCATCAATTCGACTATGACGAATATTAGCAATAAATAAATTACTAACAAAATGAATAATTAAAGAAAATAATGAATTCAGGAAAAGCAAAACAAGATGTATGCGTTACCGTCCGACAGCATCAACTTGCATTGTGCCAACTTCCATACCAACTAATATTTCATCATCACCGTAAAAAACAGTTTCATTGGTACCATCGAAATTAATTCGACGGATCTCATACTAGAAAAAAAAACAATGTCAAATCAGGGGCATTCAATTCGTAGAACAGTTCTTGACTGGCTTGCTTGTTAGGGAGATGAGAACTCAGAAAATGCGCCTCATACTATATTAATCTCGAAGTATTTCTAAGATGAATTGAAAGTGATTGAATGAGATGAAATAACAGATACTCATTCTCAAGTCCATTTGCATTCTATCGCTTTCAGCTATTTGAATACGAGGAGCTAGAAAATATCGAAATAAACATTACAATGGCTATAGTTTTCTACGGTCGACATAAAGTGAATTCCATTAAATCTATATTTTGTGATTGATCTTTTGAGCGTATTATTGAATTTCCTAATTTTGACTACTTTAAGAAAAATGTCATTGATAAAATATTTCTGCTGCACAAAATTTCAACAAGACCATATCAAAATTCGTATCCTTCATATTTTTCAAAAAATCTGCTATTTTTTCCTGTTACAATTTTGATGCTCTGTATGTCAAAATAAAATAAAATAGTTGCTTACTGTAGGAGTTGCATCGGGTAAGAAACTTTTAATTTGTGCCCAATAGATTGTTTCATTAGCTTCATCAAATGCAAACTCATAACCATTATGGACGTCAGTTACCGGAACGAAACGTTCCCATAAATCATCATAATTGGAATTTTCATCAATATACTTTTGATCATGTCTTACACTAATGCCACCAATAATATCACGTTTCATATAAATAATAAATGGTGAATAATCTTTAAAAATGGATTTTTAGAGAATAAGAATTTTTTTCTAATAAGAAAGAGAAAACCTTTCGAGCATGTGATTTGATCTCTTTCAAGAAAGAAGCCAGTTGAACATGCACATGTATAACCAGCTGGTGCAACATTAGACAGAAGGCATAATTGTGAACAACGAGCTTGTTGACAGGGATTCGACTCTAAATTGAAAGTAATCAATGGATTGAAAAAGTATTTCTATTTAAAAATTATTTACCAAATGGTTGATAAATTTGATGTGAAATTTTCATCGAATTTATTCTGGATCTTGATAATACTCGTTCATGTTTTTGTGCTTTAATACCATGTTCAAAACGATTCAAACGTCTTACTTCATTTGAATTTGAATCGTACCAATAGAGATACTGTTCAAAAAGAGCAATTGATGTTGGACCATGTAGAAAATGTGAATTTGCTAGAATTTTTCGTCGATGTTCACCATTATATGATACAACTTCAATAAAATTTAAATGGTGATCAGTAAAATAAACTTCTTCGCGCATTAGATCAAGTGTTAAGCCGATGGGCATTTCAATTGAATTATTAACAATACTAATACGTTGTTGACCATCCATACTAGCTCGTTCAATACGTGGATTTGTACCCCAATCGGTTAAAAATAAATATCGAGCGCCAGCACGTGGATCAATTGCTAGTGACCATGGATTTGTTAAATTTTCATGAAATAATATTCGACGATAACGACCATCGACTGTTGCAACTTCAACATGTTCAAGCATATAATCAGTCCAATATAAATTACGTCCAATCCAATCAAATGCTATATCACCTATGTAACTATTACCACTTGTAATAAGCTAAATAATTTAAATATTATATTAAAAACCATTTTTTGTAACTTAATTAAATTAATATATATTTACTTTGGTATAATTATTAGCTCTTCCCGTACGACTGTAGATTGTTTTTGCTCCTAGATCTGACCAGAAATATGTATTCGTTCGATTGTCAACATCAAATGCAGTAATATAACGCATATCAGAACCAAGATTAATTTGACCATAGGTTTGCATTGTTGGTGAAAACCATTCCATTGTTGATTGGCGTAAAGTTAATAAACGAATACCAGTTTCATCTAAACACATAAGATATCGTTACCATGTATACGAGAAATTTTGAAATATTCTCCTAAAATTTTTATTTATAAACTTTTAGAAGAATAGTGATTACGATTTGGGATTCTATAAATAGCGCAGCTTTTTCTTTCAAATACTAGAAAAGGTAATAAAAGTATTAGTACTGGAAATACTAAAACAAAATGATGGAAAAGATTTGCAAACCGACGACTCGGTAAACTGTTACGTCCCCATTCAGAACAGAAGCAGAAGAAATATACGGGTTCTATCGTACACAGAAATTATTTATAAATTTCTAATTAAAGCAACTCGATCAAAAATTTGATAACAATACATACTATTCACTATCTATCTTTCCTAGTGAATCTATCGATTGCACAGGATACTCCACTAATTACTGACTGGCCCAATAAGCAGATAACTTCAATTCAGTGTATTCTCGAAAGTTACTTAGAACAGAGTCGGGATCGTTAAAGATTATGAAATATTCGTTTGTTGAAAACTTACTGATAATTTTACAACTGCGCCCATCTGCTTGTAATACAAATCCTTCATTACATGCACAAATAAAACTTCCATTTGTATTTAAACAATGTTGATGACATGTATTAGGATTTTCTTCACATTCATTGATATCTGGTCACAAATCGTTATTGAAATATTAATTTTATAAAAAGAAAAAAAGAACATTTTTTACCTTCGCATTTCTTATAGCCTGTAGTATTTCGTACATGAAAACCAGGTTGACAAAGACATAGAACACCGAATGGTGATCGATGACATGCATGACTACAGCCACCATTATCAATTGAACATTGATGATTATTACACAATGGAGATTCATCGCCACCACCTGGACAATCAGGTTTACTTTTTAGAAAAGAAAATTTTCATAAACTGATTTCATTAATAAACAGATATTTACTTATCGCAAACTTGTGTGATATTCACACATTGATGTATTGTTGTACTAGGACATACCATTTGATTTTCGGGACACGAAAAAGATGCCGTTTCTATGCAAACATGAAAAGTGGGCGTGAGTGTTCAATAACAAGAAATCTAGATAATTATTCTTACGACATTGTTCTGCATTTTCATCTGAACTATCTTCACAATCATCCTTAACAAATCAAAATTTAAGAAGAAAAACAAGAAAATCAATAAAATTTTACTTCGTTATCACACATCCATCCTTTCGGAATACAATCACCTGATGTTAAACAACGAAATTCATTTAATGTGCAATTTCGTGCGCCTATAATTATATTAATGAATCAAATATTGACCAGGAAAATATACTAACCACAACTTGATGGTTCATCAGATCCATCCGCACAATCTAAATAAATTTTATTCAAGTAATTTTTTTCAAACTATTTGTTTTTACCTCGGTGACCGTCGCAACGCCAATTCTAAATAAAAATAAAATAAAGAATTATTAAGACGAAATGAAAAGTTTCTTCTTTCATTTCAACTTACATTTGGTATGCAAGTTGATCCGCAACGAAATTGATCTGCTCGACAATACGATGGCGTTGATCCAGCACAATTTCTTTCATCTTCCATCGATTGACAATCTAAATGTATCAATTTAGCAATAGTTTTTTAAAAGAAAATTAACATACCAGCAATGCCATCACATCGTCGAGTTGCATTAATACAATAATGATCACTTGAACATAAAAATTGTCCAGCACCACAAGCTATCGGTGGACAGTTAAGCTCTAAAAAGAAATGTTCACTTTTCAGCCCGCTCGAATTTATTCACTATATTAACTAACCATCAGCATTATCACCACAATCTATTAATTGAAATAAATTAAATAATATTTATATACAATTATACATAAATATTTTTCAAAAAAAAAGTTGATCTTACCATTTTGACCATCACATTTCCATGCTGAAAACAAAAAGAATTAGTTTAAAAACAATACATTTTTTTATGTTTTAACATACAATTTGGAATGCATTTTCCAGCTGTATGAGTACAAGCAAATTGTGTTAATAAATCGCATGTTCTCTCTAAACAAAATAAACGTTTTCATTTCAAATAATTCGACTTTGTATTTACCTTGACAGTTTAGTTCGTCGCTCGAATCACCACAATCATTATCTGAAAGAGAAAACAAAGATGAATAATAGAATAGTGAGCATTCTTTTTCTAGTACCATTATCACATATCCACGATTTGGGAATACATTTTCCTGTGGCACAACGAAATTGATTTTGTGAACAAGTTTGAGCTGATATTGAAAAATAAAACATATCATCTAGGCAATTTAAAAGCAAAACTATCTTTCATCATACTGCAATTAGATTCATCTGAACGATCGTGGCAATGTGGGTAACCATCACACATCAGTTGTTTATTAATACAAATGCCACTAGTTCGACATTGAAATTGATTTGTTCCACAGGTTGGTGTACCAGCTATATGAAATGTGCAGTATAGAGCCAAATTAGAGATATGTACGATACAATCTACTCATTGTTGGAATCTAGTAACTTCGTGTCAATTCGTCTTGATTATTGTCTCGTTCAATATGATTTAGCACTCATTCCTACTTTCGAGAATTAATTCATATCCCGTCTAGAAACATCTTTCTTAATTTCCTTTCTTATTAACCTAGATGATCTTGATTGCCGTCATTTATGCTATAATACATTGAAAATCATAGAATATCTAACTGTAATCGTCAGTTCTGTAACCTTAATTGTACTCTTGGAAATTGTTTTCTATTAGTATCAGTCGCAAAGACTAAAATTCGGCTCACATATCTTTAATTAAAGTACAAAAAAGAACAGTATCTATATATTTTTATTTACCTGGACAATTTTGTTCATCACTATTATCATGACAATCATCATCTATTAATATGAACAAAAAGATTCATTATTTTTATTTTCAATATTAATTTAAATAATTTACCTCCATCACATTTATAACTTTGTGAAATGCATCGACCATTTCGACATTGAAATCGACCATTGCATGATGTTTGATCTGGTTCAGCTTGAGAATTATCAATACATTCTTGATTATTCGCTGGATTAATCTGTCGGCCATATCGGCAACCACATATTCGTGTTAAAGTATCTTGTTGTCGTCTTGGAAAACAAAAATCTGAACATTCACCGTTATTTCTTCGACATGGATGTGTAACTATAACAAAGAAACGATGGCAAAACTCAATACTGTCTTTCAGATTGATGTTTCCATACTATTTATTGGTTGAGATGATTCAGCATAAACTCGAACTGTTGTAATCGATGGAACATTTGATCGAACAGGCGATGCATAACCACTACATTTAAATTAGCCACATGAAAATGAAGACTACAGAAAATATTCATCTACTATACCTGTATGTTTTACTACTTTCAAATACACCTTCTAATGTAGCATCCGTGAAATAGAGACGAGCTAGAAAGTAGATTATGAAGGTTTTACTTTGTTATAAGTTATAAATTTTCTTATCGTTTTCTTACACCCATAAATTGCAATTCCAAATGGATGTGATATCAATCGTCCTCGTAATGATTGAATATTTCGACCATTATAATCCGAATGTTGAATACGCGATAGTGCGCCGTCAGTCCAATACAGACGTTTTGCTGAATAATCACATGTTAAATGATACGGTGCGCCCAATTCATTTGGAATTATCACATTACGATTCGTTCCATCAGATAGCATACGATAGATTTTTGCGGGACGTGCAATCGTTGAATAAAACACATATCTATATATTGAGATACATATTTTACTCGTATGTGACAATTTTTCAAAATACTCTTTTCGAATCTTTAACAGTTAATCTTACAGTAAATTATGATGCTTATCGAAATTTTATTCAACATAATGAAATTCAGAGTAAAATATTTTGTAGGCAATCTAAATTTGGTATTTTTATGTTGTATTCGACTTGCATTTTTTCGTTTTCAAACGAATAAAATGACTACATTGGAACTATTAATTTGACTTTTTTCAACTTTCTATTTTATGAATATTCCTTTCTTTGGTTAGATGTATTGATAACATACCCTTGTAAAGGATCTAATGCAATACCATGTATGCCAATAGTTCCATTGGCAAGAACACGTTGTGGAAAATCTCTACCATTCATTCGAACAACAGTAATTTGACTATTGGCCATTGATGTCATATAAAGTAATTTTGAATACCAATCATATGCTAAAGCATTAACCATAGGAAATATTTTTGATGTCGTCACTGGTACTGGTTCTGTCATAGTAATAATAGAAGCAAATATGTATATTTTTAATTATTGAAAAATAACTATCAGCTTACTTTCACCATCCATTTTCGATGAATAAATCATTTGTTGTCGTTGAGCATAAAAATAAACAGTTTTTTCTTCATAATCAAATACGGAATCTGATATAGCAGTTCGTCGGTCAGGTATGATTGGTGGTCGAGCTTCAATATTTGAATCACGATTAAGATCAACTCCACGTATCGAATTTAATCGAGATAAGAGCAGAAATTCTTTCATCGCTAGATAATAGATGGACAGAAAAAGTATTTAAACAAATGATATTACAATAGAAATCTTTTCTGTCTTTTATTTCTTACGTTCACATGATTTTAAATCGGATTTTAATCGATATCCTGATTGACATCGACATTGATAACTATTTACTAATAAATAACCTCGGCCGAGTAAACATAAATGTTCACAACCGCCATTGTATGTTCCATTACATGGATCATTTCGATGTGGTTGTCGTGTTTCATGATAAACAGCTATTCCTCGTGGTCGAATAAATGATTCCGGTTTATGAAAATATGTTGTGTTTGAATTGAAATGACGTCGAAGTTGTAAAACAGCACCTTTAACATCATCGGTTAAATAGAGATTGTTTTCAAATAAATCAATGCCAACTGTATATGGAATATTTTGACTGCCGGATGTTATTGTTATTCTAGATAATAATAATAATAATAATAATAATCAATACTCTTAGAATAGTTTCGAATTAAAACAAAAAGCACAACACTTCTGAGAGCGCAAGTTCTACGGAACTAGATTGCGAAACACTAGACAGTTGTTCTTGCTAATCATAGCGATATTGCTTTTTAGTGGCCCAATGCATATCTTCGCTATTTTTTTACTCGATCCTCAAAGGGTGCAATAAGGCAGAAAATATTAGATCTAGAAATAGGAATTTGCAAATGTTTGTTTGCAACGTAGCTACTGACAAAATGAAACAATGAAGAAATCTTAAGATTAAGTCATTTCATGAGGTAACATACGACTAGGTGCGTATTCATCAGTACAACTAATTGCTGTTGCGCTCTTAAAAAATGTGATCAACTTTTTAGAATTTTGTACATAAAGATGCGAAATATTTCGATTTTATTTTACCTTCGTGATCCATGATAATCACAACTTTCAACATGATCATAAGATCGATCTACCCAATAAATTCTTTTCTTAATGAAATCTACTGTTAAATCACTTGGTTGACTTAGTTTTTGATCAATTAATGTTGTACATTGTGAACCATCAAGAAGACATCGATTAATTTTAGCTGATACTCTAAATGAATCGCCTTCATCAGCAAAAAACAAATACTCAGCTATTGGATCAATGGCTATTGAGCTTGGTTCATAAATATTATTGATAACTATATTGGTTTTCATCATTTTACCATCCAATGAAAACATATCAATGCGTGCTAATTCCGTCTCAACGATATACATTTTATTTGTTATCCAATCAATAGCAATCGACATTGGCATACGAATATTTTTCTCAAGAACAAGTTGGGCAGGTGACATAAGAGATGATAATGATAATGAATAAATCTAAAAAAATTTCTCGGTACATTAACAAATAATTTCAAAAAGTCCTTTGTTTTTTTTAAAGATTACTTTATGAGCGTACGGATCTGCAAAATAAAGTAATTGATTTCGATAATGATAATCAACAGCGTGAATAGTCATATTTTCTGGACCAGTATAAATTATTCGAGCATTACGAAGCCGATCGATTTCATAGATTTTATTTGCTATAGCCACAAACATTTTCATATTATCACCTAAATATAATAAAGAAATGATTTCATTACAAATTTGATTCTAAAAATGATATTTACTATTAATATGTTTGCATCGATTTCCAACTTCAAGTGTATAATTAGCTCGGCAAGTACATACATATCTACATATGGATATTTAAAAAAAATATTAATGTTATAAGCAAAATATATATTTATCATACGATCCAATTGTATTTTGACAATCTTGATCACATTCATCCCAAATTTCACATTCGTTAACATCTGAAATTCAATAGAAAATTTTTTCCTTTCCAAAAACACAAGATCTTGATTTTTCTCCTACCAATACAAGAACGATTGTTAACTGGATTAATTTGAAATCCAAGTGGACAATAACATTTACCACGACCATCCGGCGTTGGTTGACACGCATGTTCACATGATAACAAACCACAAAGTTGAGTACCTGTTTTTATTAAAACAAATTAATTAAAATCCGCGCGTCACACACAAACAAGAATGAATATTGAGGATCTTGTTCCTTCTGTAACAACGAGTCAAACGGAACTCTTTGTTGGTTGGCCGTATATTAATTTATTTAGTTTAATATTTATTCTCCTATGGTCACTATTAGCTATATTAGCTATGTATTATCTATGGTATACATTTAATCTTTTTCAAATTGAAGTACAAGATATTACATTTGAAATAGTCGATTTCCATACAAATGAAATTGATACGAAACCAAGAGAAATATTTCGTCTTATCAATCTACATGATGATACATCATCAAAAGCTGTTTTAACTCTATAATCAATGAAATTGGAAGCTATTCTTTCTTTCTTTCTTTGTTTCTTTTTCGCAAATATCTCCTATCAAGTGTCACATAATAACTTATGATCAATTGTCAATGACATTTTTCTTGCTACTTCTTCGTTGTGTAAAAAGTTGAAATGTTTACCATGCGGCTATTTATCGAATCAAGGTCTTCAATCTTCTACAGTCTGAATTGATTACTAAAGATTAGTATTAAAATAAAAGATATTTTCCTATTTGATATTTGTAACATACGAGTCTCTTGAAGAAACACATGATTAGAAGAAATGTTATATTAAAATTGAAAGTATATAAATATGCTCTCGACTATCCAGTGCTATTCCACGAAATATTAGCTTTGAACGCATGACATAGATTCTCAATTTGCTCTGTTCATCAAACAATAGAATATCGATATCTACTAGATTCATATGATTGCAAACTGATTATACGATCAATCCAGAAACATCAAAAAGTCGTATTCTGTGAAATGTTTCAAATTCACAACAAAATCGTAACCAATAGATATTTAAGCAACCTTTTACGTTAAGAACGAGCACAAAGTATCATAGTCTACAACGAAAGATCTTGTTTAACATATAGATATCAATCGGAAATGAATTTATCAACGATTAATTTCAGATAATAGATCTTACTTACCACATTGTGAACTTTCATCTGTACCATCACTGCAGTCTTGTTGACCATTACATATTTTTGTTATATCAATACATTGACCAGTTACATTACATGGATACATATGTGGTGGACATTGTCTTGCACTGCAATGCATTTCATCACTACGATCAAGACAATCATCATCACGATCTGATTTATGATACAGAAAATCGATGTTAGTGTTTCTTCTTTTTTTAATTAAAAACAAGAAAGAACTTACCGCAAACCCATGATGATGGAATACATCTTCCATTGGAACATCGAAATTGTGACGTTGTACAATTAGGTCGTGCTATAATTAAAAAACAAAAACAAGAATATATTTGATACAAACAGTGACTTCTTTTACGTACTGCAATTTGTTTCATCGGATCCATCAGGACATTGCGAACGAAAATCACAACGTTGATAATTTGGTATACATCTACCATCAGAGACACATCGAAATTGATATGTCGAACATGCAGTACTATCTAGAAAGAAGCAAAAGAAATAGAACAGATTAGCTTGATGAATGGTTTCTTTCTTTTGAATATAATACTCACTGCAATTGAGTTCATCAGTTCGATCATCACAATTATAATAACCATCACATTTTTGAGCTAATGGTAAACATCGTTGTATATCACATTGATATTCCGTAGAAGAATCACATTGACGAAAATCTACAAATTGAAAATAGTTTGTCAACTAGCAACAGCATAAGACTTACTGCAAAATGCTCCTTCATCAGTACCATCAGTACAATCTTTCACGTGATTCTAGAAAAGTATGAAATCAATCATATTTACTTGAAAACCAAAAAGCGAAAATCGACATACGCATTTCATAGATGCCTCGATACATCGTGAATCATTGCATTGAAATTGCGTATTTGAACATCTTCTTGGAGCTAGACAGAAGAAGAAAATAATCATTTTACTAGAATAATCTTTTTTTTTTAAAAAAAAGCAACTGGTAATAACATACGACAATTTTGTTCATCCGTATTATTTCCACAATCATTATCGCCATCACACATCCACGAACGAGGTATACATCTATCACCACAATCAAATTGCGAATCCGAACATCGTGGATAGGCTATTTTTTAATAAATTGAAATCGTCAATTTTTCATATTATTCTATACATACTGCAGTTTCGTTCATCAGAAGAATCAGTACAATCAGCAATTCTATTACAACGCCATGACGTTGGAATACAACGGCCTCCTGTTTCACATCTCCATTCACTAATTCCACAAGCATCTAATAGAAATTTTTCAAAAAAAACAAAACTAATCATATTCGTCTTAGTTTTTCACCGCTTGATTTTACCTGTTGTTGAATATAGCAATAGAAAATTTGAGCAAAAGAGAAAAATTAATATTTTCAAATACATAAATGAATTATCTAAAACAATCATTTAAAGAAACATCTCTGTCTCTCTCTCTCTCTTTGTTTATTTTGTTAAATTATTCATTCGATCCTAGAATACAATCTAACTCTGTTTAAATGTAAATGTATATGTATATATATATAATAGTGCTACTGCTATCTTACCGTCGCAAAAAAAGAAACAAAAGAAAAGAAGATGACCGACTCATATATGTGCACACATTCGCATCTGATTTCAATTTCACTCAATGATAATATACTAGTGGTAGTACATTTCTATTTGGTAATCTTCATCATTTTTTTTGATTCGCTTGAAAGAGAAGTGCGAAAAAAAGCAAAGGGAATTCGAGTAAATTGAGACGGTAGAACATTGTCAAATCAATGATTATATTGAAACACTAGATAGAAAGATGAATGAGGCTATTCTCTTTTTGATTTTTGTTTCTCTCATAAAACGAAAAAAAAAACAATCATCTTCTCTTTTTTCCTGTCGTACATAAAACGATATATAAGATTGATGTTATAAATAGGCAGCAAATCTCACTTGTCTTCTTCATCTCGAATGATAAAACCAAAGTGTCTTTATTCTCTCTCTCTCTTTCGCGCACCGTTTACATATGAAATTGAAAACAATCTTCTTATCTTATTTGACTCGATGTGATTTGTTTGTACATTATTTCACTACATTTTTCTTTCTTTTTTCAAGTGCCTGTATTTTTAACCGCGTAAATTTGTAACACAAGAGAAAGAAAGAAAATTCTTTCATTTTTTTTTACATTAATTTTTGATTAAAAATAAAATCGACGATGATGATTAAATAGTTATTCTATGAATGATAATAATATTAGACAATGGTACGTAGTCTCTTGTATGAGTTAGTTACCAAAAGTCAAATAGTTAATACTTAATGGCAAAAAAAATCTATGCCGTTTGCATATTTTTATCGTTTTGACCTTTTATCTCTTTGAGTATAACGGTAAAAAAAACATATTTAAGATTCAATAACGAATCGGATGAAAAAGACAAAATCAGCATGATTGATAAATTGAGACCAAAAAAAGCTTCTCCGCTCATTCTATGTAAGTAGAAAGACACTAGTTCGAATGATTGAAATAGCCAACAAAATTCTCATATCAAACCGATATTTCATTTTTTTTAAACTTATAACCGTATGAGTTTATAAGGAATTGCTTCGCAGCTACCGAGAACGAGCAGTTTACGATATTGATATTGAACATTGCTACAGAGGTTAGTCAGTATAGAACTAATATTTTGTTAAGTTTAAAAGGTGAAAGGTTACTAACTGCTTCTCGATGATTAAAATATCTATCAGTGACTTGATTTAATTGAAACCATAAATGCAGATTCAAGTCGTTCATGTTTTAATTTAACAATGAATTCGTATTCGACTAGTGAACAAACACGTCGTTTATTATCGCCATACAATCAAGATTGTTATAAATTATATAATTTAAATTTAAGAAGGCATTTCAAAAAAATGAAAATCGTATTAAATCAAATCATGAATGATTTAAATTCAAATTTGTACTCATCAAAAAGTTTATTTAAATTAAATATTGGTCGAAAAAAACTTTTTAAAATAAATAAAATTTTAACACAATTACATAATAAACGATTCATGTTTGATAACAAAAATAATTCCTTTTTCTTATATCTTCGTAATTCTATTTACACTCTAATGAAATATCTAACACAATTCGAAATATGTAAGCTAAAATAAAAGAATTATTTAAAAGAAATTCTATATTAACAAACAAGGTGTTCATGAGATTGACCTGGTAAAGAAGCACTTCAATCAAATAATCACTTCCAATGGTATGATTCAACAATATGAACAAGATTTCATAAGAAAACAATTAATTTATATTGTGAATAAAGTTCAAAATGATATACAAAATCAATCCTACGATGAACAAGCTAATTTTCTTATGAGTACATTTGATATTCTTTGTAATGTTCGATCCAAACGAGATTGATATCATCGATCATTGCGTATGTTGAATTCTGATTGTTCTATCAAATTTGATCGTTATTGATAATTGTTTTACTTCTTTCTACGTATTTCGTTTAGTTGAAATTAAGACGAATATAATCCAATGATGTTGAAGTCAAGGCTTGATGAATGCCAACATTGTTGCAAAAGATAACGTCGAGTAGAATATAAAAAAAGACGCAGTAGAGATAATAAACAGTCAGATATTATTAGATTTATTTGTTCTTCTTAGAAATAAAATAATCAATTTCACCAAAGTATATTTCACGTTAAAAATGCTATTTATCATATTCGTGCGTAGAAATATTTTGAATGAGAATTCGTGATAAAGACGAGGTGTCTTTGTTTAGAATTCTATCATGATACAGAATAAAAATTGATCAGCAAAATTCGATAAAGCATTATCTCGTTATTAATGACATAACAGTACACTTGACTTGAAAGTTGGCCAATGTCATTTCCAGCGAAATTTCTTTATGGCCATATTTATCAGTTTTTTCTTTTATAAAACTATCGTTTGTACTTGTTCATCGTTCAAGGGATAATTATTATAAAGAATCATTTACGTGTACAAGCAAAAACCTTGAATGTAAAATGAAACGAATATTTGTTCTAGTATTGTTAAACAAGAAAGCAATCAGAAAATGTTCGTAACTAAGTTCAACTATAAATTATTAGTCGGATAGAAATGAGATGTTTGAATTAATAAGTTTATTTTCTGCTACCATAATATCAGCATTTTAATCTCTGATGATGATTTTAATTAATTACAGAATAGTATGATTTTGATGTATCAATTGGAAACATATAATGAGAACTATTGAAAGTAATATATATGATGACTGAATTTATATTTTAAACTGGTAGAGGAAAAAATCTTCGATAGAAAATAAACTCGAGATTCGGCTTTCCTATAGGATTGGACAGAGTATCAGCATGATAACGTTATAAAAATTGTTGGAACTAAAAATTTGCACATTTCAATACAACTCATAATGTGATGAATCTCCAAGATTTGTTACTTGAAATATTTATTGGGTATATGTAGTTGACGTCTCTGATCGTTTTCAAAATCAAACAAATTACTACATATTAAATATCTGAAGAAGTGCCAAACCAATTTGAATATTATGCATATCATGAGAGAGTCTAGTCTAGATATCTAATAATAAGCGAATATAAAACAGTGTATTAGTCATTGTGTGTACTATGTGTAATATTAGAGTATCGCAATCTCGCGTAAATTAATAATAATTAAAAAAATAAGAGCATCTATGTAGTATGTCGAATGGTTTTAAATTACAAAGCGTTGAACAATATTCTTCGTAAATCATAAAAGAAGAAAACGTAATGAATTGTAAAATTAAGTTCTTTGAAGAATCAGATAAGACTAAACATTTCGATAATTCCAAGCATTTCTTTGGAAAGTAGCAGCTGTAAATTCTATAGCATATCTATAATCATTGCGTACCATTTGTCGTACTGAATATCACGCTAACAGCTTATTGACCTTCACGCAACCTAACATTCAGGTCGATAAAGCACATAAACATGTAGTTAACGTTAAAAGAATAAAGCATGCGTATATAATTAACGGAAATGCAGCCTTATCTTCAAGTTAGCACGCATTACTGTCTGTAAACGTATCTATACTCATTCATGAAAAAAACTCACGAATATTTTTTTTTTCGAATAGAAACACGCCCGTCTGTATAAATAATATTGTTTTTCCCATATGAACTCAAATTGGATATGCTGTTTTTTTTTATCTTCATATATATCAAGTTGGTTGATTAGGTATTATTTTGAATATTGTTATCAGATGGCCATATAATCTAGTTCATGTTAACGTATAGTCGGCGTACATCCTACATAATAAAATTCTATGAAATACATGCAATTGAAGGTAATTTCAACGGCACATACTAAAGTAAAATAACATTGAAACACGACTGTTACATATTTTTCAACGATTTCTAACCAATAATTTTGATTTTCAAATCTAAATATTTATGAAATTGCATTAAAATGAAAATGTCAATCAGAATGTTCGAAAGATGATTTATTAAATTATCAATTTTTAGCGTCATCTACAAGTATATTCGAATTGCTCACGATGTGAGATGGTGCGTGGTTATTTGTCAGACCATAATGCTTCAGTTAGTGTTTATTTTCGAAGTACTTTACCATTGAAAAAAAAAAGTTTGATAATCTTGAATAACTTGCGTTGTAAGACAAATTTGAATTTGTGCTTTTAGTTTATCCACTATATTGCCTTCTCATTAAGAAGTAGAACCATAGAAGCATGATCTAATTGGCATCTAACTGTTATTTGTACTTGATTCAACTCGGTCATCATTTGAGCACGAATACATTTGGTATCGATTCGGATCAAAGAATATACAGAGGAAAAAATGCGTATCATCCCCCCCTTTATGTATTGCAGCCAAAAGAAAGCAATACTTCTATCTTGCTATAATCATTCATGGCATAGAAATCGATCGTTCTTACTGTTCGCTATGGTAGCTCGAGTTCTATCGTGATAGACAAATGATAATGTTGAATGTAATTATATTACAATATTTATTCAATTAAAATGTCAGAGACAAATGACTTTGTTCTTTTTGTTTTTATTATCAAATTTTAACCATGTAAAAAATACGAAAGCACCTCAAAGAAAAGAAATTCATTCACAAATACATATATTTCTTTTTATAAAACAATTAAATTAGCGAAAGCCAATCATCTGTTATTGCCCAGACACGTTGGAAACATTTTTCATTAAATATATTTTGATTTCCTGTATGAACACGATGAAGAATTTCCGTTTGTTTAAAATGTTTTGATTCCAGCATTTTAATTCCTATTCGATTATCTTCAGGTATGGAAATTAACATCATACCATCATAATCAATAGCACACTGTCTCAATAATAATAAAGCTATACTTAAATTTTCAGCATATAGAGGTCCACATTTAATAAATGCATGACTAAAATTTAAAATAACATAACCCAATATAGAATTTGTTTTTAATGAACGTGCGACATAACCAGCTATTGAATATGTATGTTCACGTAATTGTTCAAAATAATTTACACGGTATGTTGGATATATTTGATGATCATAAGTAGCTATATCGAGTATATCAGATGATTCAAATAATTGTAAATGAATATCGTCATCATCAATATTTGCTAAATTTAAAAATTCATTTAATTTTCCAACCAGATTAACTAATGTAAACGATGCTTGAAAACCGTAACGAATATAGAAGGGTAGATGTTTTGTTAAAATATTTGCATGAATATGATTTGTTTCATTCGATTTTACTTTTAGGACATAATTTGTTAGTAATTCACCGATTCCAAATTTACGATAATCAGGACGAACATAAACAAGGCCAAGCATAAGTATAGATGGATTGATATTGTTATTAAAGTCCCATTGTTTTATTGATGCATGAGCTAATACACCATGTTTTGATACAACTATATATGAATGTTTAGGCCGAAAAGAATAATAATACATTGAAAAATCAACTGATGCAAGTTGAAACATTGAGCAATCATTGAAGAATACTTTTAAATCATAAATATCATGAGATATCATCGGACGTATAAATAAATTAAGTACTTCGATTTTTTCCTCTCTAAAAATAAGAAGAAAAAAAAAATAAAAGATGAATATTAATTATTCCCTCGAGCGTTGATCTCATTATTTTTTTGTAAGTTGCTTTAATTGACAAGAAGTTATGAGTTCTTTATTGTTTTTCTTTAAATTAAGATTATCGTATTTTACCTATACAGCCAAAATGAATATTGACTTGCTAATGATGGAGCCGTAGTAGCACAACAGGATGTTTCACTAGTGCAATCATGATCCGACATCACTAATGAAATATTTAAATGATTGATAATACAATACGAAACAGATGGAGTAAATAAAGCAGTAGCTTGATAGTATTGAAATTTCTATGTTTCCATTATTGTTTGCAATAAATTGTTTGTACTGAGTTAATGCAACGCAATGACCCTATCCAACTGTGTGTGTATGTGTGTGTCTGTCTCTTGCTATTTCCATTAGAACAGTAGCATCAGCAGGAGGATAAAGAAGAGGGAATGAGAAGGATTATTTCTTATTCTTTTTCTCTTTCGTTTTCTCTATTTTGTCGATCTAACGTTCGCGCATCTTCTATTGCTATGCGATCAATCTGAGGAAGAATTTATTTAGAATAATGGCAGAGACAGCACAATGAAAGAATAACAATGATAGTAATATTGGATAGGAAAGACAAAAAGAAAACGAAGCATAAGAAAAGAATACTTTTTTTTATCGACGATACTCTGCATCCGCTTCTATTACAAACATTTTCTTTTCTTGTTTTTGGATATCAGCCATCTTTTTGCTTGTTATTCCTTTAGCATTTTAGTCCATTCCCATAAATAATGATTACAGCAATAGAATAATATAAACAGAAAAACCAGTTGTTTATATTAATGCCAATTGATTGATTGAGCGTTTCTCATTAATAATAAAAAACCAAACGCTTAAAATTAATTTCTACCGATATTTCCTTTTTAAAATATGCGTTCTATAGCAAAAAAAAGATTCGTCAATTTCAATCAGTATCATTGCTTTCTCATTCATTATTATTATCATCGACTATGACAAGCGATAGTTCACTTAATTTTGATACTGATCAACTAGAACAATCAATAAAAATCAATGTAGAATCTCATATCGTATTAAATTTATTAGTATGTGCGAAACAATTAAATGAGCTTATCTTGAATGGTGAACGTTTTTCAAAAGAATATTTTAAAGATATTGAAAAATATATGTCAAATGTTCAATCAAATAAATTAACCAATGAATTGATTAAATTAACTGAACAATATCTTGAAAAATATTTACTATCATCTGTTATGCTACGCTGTTATATTCAAATACATGCGCCATCATCTCACTCAAGCAATAATCAAGGTGTTAATATACAAATGCAAATATTAAAAAGAACTTACAGAAATGGAAACAATTATTGGAAATCATGAAAATTCATTTATTGATTATTATAAAAAAAAAACATTATGAAATAATTAAATGTGTAAATAAATATCTGTCTATTGAAGACTATCATTTATATTTAATTGAATATGAAAGAAAAATTTTTGGTGATATACGTTCAATGATGTTAGAATTACGAACGATGCTTTTAAAAACATACGATGTTATTATAAAAACTTGAATTCAAATTCAAATGCCTAGAAATCAACAAAACCTATCTATGACTGATTAATATTTTATGACACTTGTTTTCTTGAATATAAATAAGAAGTTCACTTTGAAAATGAAATATCACAACTTGTTTCATTTTCCTCATAGAATAATCGATAATGATAATTTGATAAATTTGATATGCATACTAAATAAAAGGGTATCTTTCAAGTCTCTTGGCAATTTGTTCCCTATTATGTTATTCGATGATAAATAACTAAATGTTATGAATCTTTAAAAAGTCAATTAATCATTGACGATTGATTTGCATTAGAACTATACTTATACGAATTACTTTAGATTTTCTATATAGAATATTTTCGTTTGAATGCATCAAGAATAATGAGAAAAATCATCATTTTATTTTTCTGTCTTTACTGATTATTATTACTAGGAGTGAAGTTCAAGTAGAGCATAACCTTTCAAACGAAAATAAATGAACGGAAAAATTGATGAATTCTACTGAGATTTTCCATCATGTTCTATCTGTTACGTCATGTTGTTTATGCTATCCGATAACGATAAGCACTTCTAATTTCTATCAATAAATTCATGATGAATGCAATAGGATGTGCGTATTGATGAATCTTTTTCCATAGTCACATATCTACAACTTTTTGGTGATAGAAACAAATGAAGATGCAGGCATTTTCTACTGCAACATACCTTATCATTTCTGAGATGAATGCCTTTGAACCAAAGCGAATAGTTATGCGTTATTCATAACAATTGTCCTCTTTTCAATCTAATTTTTTTGTAATATTGTTTGAACATCAATCAAAACTTATTGTGCTTTCTTTGTTTCTACCTACACCATTGATTATTTAGTAATATTATGCACAACGAGCAAAAAGAAAAGAAATATGTTACTTCGGCTTGAGCAGTTGATAATAATTGAACCTGATAATCTACATATATCCGAAAAGGAAGTGATGACTTTTTTACATTGAAACGCTGGCTAATCGGATGTTCTCTCTTGACTTTTATGTGTGTACGTCTGTTAATACGCTTTAGTTTAGAGTCTATATTTATATACTGCTCTATCATTGACATTAGACAGCATAAAAAAAAGTAAGGTCAAGATTATTTTACTTGAAGAAAATTCGAAAATATTCCAAACCATACTATTTCATTATCATTTCTATTAATAGAAATAGTAGAACATTCATTTTTTTTAACCTATAGGTGTATATTCTTTTTTTTTCTCCTCCCTAATTCTTACTTGCCTATTTATCAACATTTGAATCATTTTCATAACGAACTATTTATTTTTCGTCTAAATAAAGAATCAATCTTCAGAAATGTTTCATAGCACATTCCATCTTAGGTTCATAAATATATATATATATATACTTTGATTAACAATATGAATAACCTTGTTACAATTACTATCAACGGTACAGGCATTTTGAATAAAAGTACTTGGTATTGTATATCTTAAAACCGGTATGGCATATGTAAATTCTCCATTTTATGACTATCTGTCATGAAAAACCAATAAATCTCCTTTACTACAATTCAGATGTTGACGTACATAGTCGAGAGCAATAGCCGGCACTCCGTTTTCCAGTACATTCTCAAGCTAGAAGCTTGATTCTTTTTTAAGGCGTATACATTCGGAAACGCAACGCATTTTTCATCTCTTCGCTGTAAAGAAAAATATATACGGGTAATTAATTGATCTTCAGTTGCACATTAATCTAGTACTTATGTATCTCGAGAATGACTATTAATAGCATCATTGATTGCTACATGTTAAAAACAAAAGTTCCAGATTTTCATAAGAAACTGAATAGTTTGTGTTTATAAAGATTTCGTTTTATTATCTAGAAGAACTGTATTTAATATCGTAAGAACTGTTTAACACACACACACACACACATGCACACAAATATCACATAGAACTTTAAGAGAATAAATCACTGAGTAGAAAAAAAAATGAATCAATTGAGGAAAATTATGCAATCAAACATAAAACAGAATGTTCACATTTGTGAATGGAGTATTTAAAAAATTTAATTTTCTCTATTTAATGTTTTCTTTCGTTTAACATAGCTTTCTTCAATAGCAGCTATATCTGCATTTTTTACTATCCATGCATGTTGTGCAACATCTTTCAAAGGTAATCGATCAGCTGGATTTCGACGAAGTAACTTTGAAAAAAGTTTAAATCAAAAATCAGTTGAATTTAGTTTTTACTTATTTACCTTCGTAATTAAATCGCGAAGATCAGGTGATGTTCCTGTCGGAAATGTCAATTCAATTGATCTTATCATACGAATTGTTTCATGTTGAGTTTGACTATCGAACGGTGGTTTACCAATTATCTTAAAAAAAGGAAAATGATTCATTAAAAAAACAAATAATTCAACACCTATAAATACCATTTCATAAGTGAGAACACCAAGACACCAAAGATCAATTTTTTCATCATAACCATTTCCATTAAGCATTTCTGGTGGTAAATAATCTAATGTACCACAAAGAGTTGTTCGTCTGGAGGAAACAAAAAGAAAAATATTCCATTTCAATGAAATAATCTATCGGATTAAAATTACTTGCATGTCGACGTACTTTCAGCAGACCAACCAAAATCCGCTATAATAAAAATTAACTATTCGAAAATTATTCCTTTCATAAACTTACCTAATTTTAGAATGCTATATTTTCCAATGAGAATATTTTCTGGTTTAATATCTATAAAATATTAATTTTTAATAATTGCGTTCAAAAAAACCAAACAGTCAAAATATACCTCTAAATAAATTTAAACGAAAAGAAAATAATTAAAATATTGTGCTTAAAGTATAGACATACCGATGAATGACTCGTTTTGTGTGTAGATAATTTAGTGCGTTACAAAGCTGATAGACATACTACAATAATATAAAGACAATCAGTGATATTCCCAAAGCGCTTGTCAATCATGAACATGGCTAAAAAAATCTCTATTTCCGAGCCTATTTGTAACCAAGGGCTGTCATCGTGCTTCTTTCATAAAACTTTAGGGATTCTCTTGCTAGTATGATAATTGCAAAAGATCAATTAACAGAACGAGACTATTCTTAGACAACATTCTTAACTAGTTAAGAGCCATTTCTAATGTATGTTTGTATCCAAGCAGAAAAAAACAATTAAAAATATCATCTATCTCAAAATATGAAAAATAAAAGCGAATGTTTACTCCTGCAGCTTCACTTTCACGTAAAACTTTTTCTGTTTGCATTCGTCGATATAATTCACCACCGGGTGCATATTCAAGTAACAAATAAATTCTTTGTTCATCATGAAAAAATCCATACAGACGTAAAATATTTGGATGTCTATAATCGATCTAGTTGTTTATAATAAAATTAAGAAAAATAAAAAACTTTCACATACTTGAGATTTGATTGAATTTCTATTTCACGTTTAACTTGTTGTTCCATTTTCGAATTTTTCAGTTGAGCTTTAAATAAGATCTAGAGAAATAAACCATATAAAACTATGGGCAAGAAAAAAAGATCAATCTATATTTATTACTTTAAGTGCAACAACAAAACGTGTTTGTTTTTCTCGACCACAATATACATAACCAAATCGACCACGTCCGAGTAAATTACCAATTTCAAAATCTTCAATGGTCCAACTTGTAGATTTTCTATGAGAAAATAGCTACTATGTAGTTTATATGTTATTGGTCATTAGGAATTCTATAGAAATGATTTAGTTGACCAGAGGATTAACATTTTTCATTGATTCAATTCAATTAATTCAATTACAATCGCTAAGTTTTCTTTCTCTGTTATGGTTGTTCGTGTTCCGGACTAGAGCATTTTCTCATTATTAAATTTAACCAACAAACTTAAGTTACGTTACTATTCATTAATAAGATTGTCTCTTTCTTTAAGCTCATTCATGATAATAGAATAAATTAACATTATGTAACAACAGAACACTTGCTTTTTCTAAATCCTATATCTCTAAAAATTAACCTAGGAAAAATGTCTTCATGATTACTTGGTTATTTTATTTTATCAAACTCGGATTTCGAACTATGATGTAAGCATATCTTTCTTTACGGAAAGCAATTATCAAGTGCGTACATATTTTAATGCTACGTAGTTACTAAATCATCTAGATGTTGTACAAAAATATGTCGGGTACATTCTTTAGCTACAAAAGCAAAAAACTTGAGCATTTCAAATTTTTACAAAACAGTGTCAAGCTAATATAAAAGATGATTAATCTATACATACGATGATTTTTTCTCGTCGTTATCATTTGATGTTCCCATTTCTGGTGATGGAGGTGATGGAATAGTATCGGATCTTAACAAATAATAGAATTTATCTGTTATACACATATGATTCTGTTTGACTACTATACTTTATTGGCATTTCTGTTGTTGGAGTCGTATTTTCTTTGATTTCTTCATGATCAAATGTTTCGTTTGTTACCGGTATTTTTTCAATAGCAACAATCGTATTATTAGATGATTTATTTTGTGAAGTTTGATTTTCATGATGCTGACTACTATTAATTTTTGAGTTCGATGTTGTTTTATGACTTGAAAAAAAACGTTTAATTGCCGACATTCAGAATTATCTAATAAATAAATGGAATACAAGATGTTAGCATAATCATTTCTTTGTTTCGAGCCAGACGAAAAAATTGACGAATGAAAAAAATGTGCGCTAGTATCCATTGCATTTTTAATTAGCTAATATTCTGCATAAAATTTTCTTCTAAATTAAAAATTAAATCCAATCAAGATAGCTATTAAAATAATTAAAATGAACAAAAATCTGGTCTATCGATTAATATTCATGAGGATCGAATGTTAAGGATGGTGATATATCAATGGCAGAAATGTGTTGACATGTTTACAGATTATTAACTTCCACTCATTTTTTTCATTTCATCAATTTCACTACATCATGACTACATCAAATATGCCCGATGAACCATACTATACAAGTGAACAGATTCCAATTCCACCTGAATTGCCGGATATTTTACTTCAATTTTCTAAAGCTGCTATTCGTACTCAACCAGGTGATGTACTTGCCTGGAGTGCCGCGTATGTATAATTGATTAACTACTCGTGCATATTATATATATATATGAATATATATTTTTACATAATTATAGGTATTTTCGCGCATTAGCAAATGGTGAAACCCCACCAGTCAAAGAACGTAAGAATAGAATATAATCAAAGGAAATAAAAAGTATATTTTTCGTCTCTAATTAGGTCTGGAAATGCCGGTAGCTACGCAAAAAACTGACACAGGTCTAACAATGGGTCTATTGAAAATATTACATAAACAGGTGAATATTATTCATGGTATTGATGTGAATTTAGAGTTTATTGTAATTTTTTTAAACGTTACATTATAATGTTGATAGAAGGTTATCATGATGAATATTTAATAGGATTGAAATACGATGCATACTATATAAATGTATCGTTTCTCATATAATTATATACTAGATAAATTTACCTTTGACTTAAGAACCTGTTCTTTTTTTCGCTTCTTATCTTATATGATTTACAGAAGTAAAAAGAAAAAAAAAGACTTATGTATGTCTTGCTTTTTTTAGCTTTCACCAAAAGGTACATTGCCATTGGTAGATATTCGAAAGAAATTCGACGATGTCAACATTCCTCGTGAGCAGTATGATGAGATTGTACAAATAGGTTCATTTAATGTTGATGCACAATGGGATCATTTTCTTGCTATTGCTGTATCAAAAGTGGCTAAAGTATGTGTTCATGTGCCAAATTTGTAAGCTTACAATTCTCTATTTAATTCGCTTTTCTTTCGTAATTAGAATATGACTGACACATTAATTAAGATATGCGAATTATTAACTAGCGATCCACCAGGTGCTAATGCTCGTATACCATTTGAACAATGGAAAAAATATTACCGATATTTAGCTGAAATTGATGGGGATATTCGTGAACCCCATATAAAAGAAGTTATCGATTATTTAGCAAATGAATGGGTTATAAGACAAAATGGTATGATACATCCAAGAAATTTTATTCATCCTGAATGTCCTAAACTCGAAGGTTAATTCATTTGATGATCGATATAATGAAAAGAACAAAAAAAAAGACACAAACAGAAAATAAATATGACAAAATTTTAATTATTGTTGTTTTTGTTGTTCGTGACGTGACTTTGTCAAACATAACTTAACGTTTTTTTTTTGATTTTTAGAGAATATAATAAATTCATGTATGCTTTTCTATTTTATTGAAATTAAAACAAAAAAGTATTCATTTTCAGTAGCTGAAATATTTTTTTGTATTTTGCTTTGTAAAAAATATAAAACACGTTTGTTTTTGTCTGCTTTCCCAACGAATGATTCTTCTATTAGATTATCTTGATGATTACAATGCACGTATGAGATGATTTTATCATGCTCACTATTGAAATATAAGTAGATTTAACATATATGCTTTTATTTAAATAGAAATATCGTGTCTATTGAATTTCGTTCATACATATTACTATTGTGAGATTTTGTTCTTCAGCAATACTTTATTGAAGCTCTTCGTAATTGAATAAGATATTATAGAGATACTCTAGTTGATAGTAGATATTGCAATCATGCGAATCATCATTCTGGTAATGTTACGAAGGCAAAGATAAGAAAAATCATCTGTGGTAGAACATCTTCCAGGTTATCAATTTACTCGTAATTGTTAACTACGGAATAGTTTTTACTTAACCATTTGAAAAAATTGATTTTTAGAATAGTTGAATGTAAAGATATTCACCAGTTCACATAGATTTTTTAATAATACTTTGATCGAATTTCATTTTCTTCTTCTTATCTAATCATCGATCTTATGAAGAATTTCTTTTATTGGGTATAAAGGGAAATAAAAGATCGTCACATTCTATATAAAAGGAATTCTCGTTGACTTGAATAATGATTTTTATTTATAAGTGCTATTCATTCATTTGTGCTGATGTAGCTTTTGTTTTGTATAGGGGTCGCGTTATGCACACATATGACAACATCATCCGAATGAAAAATTGACAAACATCAATTAAATAACTGACGTAGTATTTTGATATTTAATATTAAAAGAACCTGCAATTTGTATATTGAAGTGATTTTCCATATTCACTAGTTCTTTGATAATACACACCTATGAAGTTAATTATACCATGCCTACAAAACAAATGAATCCTTTCGCGAAGAATAAATTTTAATTTCCGTAAATGATTACCGGTCTGAGTGCTAGACTCAACAAAGATAGTGAATTGAACAACATGATGTTTTATTTTCTATCGTGACTTAAAACCTATTATCAGGAGAATTCATTTTTTATTTGAAATTACTGAGAAAAAAATTGAGTTATATTACTAGAGTGAAATACTGATGAGAAAAGTTGTTTTGCCTATTGAAGTTGATGAGTTTTATCTAACAGATCAAACTAAAAATGAATCTATTGGTTTAACTTAATGGTTGTTTTAATCCATTTTCACATTGAAATTTATTAATTTAATTTTAAAACTCATTGTTTTCATTCAGAAAACAATCACAAATAAAAAGAATTTACAGGACATTTATATATGTATATATACAGGGGTTGCCAAAATTATAGCCCCCCCCCCCTTTGTCATTAATTTTTCTCTATGAAAACGAATAGCTGGATCAAATGTAAACAGTGATTTTGATAGCTCTCGAAGTTCTCTATCGAATGCAGTATATTGGAAATTGTCAAAGATGACTTAACCGTGTAATTTTCTGAAAATGTGTAAGACGCCATTTTTTACTTTTAAAAAGATTTCCCAGACATCGTTTCGGATGCAGCCACCTGATAGAGCTGAAAATTCTGAGTAAAATGAGTGGGCGCACGACTCTCCGTGACTTNCTACATTAAAAAAGCGTGTTAAACTATTCAAAACAAAATAAAAGAGCAGTCAACAACTCTATTTTTATTTCTATCGCTTAAAAACAGTAAAACAATTTATTTAGTATCGAATTCTGTTAGATTCATTATCAAAAAAAAAAGAAAAATTCGTTAATATCACAGTCAATTCTCAGGAATTTTCAAGTTTTGTCAATTCTAATTTACAATTAAACGACATGGAATTCATATCGAGGGCAAGTTGACATGCATTAGTTGGACATTCATCCTAAAAATGATGAAACCTATTAGACGACATACAAGAAGGTTTTTCAAGTTACTTCCTCTTTTTTAATATAGACAGTTAATTGAGGTGAATCGCATTGATATTGTTCATCATTATCGTCCTCAATTAAAATGTATCCGTGTCGTAAATCGATTGAATCAAGTGGATATGTTACATCTGTTTGTATAGATTGTTCAATTGGTTTTCTTGATGCAATCGATAATGAAGGTTCATGCTAAACATTTTATTTGAAAAAAATCAAGTTTATAATGAGTTATTCTTACTGATATTGATCTATGCGCTTGATTGATGGTATGTGTTGAAAAAATATTATCATTATTAATTGCTACAAGACACAATGTTAAAATGGTAAAAATAAAAATATATTTATTTACATTTTTTTCTTTTGATTGTTGGTGACAATAAAGCTGCATTATTATCATTAGTTGAAGTTTGACCTTGTTGTTTGTTTTTAAATTCTTCAAAATGTTTTTCGCACAGATAACCAGATTTTACTCCAGCTGAACGACGTTGGCAATCTCCAGCATCATAATGACATAATGAATACCATTTTGTACCGTTCCATTGTTGTCGAACACTTCGAATTTCACCTTTTTTTGGCTTTATTTTCGTTTGTCTTACGGATCGTTCTATCTGAGATTTTGATATTGTATTTTGTTTTGGAGTATTATTTAATGAAGATAATGATTTCGATGTTTTCTTTCGATTTTCGACATCATGGCGACGACAAAAACCACGTGCAACAAGATAAGATTTACAATTATTAGATTTACAAACAGGCCGCCAAGAAAAACCATCATATTTTTGTCGAGTACCATCAGTATGTGTCATTATATCACCACGATTATGATGTCTTTAAAATTAAAAATCGATATTTTTTCAATAAAGAAAATGGATATGATTTTACTGGATTTTTTTACTAGGTTGTCGTGCTGGTGCTCTTTGAAGATTTTTTTTCCGTGATGTTACTGATGCTTTATCTTGTATGATTGAGTTATCAGATTCATTCGATAAATCAGTTTCTAATACAAGTAAATAATGTTTTCGACATAACCAATTCTCAAAGTAAATGCCACCCATCAAATAAATTGAACAACTAGGAACACAACATATGCGACGCCATCGGAATCCATCATATTTCTGTTGATGTCCAGGCTCATTTTCCATAGGACGTAGATCGCCTTTAACTGGTTTGGAATTATTTGAAACATTTTTCGAGGTCATATCATTCGTTGTGGAATGTTGATGGACTTTTTTATTACATGGCGTATCTCGGCTACACAAACGATAAGCATCATAATCATATTTACTAATATTATCATCGGAATTTGTTAGCGGTGACAAGGAATGATAATCATCATCTTCATTAATTTTATCCGCTAGAGACATTGTTATCTAGAAAAAATAAAACTCTGGATAATTGTTAGGTATAGTTTGAATCATAGACAAGTGTACATAATCATTTATTTAGCTTTATATTATTTTCTCTTGGTTGGTTTGCATGTTATTTTAAATGTTATATTTGACCATTTAATTTCTAACATTAAAAAAGAATTTTGTATGTTGCATTAGAATTCATTCAGGTGTGCCAAGAAATGTGATACTATTTCTTTTCTTCATACTGTACTTTTTAAAATATACATATAACATGTTAGTCTCGTTTACAGATAAAATTGTCGAAGAATCATTTTTCTCTTTCAGATATTACTCAGATGTTGTTCTTTTTTTCGATCAACAATGTTCAAGCAGAAGATTGTAAAAATGTTAGTGAAAGTGTGAAATCTGTTTCAATCTTAACTATATCCAACACAAAGAGAACAAGAATTTATGGAGAAGATGATAATCAAAGAAATCAAAGGGAGAAAAAAGGAAAAAAAGTAGCAAGATGAAAATAATAAAACTAACAAGTATCAGTGTTTTGGTTCTCTCCAGAAGGACAATTGATGTAATGATGATGTAAATGAATTGTGCATTTGGTGAATTGCATATGCTATTGGATAGAATAAATAATAATCGATCGTATGTAATTGTATAAGTGATGATCGCATTGATGAATTATCAAGAATTGAAAATGCTTGTGATGTCGGTTTTTTATTTGTAGATAATAGCGATGAAACTGATACAGGAAGCAACGAAGAAGATGATGATGATGATGATGATGGTTTGTCAGGTTTTGATGGTGATGATGAATTATGATGCATTAGACGTTCAAGTTCTAACAGTTGTGCTGCTTGATTAGTTATAGTTATTTCAATTTCACCTAGTTTGCTTTCCATATTAGCTAATCGTTCTTGTTGACGTGATTCTTTGTCGGTGTCATTTTTTGATCGTCTAGCATATTCCAAAGCCAAACCAGCAACAGCAATGCTTAAAATCACCGCTAAGAAAATAAAATTAAGATAATTTTTTTCTCCATTATAGATAGGATCTATCACTTAGTTCAAACAATATTAAAGTCGGTTTACAGGATTTACTGTCCATTGATTGGTTTTCTTAGAAAATTGTTTTTTTCTACAGAAAGTATAATTTTTGCTGCTGCGGATTTACTGTCCATTGATTGAAGAACTTTTCTTTTCCAATTAGCGTTTTTCTCGATTGATGATTGACTGTCCGTTGATTGCCTCGAAGAATAGACATGAACAGAAAAATATTTATCGCAATCAACTATGTATGTTTAGAAGAAAAAAAAAGAATTCAAACAAATATATGAGGAAATAACAAAGAGAATAAGGAATTGATTAATAAATAAACCAAAAAAGATGAATGGATGTTCAACTTTTTGGTGGACGCTGAAAATATCTAAGTCCAGCAGCTTTTAAGAATGATGGAATATCGATAATCGAGGTAGCAGAATTGTCGTTTACCATGAGTAGATTCAGTAAATATAGCAGACATTTTTAGCAAGAGTATGATCAGAAAATTATGTTCTTTGAATTTATATATATTTTTTTGTCATATTAATGACTATCGTACCCCTCAATTTGATGAGTATCCCTCATTTTAAATTGAAAATTTATTCAGTAGGTCGCTCATTGGTGACTTTTTTGTTTTTCACCATTTATCTAATTTTTTTCAGAAAACCGGTTGGTTGTCAAGATCATTATCGAAGCAATCAACGGACAGTAAATCCTCTAACGAGAAAAACGCTAGTTGAAAAAAATAAGTTATTCAATCAATGGACAGTAAATCCTCGTATAAAAATAGCGTTAATTGGAATAAAAATTTTCCAATCAATGGACAGTAAATCCGCGGACAGTAAATCGTGTACACGATTAAAGTCAATATACGCTTGCTCAGCAGTTTATTTTTAATTGGCAATCACTCTTTGTTTTGTTTTCTCAGAAAATAAATTGCACAATAATCTAGACATACCTTCACCCAATATATCTGCACCAAGTGCAACTGCTGCTTCTTCGTTCATTTTAGCTACGTTTTTCGTTTCAATGCCTAACATTCTCATTCGTAGATTAACATCATACCAGTGATAAAATTGTGCAGGAGGCATACAAACCTATTCAGCACAAGAAATAGTATGAAAGAAGTCTTTCATCTATAGTCTATTAAATAACTCACATATTTCTTGAAAAATTCACTATTTTTTGCTCGAACTTTAATCTGATTAGCAAGTGGTTTGCTAATTTGTTTGAAAAAGACAATGGCCAATTTGACAAGAGGAAATGGAGCCATACGTTCTTTTTCTTATGCCTTTATAATTTATTCGCTCTACAATAAACATAAAAAATTACGAAATTTATTTTCTCGCTGTTGTTGTAGCGAGTATTTTTAAATTCTAAATGGAAATTTTATTGAAATATAAGCAAAAAAAATTAAAGTCTAGCGAAGGATCACAATACTGATTAAAATTTGATGAATTATATCTACATTCAAACCAGTAAACAGTGTTCTAAGAAGTATTTGAAGACAGTGAAACGAGATTATATAGCTATAGGAATAAAAATAACACCGCAAAAACAAACAAAGACTATGATAAATAATACGATAAAAAGTCATTTAATGTTCAAGAATACGTAAATTGCCAGAAACAATTTTATTTTCAAGTATTGCACCAGGTGGTATATCGATTCGATCTCCATGATTAGCAATGATAATTACCGTACCCTAAAAAGAGAATACAAAATAATATTGATATTTATTCGAGATTTTTCTTTCTTTATACATACACGTAACGAAACACCTTTGCCAAATGTAACGTCTCCAGATACTGTAAGACTGTCTAGTTCAAGACAATCGGGTATACTTTCAAAACGAGTTAAAAAATCTTTAACCTGTTTTTTTGGAAAATAAAATTATTATTAATGAAAAATATGAAATAAAATAAATAGTATACTTTAGTAAAACTGGTACCAAGTTTAACAAGTGGTACTGTGGGAAATGAACGTTGCTTATTCATCACTAAATTACCTCGATTGAGTGTAAACAAATCAGACATAACAAGTAACAGATCAGATGTTGTTTTAACGGGTAAGAAACGTCGACGTGGAACATTAATACCTTGAAACAAAAAAGATCATTCGTGTGGTTTTTCAGTAATAGACATGTTCAAAAAAGAGAAATATCGCTTTCAATATGTGCATTTTTTCTTGATTACATCGAAATTCTTCGAATGTTATGTTTTCTCAATCAAATTACGTCAGAATTAGCATTTTTCTAGTCTATTTGAAGTTTTGTCAAATACATTGGTTAGGATTCGTGAGTCAATCATTTGTAAAAAGTTTCAAAGCCAAGTCTAAATGATTTTCAATGCTTCTTAGAAAATTCACAATAGAAGTCAAACTTATTTTAAGTATACTGATGATAAAGCAAACATTCCTTCATGTCGAAGTTTAATTATCATCAGTTGTTTATTTTTGTAAGACGTCTGTCAATAAGGGAATTTTGGCTAAGAATACAATAGTACCTTTTTGTTTTGAGTTCTTTGAGTTTGATACGTACTCACTTAATTCAGTTGTTTATTACCGATATCATTATTAGCCTCATTTGTTTGTTGACTTTTTAGAACACATTTTCTATTGATTTGACGTACAAAATATCAATCATTGAACGTAAGCACCGATGGCTGTGATTACTTAAGATAAATTCTACTAATTATCTGTGGCTTGTATACAAAAAGTTAGAACCACGTTGTAGTCAAGTAAATATGGAATGAAATGCAATTTAATGGAAGCTTTTATGGAAGTTACGACAAAAATCACCGGTCTGCAACGTAAAATTAATTTCCCGATAGATACAGTCCTATCATTATGCATCTCAAGATTAATTACTGAAAATATCTTGATTTAAAATTTCATTTTGGACTTTCTAAACATTTGCCCATAGATTCTGACTAGTAGATCTCATCCCAAAGTCACCATGATAAGACAGAGCCGAGTGAATTTTTCAGAATTGGTAAGTAAGCAACGAATAAATGACTAGAAAGAAGTAAAGTTATCTCATGATCGAAGATCATCCCCTTCTTCCTCAACGGGGATATCCCCATAAAAGGGTGGGGGGGGGGCGAGACTTACGCACTTCCCTTGTACTCACAGATACTTCGCTGTAATTCACTTGTAATCCTATGTACTTTCATTGTACTTCAAAACAATTTGAAATGCGGAAGTCGCGCTTTTTTCACCTTGTCCCAGTGTCATAAAACCTCGGAAGAAGCAATATATTGTGATCTTTTCTTCGACAAAGGCTTTAATCATCGTTACTACGTCTCTTAATCTTTCGGAAAATAAAAAAAACAACAACATTGTATTCAAAAAATAGATATTGACACAGTCCTTATCAGTACTCTATTACTTCATGCATTAGACATTTGAATATCTTTCTCGGAATAAATCGTCTGTTGGAAGTATATTAAGAATTTTTTATAGTTATCTAGAGATCTACTTCAGTTCTATATTCCTTTTCTGATACTATCAAAATACTATTTTATATGTTACTTTTACCTTGTGCTCCTTCGAAACTTTTGATTGCTGCACCACTAGCCGTTTCCAATTGAATAACATTAATACCTTTATCCATTGCCTAAATGTGTTCAGATTATTCATTCTGTTGTTTTTTATTTTCGAGAAAAATTAATTACTTTGTTATTAACAATGATTTCCATATGTAATGTTTCATCTTCAATAATACGTTTAACAGCTGGAAGACTAATCCATAAATTATTCGTATTGAAAATTCTAATAAATGAACAATAAATAATCTTTACGAAATAAAACTATCATGATATTTACCGAAATTTCGAAACACTCTTAAATTCATCAACATGTTCCTTGGGTACTTGAGCTATTTCAAGTAAACGTAGTTTTCCTTGATATTCAATTAAAGTACCACCCTATTTAAAATCAACAATAGTTAAGAAAAAACACATTACCATTGAGAAAATTTTCATACTTTAACATCAGCACGTGTCTTATCTGTTACTTCCATAACAAATTCATGTTTTGTTTGATCAGTCAATAAATGTTTAAGAATATCTAATTAAATTTTAAAGAAAAAAAATTTTTTTTTTTCTAATTAATAATATATCTTACGTAAATCAACTGTTGCACCAAGATTATCGATGTTACTTAAAAACATATATTCTTTTCCTTGTTCAATAAATTGATCAAGTAAGCCCGAATTGTAAAATGATTGATAAACATCTCCATGACCGGGTGGATACCAACATTCATTTTCTTGACTACTCATATTGGTAGCAACCGGCAGTAATGTTTCACGATCAACACGTGGGTATCTAATGGTAGCATAATTAAAAATCGATATTTAATTCTATAGATTCATTTCTTGATATAAAATTACTTTGACTGATGAAAATTATAAATTTTGACAGATACATGACTGTATTTTTGAAGAACTTTTTCTGTTTCTTCATGAGTATTAAATGAATTCATTAAAACAAGTGGTACATCACAATCATATTGTCGATTGAGTTGCTGTTGACGAAAGAAGAAATGACAATGAAAATAAAGCCTTGAACATAAAAATAAAGTGATATTTTACTTCAAGCTGTTGAATTGTTAAATCAAGAAATGTTAAACCACTTCGTACGGAAATCACACTTTTTGGACCTTGACAGCCCATTGTTGTACCAAGACCGCCATTAAGTTTAACAACAATTAATTTATCCAGTAAACTTTTTGTATCTTCAATTTCTTCTTCAGCTAATTTTGCATAGGGAATTACCTTGAAAAATCATGTGATATAAGTAGAAGAATAAAAAAAACTGTACTACGCTAATTTACTGTTTCTGGTGGTGGTGGTTGAATATCTTGCCAATCAATAGATGCTTGATCAACACTTTCATTTAAATAACGACTAAATAATTTTTCAAATCCATCGAATTCTACTCGAACTTCCTTTAAAATTATAATAAAATAGTTATTTCATGATGAAATTTGGTCAACAAACTTTTTGTAGTTGAGGTGGCACAGTTAATACAAGTTTATTTAATGATTTTTGTAATGTTTTAAGTGCATCAATTTTTGTTAAATCTTTGAATGCAGCAATATCTGTTTGACTTGGCGAACGTTTAAGGAGACGCTGTAAAAGAAAAAAACGATAGTTTAATAACTGCTTTTATTTTTAAATTTAATTTAGTAAATAATAGTAGTTAAATAGAGTATAACCTGATCCATAGAACTCTTGTTGATATACGGAAATTTCATGTACGACATTTTGCAGTTATGGTGTAAAATCAACTATTATTGGTATGACAATGTATTCTTTTTTCTTGTTTCTTTTTATACTAACTTTCTTTTTTTGCCTTCTACTGTTTCTTTTTATCCTTGTAAGCCTTCAAAAAAAGGCCACGATTTTGATAATATTCGCTAAGTGAAGCGTGATATGAAACTTTTTGCATACAATAAGGCAATAAAACGAATATTGTCACTTGTCGATATAAAATAGGTGCATGCATTTAATCGATCTTCTTCTCTTACTTCCTTTATTAAATGCCGTATACCTTATACTACTAATCGTTTTACTGATTCAATATTGACTTTGATTGTCTTTTATGTGAAAATTATGTAAAACATTTTTAAGATAAGATGAAATTCAGACCTCGACTTTTTAAATTTTAATCAAGAAAACTTCAACAGAATTTTATGGCCGATATTAGCGTTAAACTTATTTCAACAACAAATTTTAATAAATTATTTTTACTTTATTCATCGGTAATGAATTTGCTTGCATAGAAGACATTCTCAAATAAAAATTGGTTTATTGATCAATCTAGAAAAGCAAATAAAACAATGATATCATTCTATTAATAGATTCTTGGCATGTTATTCATATGTGCATTATTGTTCTTGAATAGAAAACAAGCAAAAACATTGTTCGAATTTTTTAAATAAGTCAAAATAATCTCGAACAATCATTTTGCTCGTAGAAATGTATCAACGTTTGCACAAAAACCATTTCATTGACTATGCACTAAGGCTCATGCGATACATGCATCGAGACTACCAATTAACAGTTGTTTAGTTAATTTGATTGATTGAATTTTTTCGCACAAAACATATTATTAGTTTGTTGACTAGCAAGAAAATAAACACGCAGTACATCATTCATTCATTTGTTCGTTCGTGTAGGTTGCATGTGCATGATATTTACAGAAAAATAAGAATCAATCATTCAATGGACGACAAGCTATGACATAACCGTTGAAGAGGTCGCCATCAAACGGATTTTCTATTCATGGTACTTTTTCTTCTGCAATCAATTTGAACAGCGCGTACTAGTGATAATATGTAAATAGTCGACAGATACATGTGTCGTATGAAAAAAATCGTGTACGACCTATTAATTAGTTCTGTCGTATCATCTTTTTTTTTTATCATGAAATCAAATATTATGATATCTATCGTACTTATGTAGACATTCATTGATTTCATTTCAGCTCTTAATACATTAATAAATTTAACTTTTTTTAAAATAAAATCTATAGATCTGAAGGTTAAAAGTTGTTGAAAATATTTAAAATAATCCATCAATGTAAACATATATGAATAGTTAAACATATTTGAACGCTCTAGTTGATGCATATGCATATATAATTTTTATTGAAACAAGAAAATTCCTTGGGAATATGTCAAAACAACAATGTATTCTATCAAAGCCACTGATAATATTTATATTTAGTATAAAAACAAGACTAAACAATTCTTGTATTCTACTTAGTTGTCGTTAGAATAAGTAATCAAGAAGAAAATCTAGCTCATCTTTGAACAAAGTACTAAACAAAAAGAAAGATTCCGGTACCGATCTATTCGGATAGGAACGGAAAATATATTAGAATAAAAGTTGTCAACACGTCAATTGTTCTCTTTTTCTCTCCGTTACGATTTGTCATACAAAGCAGCAAGCGATGCATTCCGGCTAATAATAGAAATTATGAAAGAAAATGGAAACGTCGATAGTAAGATTTCGATGTGAAGCAACGATAGCAACCACCAACAACAACAACCAATCAAACACCACAAAGTTCTATAGAATAGACTCAAGTATAGAGCAGCATAAATCATATACGTAGTCAATAAGCAACATTTGTCCTGTGTTGTAACTGAACTTATAATTATGAGTAAGTGCCTACGTTATCAGTGGATCGTATTTTGATAATAATTAGTTTCAGGTTTTGTAAGAGAATTAGGAGCAGCTGAAAGAATCTATTGTCGAGAACAAACAGATCATGGAAATCAAACATTAGTTCAAGTACTAATTATTTCAAATGCTCATAAAATTAATGAGCAAAAAGCTCGTCAAGCTTTAGTAAAACTTTATCAAGGCTACTATCCAGTCCTTGGCTATAAAATCTGCCCATCAGACGATCAAACAACACTTGTCTATCTATCAAAAGATGAACAACAAGCAGAACAAGATCTTATGTCTAATTTTAAGTACCAACAAGTAAATACTATATTTTATTAATACAAACCAATAAAAGAGGAGAAAAAAAGACATGCCTCATATTAGCATAGCTACTAAACGTTATACTTTTCTATCGCTTGGTAGACTTTTAAAACTAAATACAATTGTCTGTTCCTATGTAGAAACAACTTACTTCTAGGAAATTGTTCTTGTTCTCGGTAAATTTTGTTTTTTAATAGGGCACTGATTGGCATGAAGTATTTCAAGATGAACTTAATATTCCATTTGACAATGACAATCTATCACGATGGATAATTATAAATGGAAATATTCTTATAATGTCGTTTCATCATGGACTTGTAGATGCAAAAAATTTATTTTATATTAGTCGACAATATCTTTCATTATGTTCAACATTAATAAGTGTTAAGCCAAAAAATACTTTATGTATTGAACCAATGGAAAAATATCTATTCAATAAATATTCCTATGAAAAAATATCTGATCTTGAATTAAAACCGAGATCAAGTCGACCAGATTCAATCATATCTCGAACACATGTTCGTCATTTTTATTTTTCAAATCAAATACTTGATCGTCTAATCGAACAAAGTCATTCGAATAAAATACGTTTAAATAGTATTTTAAGTGTGATTACAGCAACGGCTTATTATTTAGCATCGGATTATAATGAAGAAAAAACGTTAAAAATTCATATGATGGTTAATATAAGACCCCATCTTAAACTTGATTATGAACAACCGGGTATGTTTGTTACTGTTTTCGATTGTTTTGTCAACATTAACCAATCGTCCATATCATCTTCATGGTTAAACGCTATTCAACAACATAACGATCTTCATCGTCGTATCAATGAAAAAGAATACATAATGAATTGCAAAAATGACACGGATTTATTGAACATGATTAATAACAATGAATCTTTTTCATGTGATGATGTTCATTTTGCGTTTAGTAATCTTGGTTTATTATCAAATACAGATGATAATCAAATCGAAGAACATTATTTTGGTGTGTCACTTATTGAACAACGTTGGACAAGTACAATACTTGTTGGTGTTAGTACAATAAATGGTCGTCTTTGTTTTACTATTGCATACAATAAAAATAAAATTGAAAAAGCATTTATCGAAAAATGGATTGAAAAAATTTATTATTTACTTGAACAAATATAAAAAGAAACAAAAAAGAAAAGAAAAGATAAAACAACAAGAAACTTTTTCTTCGAAATACAGATGACTATTATGCATTTTTTTTTATACATCAATTCCACTCGATTTTAATGTTAATAATGAAATAAAATACTGTTGTGCCTCATAAATAATACGAGCACACGGTCCATAAGGTATGCCAAGACTTTGTAATTTTCTTTCACTTATATAAGGTAATTCATAAATACCAATTTTTTCGTGTTCAAGTACAGCAGCATACTCTTCATAATTTAATAAACTAAGAAAATAGCGAAGCATTGCTTCGGTGCCAAAGAATCTAGTGAGAAAAGAAAACAAAATGTATTTATATTCCATCATAAGCGTTTCATTTACTGTTCAATTTTTCGTGCTTGTCGTGGGTCAATAATTGAGTTAGAACGTTGTATCATGGATGATGATGGCATGAAAGATGTAGAAGAATTTAACGGATTTGTACTATTAGCAGTAGTAAGACGTTGAACATTTGGACTTATTAACCGTGTTGGCTGATGAGATCTCGGTAATGTTGATAATGTAATACCAGATATGCCGACATGTGTTGAAGATTGTTGTCGACCATCTTGTTGATGTAATTGTTGACGAAGTTCAAAAACTTCTTGTCGTAAATTATTAATATCATCTTTAATAACACGTTGCATTTGAACTTGTGCTGATAATTTAGCAATTGATTCTGCTAATGTTACTAAGGATGACTCAAGTCTTGTAAAACGTTGATCGATTTCCCTATCGGAAAAATAAATTATTTACATTATCTAAGATAAAAAAAGAAGCTTTTGTTCTTTTATAGATTACATCATGTCGAGATTTGATTGACGCATTGTTGTAACAGGCGTTACTTTTCGAAAACGATGTCGTCGACTATTGTGATCTGCTTGCGAAGAAGTGCTAGATTTATGACTACTTCTCACAGATTCTATATCAATATCAAGTAATTTAAGAAGATCATTATACATAATTTGAAGATCTAAAGATATATATTTTAAAATGAGAATTTGACTTTTTTGAATGAATAAAAACCAGTTAATTGTTTTCGTATTTGTCCAACTTCTTTCGAGCTTAAACTTGAACTATGTCGAGTTATATTGGGTGTTGATGTTCGAATATTTGGATGTTTACGTAATTTAGTATCACTAAATTCACTCGTCAAATCGGACCACGCATCACTGCCAAGATCACTTGGTGGACCACCACGACGATGACTCATACCTTAAAAAGAAAAAGGAAAAGAGCAATTTTACTAATTTCTTTTCTAAATTGATTTCATCAAGATCAAAGGTAAAAAAAAACCAGTGGGACATCTTGCCACTATTTCATTTCATGCATTCAATAGAAACTTTGGAATGACGTATTGCTGAAACAGTACGAATGATTATTAAATGTAACTTCGATTTTTCTGTGAAATTAATTACGTGTTTTTTTACCTTTATCCTTCTGTCTCGTTCTTCAATTCTCTTTTCTTTTTACAATAAAAACTATAGTCCACAACGAAGAAGTTTAATTTTAACGGCTTCTTTGAATTCAAATGAGCTCTTTTGATGGTTTGACGTCTGTTTTTTTACATACCTTCATCTTTACTTTGAGTTCTAGTAAGAGTGGTTTCTGACTCAGATTCATCGCCGTAATTTTTCAATCGGCAAGATGGCCGATGCGGTCTTCTGTTTTGACGATTAGCTGAAGTAGCTCGTGTAGATGTAATTGGATATTTATCTTTTTGTTTTTGCCAAATATTATTTAATTCTTGAATTGTTGGTGATGATGGTGGTGTTGATGAATTTTGCTTCTTTATTTGTTGATTTGTATTTTGTTTAGGCATAGATGAATAATCATTATTCATAGGCGTTTGTTTATTTTCAGTCGTCAATACATGTGCACCAGTATTATCTCTATCAATATAAGCGTCATTCAGTGGATCTCCTGAAGATGATAGAGCATTGTGTGTTGTTGAAGTTGTTTGGGAAGTTGATCGTCGAGTTTGCACTGGAGATGAGACTCGCTTAGGTGTATCAACTGGTTCTACTTGAATATTATGATAATTTGTATGTTTATCACCTATAATTTAATTAGAAATAATAGAACAGTTTTCATTAGTTTTTTTAAATAAATGTAATAATTTTTAAATACCATTTCGATTTATTTCATATGATAGTGGTGAGTGTTCATTACTTTTTTGTACAGAACTTTGAATATGTGGATTGACGCTAACTTCTGGTAATGAACGATGTTGATTATCAGCACTTCGTGTACGTGATGTTGGTGATTCAGTGCGACCAGTAGATTTTATTATTGTTGGTTGATTCGATTCCTTTTTAAATCTCTATTCATTACAAAAAAAAAGAAGAGAACTTACAATTATAAAATTGAAACCCTATCTATGCTTACCCTGGATCTATCAAAATTTTCTTCCATTGTTACAGAATTAAAATTTGGTTCATCCGATTGATGTAAATTTGAATCAGGACTTTTAGTTGGCATACGATATGGCGTAGATACATGTACATTTGGAATATGACTTGATCTTATTTCATTGTGTATGAATGCCGTAGGTTGTTGTACAATGACTGGGCCAGTTCCAGATGAAATTCGGCTATTTGATACACCATTGAATGGTTTATTGGTTGCTAATGAACTTGTCGGTCGTCTTGTTATCAGTTCAGCTGGAAGTGGACCTTTCATTCCACCGGATAGTTGATAGAATAAATTTGATGTTGCTACTGTACCAGTATTTTTATGAGATGTTACACGAGCTGTCATCGGACGAGATGATGTTGGTTCAGCATACGATGGCGTTCTTTGACCATTTATGGTAGCTATATGTAATGGTTCTTGACGTAATTTATTTAATGATTTTGTTAAAGCTGCATTTACGTTTTTTATAGTTATTTCTGTTTGAGATCGAGTGTGAGCATTTGTCTGCACAAAAAAAAAATATATATATATATATATAAGTATGATGTATTGTAAATAAAATGGTTATTTTCAATTATTTACTTTAGAACTTGAGTGCCATCGAGCATCTCTAAAATGATAAGATAATAGTGAAAAAAAAAACGAATCATGTTTTCTTTTCGAAAGAATTTTACTAACGATTGTTGATCGACTGTCGGGTGTGTAGTAAGGAATTCTTTGACTGGTTTAAGTGGTCTTTGATGAAGTTGAGGTTGAATATGATTAGGTGGCTGAATAGAACAACAAAAAAAAATTTAAGTCTATTATGTAAAAAGAGATCAGTTTTCATACTGAGTGGGACCGTAGTTGATTATCATCATTTCTTACACCAAATGACGTTAATGGTGTACCTTCAGTAACAACACTTTGATATCGCTTTGGTATTGAACCATTGGAACCCGCATTTGCTAGCATATAATCTGAATTCAATGTTCCTTCGGGTCTTCGATTTTCTTTTTCCTTAAATAAATAGAAACGAAATGTTCAATCAACGCTCATATAAATGTAACTTTTTTTCGTACTCATACTGTCAATATCCATATATCATTTGTTTCTCTTTTTTTCTCCTCTGTTTGTACATACTTTTTGCAGGCGCATACTTGAGCCAATTAATTCGTCGTACGAGTCTGAGAAGATATGTTTGAAAAAGGATGCCAATAGGCAAATGTAAAACAGAAGGGAATAAAAAAAAAAGAATCAAGCGGAACTCTCTTTTGTGTGTAATTATATCAAATTCTGATAGTTGAACAACATAACACGAATCCAGTTTGAATACTATTACTTCTATGAGTATGAAACTGTTTGCATAAGACTATTAATCCACAATTAAACAAACAATAGAAAGAAGACCTTGGAAATATGTCTCTATGTTTCCAAAAGTTCGGGGCTGGGGCATAATAGAACACGAAAATAATACACCCTATCGGTATACCTTATATTTATGAAGAGCATTTGCGATAGGTTTAGTAGAATGCGCTGATATAGCCATATATTTGTATAATTAACAGTTTTTATACAGAACAAAAGTAAACGCGATTTTTGTCTTCATGAATAATAATCGCAGCGAAATGGTAGCATCAGCACGTCAGTGGCGCGGATGGCGACAAAATAAATAAAGAAATTTTGCTCGAAAAAAGAATGCGAGAGGAGAAGGTATTTGTCTATTAAAGAAAATGTGGTCTGATGAAACGAAGTCGATTGTTGAAGAACAAACGTAATAAGCAAGTGAGAGAAAAAAGGAGAGAATGAAGGCAAACGAATTTGTTTAATTTCTCATCCCTCGCAACAACATCATTTATTTGATCGTCATCGACGTTTTAATAAAGAAAGAGAAACGAACAAAAAAGACCGAAAGCATAAAGGTGTTTCGTTTCAATTCTTGAAAGACACATTTCTTTTTGTTTGTATGATTATGACATAGAGGGAAGAAAAATAAAAATTGTAATCGATTGTTGATTGTCGTACTAAAGATGCATTTTATAGGATTCACATTCTTGTACTTTTTTCAAACAATTAAACCGATTTTCGATAGATTTTTTATTTGATAAAACAAATTTTGTTATTTTTTCAATGTGATTAAACTAGTAATCAAAAAAGAAAGAAAGAAAAAGAAGTAGAATTCAAGTGCATAGTTCAAAGCATAAATGGTAGATCTTTGTTTTCTTCACCAATACCACAGTAGAGTGAGCCATAACGATTTGTTTCTGGTATATGAAAAAATGCCATACCAGGCCATTTAAGACTACGAATTTGAACTAATCCACTACCACGTTCGTATTGTACACTCCAACCTAAAATTATATAATAAATGAAATTAGTACAAACAAATAGAAACAATGAGATGAAATTTCATAATTAATATTATAAAGAGAACGTGTATGTAGTACCTTTAGGAACATCCTCGTCAATGGTGTCAAGAAAATGGAGACTTTTATCAAGAGTTGCACGATGTATCAGACTCTTTTGCTGCAGGCTTATTGGTTCTCGAAAATGAAAGTAATTCGAAAGTTTACCACTTTCTATTATTGTTAATCCTACAAAAAAAACAGAAAGAATTAATCGTATAAACAAACAACCAACAAAAACGCTTTTCTTTATTTTCTGTACCTTCAAATGTACGATTTCGTTCTACATTACCATTTGGTTGAAGAACGTATGAACCACGTGGAATAATGATAGCATCTTGTTCAATTTTCCATAATGTAGCAGCTAATCGTTCTTCTTCACGTAATTGTGACTAAAGTAACTAAATTGTATGAAAATATTTCAATAAAATTTATATTTCTTACTTTATATTCTTCAACATTTTCCTCTTCTGTATCTTCATTTGATACAGTATATTTTGTTACGTCAAAGTCATGTGATGGATCACCAGTAAAACGACCTTGACATTGCGGTGATAATTCTTTCGCGTCATCACTTGCTGGTGTCAACATATTCCAATTGATACAATCTGAGCTGTAATCAGTAAATTAATATAAAAAGTTTTAGTTACAAAACAAAGCAGAAAAACGAACCAAAATAAATTACCTGTAAAGAAATTGTCGATCTTGTAGTTCATTTTTTTGACGACCTTGTATAATATAATAATCTTCTGTTATCCCTAAAATTTTTCCCCATAAATGAATGGTTTTAAATTTATATTGTTCTTTAAGGATGACAAGTGATGTTTGTAATGCAGCTCGTTGTTCTGGACTAAAAACAATACCACTATACGCCAATAAGTCTAGATCGAGACTGAAATCTTTTGCTTCGATACCCATCTTTTATGCAAAGACTATTGTCGTTAGTTTGTTTTATAGAAGGAAGAATTTCACGCTTTTATTTATGAAAACTTTTGATAGAAACATACATATACAACCAATTCATTCAGAAAATACGTTGCCTCGATACCAACCTTTATTGAGAGTAACAAAAGTAAAATGAAAAGAAAAGAGGTCGCTTATTGCTGTTGATCTTCGAAAGGAAAAGATCTATTTGTGTGGAATTGTTTCTCAACTCTGCCTTTTTATATTTCTGGTCCCTAATCGACTCTCCCCCAACGATTCCTCGGGGAGCCCCTGCCGTGAGTCCCCGCGGACTTTTTATTTGGGGGACTCCCCGGGGATTTCTCTGGGGAGAATTGATGAAATTTTTTAAAATAAAAAAAAACTTTTTAATTTTTTTAATTTTTAAAAGATTAAGAAGAATTTATTAGTAATTAGATATTTCATCGATTTTGACCAGATAACTCCCTGGGGAGTCCTCAGGGAGTCCCCGCAAAAGAACGAAATCCCTAGGGACTCCCTGGGGATTCTTCTAGGGAGAGTTGATTAGGGGCATTCTTAATCGCATCCTAATCGTTCTACTTGTTAACATACAAAATAATAAGTACAATATTAAGAGTTTGGGCGTGTGCATGTGTCTGCTATTCAAACACACTCACGCTCACACGCACACCTATGTACTACTTGAAGAAATTTAATTTAAACAATAATATTCAACAAAAATCTTGTTTATACAGTTTCAACTATACTAAGAGTCCGCATATTTCACTTTCTCTGAGTTTTGTTCAGTTATCGCCAAGTGAACCATAACAAACAAGTGACGATTGAAATAGCAAAAAATATGCTGATTCGATCAATGTTAATGTTGTAGAGTAGCTTGTTTGTTTGAATTTAAAAAAAGTTATCTTTAGAAATAATGAAGCAATAGACTTTACATTTAATCATTATTCATATTATTCATCATTGAAAACACTATTTCTCAATCACACTTATTTTATTCGTCTCACATTGAATCAATAGAAAGTACAATGAGCTTATTATAAATGCTACAGCCTTGAATTATCGTGCATAATTGACATTATTTACTAGCTAGCTGTAGAGTTAGGTAAAATTATACTTTTGTTTTAAGTATAGGAGCCAATGAAAAATCAAAATATGCACTTGAAACTCTACAATTTCAGTTAACTTTTCTATTTCATTGAGTAAGGGATGAAAAAAGAAATAATATTTAAGACAATTACTATCAACTTTCTTTAAAGTCAAGCATGAATGTATTATCAACATGGTTAAATTAGACTAAGTTTGATTTTAGTGTACAATCAATCAGATAGATTTATTTACAAGACAATTACACAATATCCAAAACTCTGAATAATTTATTTTTATGTAATAATTTACTATTATTCTATTCTCTTTTAAAATTTTATATCGCTAGAGATAAATTGATATAGAAATGAACGCATCTATACGTAATTTAGCAAATATCAAATATCAAACACAAATTATCATTGTTAGTGTCGAATGGCCAATGCATTAAATTGTGTCAAGCATTGATCGCTTTCATATTGACATAGAGATGCGTTTCTACTATTTTTCGGTTGCTCACTTATTGGGATAATCTACGAAATATAAGTTGCCTATAGCACTAACCGAAAAATAGAAAATATCGTAACGAAATTTCAGTGATTACCATGATCCGTTTTTATTGATAGAATATCCAATCAATCATATAGAAAAATAAGAATTGTATATCTGTATGGTCAGTAAATGAAGACAATATTTTCTGGTTTTACTGTCTTAAAAATAGTTATGAAGGTTTTCATGCATAAAAAACCTGTTTTTAAATACAATTGAAGTCTATTATTTTTAATTTCAACATTTAATAGGAGCTCGTTTTTTTTCTATTCATGACATAGAATGTAATATTTTTCATAGATCTATTTACTATCTGATTGAAATTTCCGGTAGTTGCTGAATGAAGGATATTCTGACCTCGGATTGCAAGTTTTTGAAAATATAGGAATTAGCACAGGATGAAACTTTTTAAAAATACAGGAAAAGGTGTAAAAATCAGAAAAAAATAGGATATTGAAAATCCGTTGTTTAGATTCGAATTAAACGTTGTTTTAAATTTTTCCTGCATCAACTTAACATATGCACGAAATTTTTGTCAATATTTCATTTCAATTCTTTCTTAAATTAAATTAAATGAGTCAGACAGAGTGTGGGTAATGGTTTGTATGGTGTTTATACTCACATCAACCTACACTCACACCGCGAGTATGAAAATTTTCAAAAATCGCATTTTGAGTTTTTTAACCGAGAAATGTTTTCAAAAAATATCAATGACAGATCGTTAGTTGTAGAATTCCAGTCTCTACAAGTTGGCCTATTTTGTTTTGACTTTCGTAGCTAAGGACAATGTAAACTCTTATACACTTTCTAATTCAATTTACCGTTTATGAGCTTCCATACAGATGTATCAATTTCGTTTTTGTGTATAATGATTAGTTACAAAGAAAAGACTATTACTAATAAAAATCAAATAACTCTGATCATGTTAAGTGCTTCAAAATTGGTGAAGAAAAACTGCACCTCAGCGTTACTAAAAATGTCACGCTTTTTTCTTGCACTTTTTATCTAAGCAAAAATAGCTTGGAGAAAACGATTTTAGTGTTTTAAAGCCTGATCAAAAAGCACTACAAAACTAACTCGAGAAGTGTTTCATTTGGAAAAATAGTTGCAGAAGAAACTGTAGCTTATTAGTGGCCCTGAAGAAAAGGGTCTTTTTATGTCACAGCCACGCAACCAAAACTCCTTTCTATAACCAAGAGACTTAATCCAAAAATGGCCATTTTATGGCATAAACATATCATGACAAGTTGCATCAAATCACGTTCGAACAAACTTTCTAACTCACACAATTTCCAAGATAATGAAAAACAAAGTGTGTCAAACAAGGTCACAGCGTTACGCTTGAACAAAACCATTTACGTAACTGCTTATGATAGGCAACAATAAAAGCTTTTAAAAAACACACAACTATTTATAAAGACTATTTTACTTTGTTTGAATATCTTTACTTAAAATAGTCAGTTATTTTCATTTTGTCCGTTTGATAATGTGAAAAGAAATTGTAAATAAAATAGAGCCCCTGTAAAAAAAAACGTCTAAGAATACAAAAGAATCAATAATTATCGAATAAATTTGTTTAAAAAACACGAAAATCATACTAAAACAAGAGCGTTTTTCAGCGATTTTCTACTTTTTTTCATTTTTATAGGAAATACAGGAAAATTCATCGAAATATAGGAGAAAAAATAGGAATTTTTTTAAATATAGGAAATATAGGACGAATCCGAGGCCAGCGAATATTAGAACTATTTCTTGGTCTGTTTAGTCTTTTGAGTTTCTCACAGTTGTATCTCTTTGTGTAAGAATACGGTCAATGAAATATCTATAGTGTAAAGATAAAAGACCTAAATATTTTAAAGATCACCGTAACGAAAAGAAATGTTGAAGCAATTAATTAGGTTTAAAACACCAGCAGTGTCCAAGGACTGAGAAATGCGAATTCCTAATGTGTCGAGGAATTGCCAGTGCCGCTGTGATAATTCCTAGAGGAAATGGGAATCAACTATAGGTTCCCTCACAGTTCCACCATTCACGGAAGTTGCGATATCGCTGTTTTGAAAATAATTTTTGCATGAAATCATTGATTTTCACAATTTTTCAAGTGAAAATGAGAGTAAGAACAAAAATTATCGTAAATATTCCATATTTTTACCTTTAATATGCAAGGAACTGTAGGGGAGCTGATGAGAAATTCCTAATCCTCAGTTGTTGGACACCTCTCGCAGCTGCCTAAAGTACAGTAACTCCTATAATTCAACTTATATTTTATATCTGATACATATGCACTTAAAATCTCGCTAGAAAACATAAAATTCACTTGTTTTTCATAACAAAACAGCTTAGTTTTTGAAATTCACTCATTCAAATGGAAATTGTATACTGTTGGTGCACATGGGTGTCGTACATGAGATCGATACCATAAACAATTATTAGGTAGAAAAACGATTTTATCATATAGGACGCTTCAATATAGTATCGACTAACCTTTTAAATCTCACAGATAGATTACAAGATACTATAGGATAATTTGTTTGATATCAGATACTATGTCTTGTAATTCATACTTAAAACTCGATATGTTGATGGCATTCTTTTATATATAATTTATTGATGATTCACAAGAAACGTTGTTCATTTTCACCTTTATATCCTAGAGATGTACATGTTTAGAGATGTAACTAACACAGATTACATATTAAGTTGATTCATCCTATATTATTGGTACTGCTTTTATACCGAGTATAGTCATTATCAGACACATGAAGACTAGTTTCGTCTTTGCTTTTATTTTACCATCTTTTATGAAGTCTCTATTCATATCAGTACTGTTTAAAAAGAAGATTTCTAACAATATCTATACTTGTGACTAGGATACGGATATACCGATGTGAGGGTGTGAGATTAGCTGAAGGAAGATAGCAAAATAAGTTTTGAAAAATAGTACTGTTCAATTTCAATACAAAGAAGCTAAAAGTAAAAAATATGAAAAGGTCATCGTTATTAGCACAGTCATTTGTGCAAGAGTCGAGGATCCATTTGATATTATTGTTACTGTTGTAGAAGACGGCCAAATAAGTTCTTTCTTGACAGTCTCACTCGTAACTAATACGGTTGCTTTGCTGTTACTTTCGTTTGGAAAGGCGTTTTTGATCGCATCAATAATCAAGCGAAGATTTTGTTTGCGCTGTTGCACAAAGTTTTGATAATCACTATCACTTCGATGTTGCGTTACGTATAGTAGAGTTTTTCGTTCACATGATTCGATTACAGTGTGTCTACTCCAGTCGCAAAGTAAAGCGTAAGCCTCGTCCGATGAGCACGTTTGCTGTGATACATGGAAACCAGGACTCTGCAATCTACGAACAGCTGCTGTTAAGACATGGGCATATTTATGAAAATCTTCATCCTGAACAATCGTCACAAATTTGGAGAGTATTGGACAACGATGAAGAAGCGATTGAGGTGGATAACTTCCCAGGCATGCTTGAACGAGGACGCCAGGATCATTCATACTATCAGTTACATATTCGTTTAACCGTGATTTGATCGAAGAACAGCAATTGTTTATCATTTCGCATACGAGCGATTGAGTTTGTCGGAAAATAGCCGGTGAATTAGATTTGAATTCTTGATTCAGAATGTTGATTTCAGCAGCATCAGCGTTAATTTTTACAGTTGAAATCGACGCTTGAGATAATTTGATTAAACAGAGAAGAAGAAAAAATTGAATCCGTATTATCCACATGGAGTGATTTTCTGAAAATAAAAACAAATGAAACTTAGTAGTTGGTAAATAGTAACACACCACGGCGTAGAAAAGAACTCATAAGAGAAGAAAAACATTTCGAGTTCAGAACGAAATACAATCCTATGCAACAGTATCCTTTTTAATACAAATATTAATAAACGAGAATGCTGTTTTCCTTACTCTCTGTGGCTATTCGTCTATGACTGTATCATACATGTCGAACTTGAAACTTGAATTCAACTGAAACTTCAAGTTTCAACTTTCAAGTTTCAAGGGTGTGAGTGCCGGGGAAGGGAGATACGCTTGTCTACACACACATATGTACCCATATTGTGGGTGCCGGGGGAGCAGTAGTGTCAGAGCAATAACGTGAAACCTGAAACTTGAAACTTGAAGTTTCAGTTGAATTCAAGTTTCAAGTTCGACACTACTGGACTGTATGCTTATTTTCTCTCAGACAAGATTGCTATTGACGAAAAATGGCATAAATTATAAAACGAATATTAAATCGCAATGGTACTAACGACAAAAGCTTCCTTTTCTTTCCATAGTCTCTGCATTAAAAAAAGAACCTTGCGGCACGAAAACCTTTCTAACAAAAACGAATTTCGTGCCGCAAACTTTTTTCCGTGTGGCATACGATTTATGCACAATATTTTATTGCCATCGATCAAAAACAGAAATGAGGCGAAGATTGAAACGATATATTGAAAATCAATATTTACAAAGTTTGCCGAGAAAATTCAAACAACTGAATCGCAATCACTAAGACAGCGAGTGAATATCGTATCTTTATAACTTATTATCATGTCTCTCCTTGAAATGTCTAATTTCAATGATATTCGATTGGAAATAATTTCAATGTGACATTATTTGATAACTTTTGTATACACAGTCAATCATCTTTTAATCTGTTCAAATAAGCGAACACATGATTGATATTTATTGGTCGCCCGAGAAGAAAGCTCAATCAACTTTTATTCTGTTGCAGAATTTGAAAGATGATTTAGTGGCATGGCAGCTGAATGAGATTTTGACTGTAACACTTAGCAATAACAGTGATGACTGTATCTGTGTATTGCAGTGGTGTGTTCTGTAATACTAAGTGCACGAGAACATCTTAAAAACATTTGCATTGTTGAGAATATAACGAGAAATTTCTCGTCGTACACAAGAAACATGTAATAGAGAATACAAAGTGATAAAAAAAACACGCATTCAATTTACCCTAGAGAGGATATATTAGCAAGAGAGGTCGCAAAAAAGTGTTCACCAATGGAGGTTTTACTGTATTTTGGAAAAAAATGTGTTTATTTTAAACAAACAATAAAGAACTCGTTCTCCTATCATTAAGAATAATACAATGTATGAGGGCATGAGACATTCATTATGATCTGTTCTAAGAACTACATGACATAAAACTGTTGTCGAATCATCCTATTCTTTTAGCATCATAGTCATTAATATGCTATTGATAAGTAATATTTGACAGCAAAAGAACAGACACCCGTCTGAAAAAAACAATATTACACAATTAAAAACTTAGTATCATGGCTAATTGCACCCTTTTCATTTCCATTCGATGGCAACGATCCAACATTCCATTCATTCAGTAACATAAAGTAAAAACCCTACTTGTATAAGATAGATACACATCAGAGGTGTCCACAGGGCAGGACACAGGGCGAACTTTTAAAAAATTGATCCGCCCTGTACAGGGCAGGGCAGGGCTATACCTTCACGCCCTGCAAATTTTGCATATACTTACTTTAGTTCGAAAATAACAGCAATTTTATTCTTCTCGGGAACGTGAAAGAAACTAAAACTATCCAGATATCGCTATAGAATGGTAA